GTACCTGCACACCTACGGCATCGTCCACCGCGACCTCAAACCCGACAAGTGCGCCCGCAGGAGGGGGGGGAACCACGCCCGGGCCACGCCCACCACGCCCGGGCCACGCCCAACTCACCTGGGGACTGCCCACCCCGCCCGGGCCATGCCCAAATCACCTGGGCCACACTCAGGTCACCTGGGAACCACTCACCCCACTTGGGCCACCCCCAGTTCTCCTGGGTCATGCCTGAGTCACCCGGGTGATGCCTGACTCACCTGGGCCACGCCCAACCCGCCTGGGCCACACCCAACCCGCCTGGGCCACACCCAACCCGCCTAGTGACCGCCTGACTCACCTGGGCCACACCCAACCCGCCTGGGGACTGCCTGACCCGCCTGGGCCACGCCCAATCCGCCTGGGCCACACCCAACCCGCCTGGGGACCGCCTGACTCACCTGGGCCACGCCCAACCCGCCTGGGCCATGCCCGGCTCACCTGGGGACTGCCTGACTCACCTGGGGCCACACCCAACCCTCCTGGGCCACACCCGGCTCACCCATGGCCCCACCCCACCTCACCTGTCCCTCACCTGTCCCACCTGTCCCCCCTCACCTGTCCCTCACCTGCCCCTCACCTGTCCCCCCCAGCCTGCTGATCACGTCTCTGGGCCACGTGAAGCTGACGGACTTCGGGCTGTCCAAGATGGGGCTGATGAGCCTGACGACCAACCTGTACGAGGGGCACATGGAGAAGGACGCGCGCGAGTTCCGCGACAAGCAGGTGACGCCCCGGGGGGGGCAGAGGGTGGGGGGGGCACAGGTGGGGAGCAAAGTTAGGAACAGGTGAGCGACGCACAGGTGGGCACGGGTGAGCTCAGGTGCGCCCAGGTGTGCCCGGGTGCCCTCGTGTGCACCCAGGTGCGCCCAAGGGCACCCAGCTGTGTCCGGGTGCACCCAGGTGTGCTCAGCTGTGCCCAGCTGTGCCCAGGTGCCTTCATCTGCACCTAGGTGTACCCAGGTGCCCCCAGCTGTGCCCAGGTGCCCCCAGTAGCTCCCAGGTGCCCCAGGTGCCCCCAGGTGTGCTCAGGTGCCCCCAGTTGCTCCCAGGTGCCCCCAGGTGTGCTCAGGTGGGCGCTGCCCCCCCCCAGGTGTGCGGCACGCCCGAGTACATCGCGCCCGAGGTGATCCTGCGCCAGGGCTACGGGAAGCCGGTGGACTGGTGGGCCATGGGCATCGTCCTCTACGAGTTCCTGGTGGGCTGCGTGCCCTTCTTCGGGGACACCCCCGAGGAGCTCTTCGGGCAGGTCATCTCAGGTACAGGGACAGGGGGACAGGGGGGACAGGGGGACGTGGGACACGAGGGGGGACATGGGGGGACACAGGGACAGAGGTGATCTCAGGCATGGCCAGGGAGACACTCCCGAGGAGCTCTTCGGGCAGGTCATCTCAGGTACAGGGACGGGGGGACAGGGGACACGTGGGACACGAGGGGGACACGGGAGGACAGGGGGACATGGGACACGTGGGGGGACATGAGGGGACACAGAACACACGGGGGGACATAAGAGGACACAGGACATGTGGGGGGACATGAGGGGGACACACAGGACACATGGGGGGACATGAGGGGACACATGGGGGGACATGGAGGGACATGGGACACGTGGGGGGACATGGGACATGTGGGGGGACACGCAGGGACAAATGGGACACAGGGACACATGGGAGGACAGGGGGACACACAGGACACATGGGGGGACATGGGGACACAGGACCCACATGGGGGGACATAAGAGGACACAGGACACATGGGAGGACACGGGACATGTGGGGGGACACAGGGACACGCAGGACACATGGGGGACGGGGACATGGGGAGACATGAGGGGACATGGGACACGTGGGGGGACACGCAGGGACAAATGGGGGGACAGGGGGACACACAGGACAGAGGTGATCTCAGGCACAGCCAGGGGGACATCGGGCCGGTGTCCCCGCCTGTCCTTGCTCACCTTGTCCCCCCTGTGTCCCCCCTGTCACCATGTCCCCCCATCCCTCCATGTCCCCCCCCGTGTCCCCCCCAGACGAGATCCTGTGGCCGGAGGGGGACGAGGCGCTGCCCCCCGACGCTCAGCACCTCATCTCCTGCCTCCTGCAGACCGACCCCCTGCGGCGCCTGGGGGCAGGTGAGACCCCCAAAACCCCCGGGACCCCTAGACCCACCTGAGACCCCCCAGACCCACCCAGGACCCCCAGACCCACTGGGGACCCCTCGACACCCCCAGACCCACCCGGGGCTCCCCAGACCCACCTGGGACCCCCAGACCCCTGGGACCCCTGTGCACCCCCTGGATCTGTAGACCCCATTGACCCCTGACCCTCCAACCCCTGGGACCCCTCCCAACCCCTCCATCCTCTCGGACCCTTTTGGGACCCCCAAACCCCCCAAAACTCCCCAAAAATTCCTCCTGCAGCCCCATTGACACCCCTTGTCCCCCAGTTCCTCCTCCCACTGAGCCCCCAAGACCCCTGATCCCCCGACCTTCGGGCCCCCTGACGCGGGGGTCTCTCAGGGGGGGCTCAGGAGGTGAAGGCTCACGGGTTCTTCTCCGCCCTCGACTGGACGGGGCTGCTGCGCCAGAAGGCCGAGTTTGTGCCACACCTCGAGTCCGAGGAGGACACCAGCTACTTCGACAGTGAGGGGCACCCCAAATCCCCCCGGGACACCCCTGGGAATCCCAAATCCTCATGGGAACCCCAAATCCCCCTGGGACACCCCCTGGGAGCCCCAAATCCTCACGGGAACCCCAAATCCCCCCGGGACACCCCTGGGAATCCCAAATCCTCATGGGAACCCCAAATTCCCACAGGACACCCCTGGGAGCCCCAAATCCTCACGGGAACCCCAAGTCCCCCCGGGACACCCCCTGGGAACCCCAAATCTTCACAGGAACCCCAAATCCCCACAGGAATCCCAAATCCCCACGGGACGCCTCCGGGAACCCCAAGTCCCTATGGGACCCCCCCAGGACCCCCTGGGAACTCTTGGGAACTCTTGGGACCACCCCATGGGACCCCCTGGGACACCCCCTGAACTTCCCACTTGTGTCCCCCCTTACCTGTCCCTCTCCCCTGTCCCCTCCATTATCCCTTGTCCCCCCTCCCATGTCCCTCCCTGTCCCCCGTGTCCCCTCCCTGTCCCTCCCTGTCCCTCCCTGTCCCTCCTCCCTGTCCCCCCCTCCCTCCCCTGTCCCTCCCTGTCCCCGTGTCCTCCCTGGTCCTCCTCTGTCCCTCCTCCTGTCCCTCCCTGTCCCTCTCCCTGTCCTCTCCCTGTCCTCTCCTGTCCCTCCCGTCCCTGTGTCCCCATGTCCCCTGTCCCCATGTCCCCCCGTCCCTGTGTCCCCTGTCCCCCTGTGTTCCCCCATCTCTGTGTCCCCCTGTCCCCCCTGTCTCCCCTGTCCTCGTGATCCCCCTGTCCCTCCCCTGGTTCCTCTCCTGTCCCCTGTGTCCCCCGTACCCCCCTGTCCCCGTGTCCCCCTGTCCTCCTCCCATGTCCCTCCCTGTCCCCCATGTCCCCCTGTCCCCATGTCCCCTGTCCCCCGTGTCCCCAGCGCGCTCGGACAGGTACCCGCAGGTGACGTCGTACGAGGACGAGGACACGACCGAGGACGAGCCCGTCGAGATCCGCCAGTTCTCGTCCTGCTCGCCCCGGTTCAGCAAGGTGGGGACAGGGGGGGACAGCAGGGACAGGGACAGGGACAGGGGAGACAGGTACAGGGATAGGGATAGGGATAGGGATGAGGGACAGGGATAGGGACAGGGGGACAGGGAGAGGGACAGGGAGAGGGGACAGGGACAGGGGGGACAGCAGGGACAGGGACAGGGACAGGGACAGGATAGGATAGGGGACAGAGATAGGGATAGGATAGGGATAAGGGGTCAGGGACGGGACAGGGAGGGGGACAGGGGACAGGGAAAGAGGACAGGACAGGGATAGAGATAAGGAGACAGGGACGGGAGGGACAGTGGGGACAGGGTCAGGGGACAGGGACAGGGGACAGGGGGACATGGGGGAGACGGGGACAAGAGATGGGGACAGGAGACAGGGGACAGGGAAAGGGACAGGGACAGGGGGACAGGGAGGGACAGGAGGAACAAGGGAATGGGGGACAAGGGGGATTTGGGGAGGGGAGGGGAATTGGTGACCCTCGTGTGATGGCGAGGGGGGGAAGTGGGCGTGGTCAGGTGTGAGCAGGTGCCTCCCCAGGTGTGAGTGAGTGTGTCGCAGGTGTGTGTGGGTGCCCCCACCTGTGACAGGTGCCCCCCCCAGGTGTGTGTGGGTGCCCACCTGTGACAGGTGCCCCCCAGGTGTGTGTGGGTGCCCCCCCAGGTGTGTGTGGGTGCCCACCTGTGACAGGTGCCCCCCCAGGTGTGACAGGTGTCCCCCCCAGGTGTGAGTGGGTGTGTCCCAGGTGTGTGTGGGTGCCCCCAGGTGTGACAGGTGCCCCCCAGGTGTGTGTGGGTGCCCCCACCTGTGACAGGTGCCCCCCCAGGTGTACAGCAGCCTGGAGCAGCTCTCCCAGGAGCCCAAGGCCAAGGGGCGCCCGCGGGACGAGGCGAGACGGGATCGGGAACGGGATCGGGATCGGGATCGGGATCGGGACGGCCCCGCCCGGGAACGTGGCTGGAGAACCGGCTCACCTGAGCTGTGAGCAATGGGGGTATCTGGGGGCACAGGGGGTCCTGGGGGTCCTGGGCTCACCTGAGCTGTGAGAAACGGGGGGCACAGGGGGTCCTGGGGGTTCGGGGGAGCACAGGGGGTCCTGGCCTCACCTGAGCTGGGAGTAACGGGGGTGCAAGGAGGGGGCACCTGAGGGGACACACTGGGGGTTCTGAGCTCACCTGAGCTGGGAGAGCCTGGGGGGCACCTGGAGGGGATCAGGGAGGGGTTCTGCACTCACCTGAGCTGTGACCACCTCAGGGGGTCCGGGGGTTTCACCCTCATCTGAGCCCCTGTTTAGGGGATGGGGGAATAATTCACTCCTGGGTGGGGGTCGGGGTCTGCCCCACTCCAACCCCCTGTCTCTCCTCCCCCGCAGGAAGCACCGCGAGGTCCCCCGAGGGGGAGGGCAGCCCCCGGGCCCCGGCGCCGCTGCCCTGCTGGAGCCCTCCTGGGCCGGGCCAGGGCCGCCCCCTCCCACGAGGAACCGAGACCCCCGCAACGGGGGCGGAGGGACCCCGAGGGAGCCGGCGAGGAGCCAGGTCCGTCCTGGGGGAGGGCTCGGGAGGAGGGGGTGTCACCGCCAGGGTCTCACCACGCCCCTCCCCCTCCCCTCTCCCCAGAGAAGCCCCCAAGGGTGGGGAGGGGCCCCCGCCCCCCGCGCCGAGCTGGGGGCTGGCGGCCGCGCCACCCGGGGTGACGCCCCGAGCCGGGGGCGTTGGGGACAAACGAAGCCCCGCTGGCCCGGCAAGGTGACAAAGTCGGCGTCGGCCACCGCCCCTGTCCGTCATCATCCCCAGCGGTGGTGACAAACCCTCCCCCCGGGACCCCCAGGGAACCCAAACCCCTGGGACTCCAAACCCCCGGGACTCCAAATCCCATCCAGGACCCCCAAGGAACCCAAACCCCTGGACTCCAAATCCCATCCAGGATCCCAAATCCCCAGGACCCCTCAGGAACCCAACTCCCGGGACTCCAAATATCCCCCAGGGACCCCAAATCCCATCCAGGGACTCCAAATTCCCTGGGACCACCCCCCCTCCTCCCCCAGGTGCCAGGGTGGGGGTCGCGGTGCCAGCGGGGTCTGGGGGTTTCTGGGGGTCTCTCTGGGGTTGTTCTGGGGGTGTCCCTCGTTCCCCTGGGGGGTGCTCTGGGGGTCTCCCATTTGGGGGTCTCCCGTGGGTGCTCCGGGGGTGTCCCAGGGTGGGTTTTTGGGGTGGTGCTGGGACTCCTTTGGGGTCTGGGGGTCTCTGGGGGTCCCTCATTCCCCCGGGGGTGTCCCGGGCATGTTTGGGGGTCGGTGCTGGGACTCCTTTGGGGTCTGGGGGTCTCCCATTTGGGGGTGTCCTGGGTGGGTTTTTGAGGTGGTGCTGGGACTCCTTTGGGGTCTGGGAGTCTCCTATTTGGGGAGGGTGTCCCGTGGGTGCCCTGGGGCTCTCCCAGGTCGGGTTTTTGGGATACTGGGACTCCTTTGGGGTCTGGGGGTCTCCCTTTTGAAGGTGCCCTGGGTGTCCTAGGTGGGTTTTTGGTTGGTGCTGGGACTCCTTTGGGGTCTGGGGGTCTCCTATTTGGGGGGGGTGCCCCAGGGGTGCCCCGGGGGTGTTTTTGGGGCAGTGCTGGAACTCCTTTGGGGTCTGGGGGTCTCCCTTTTGGGGGGGGTGCCCCGGGGGTGTCCCGGGTGGGTTTTTGGGTTGGTGCTGGGACTCCTTTGGGGTCTGGGGGTCTCCCATTTTAGGGTGGGTGCCCCGGGGGTGTTTTTGGGTCGGTGCTGACGCTGCCCACACACCCCGGGGCCGGCAGGGGATGCTCCGGGCTCGTCCCCTCTGGGCAGTCCGATGTCGCCGCGCTCTCTGTCGTCCGACCCCTCCTCCCGGGACTCCTCCCCGGGCCGGGAGCTCGCCCCGGCCGTGGCCGCCCCGCCCCGCTCGCCCATCGCCATCCCCCGGCCCGGCAAGAAGTTCGGCTTCACCCTCCGGGCCATCCGCGTGTACCTGGGGGACAGCGACGTGTACAGCGTGCAGCACGTGGTGTGGGTCAGTGACACGAGTGGGGGGACACGGGGGGGAAAGGGACATGGGGACAGCGATGGGGACAGCGTGCAGCACGTGGTGTGGGTGAGGGACACGAGTGGGGGGACACGGGGACAGGGACAGGGACATGGGGACATGGGGACAGCGTGCAGCACGTGGTGTGGGTGAGGGACACGAGTGGGGACACGGGGACAGGGACAGGGACACAGGGACAGCGACGTGTACAGCGTGCAGCACGTGGTGTGGGTCAGTGACACGAGTGGGGACACGGGGACAGGGACAGGGACAGGGGGGACAGGGACAGGGGGACAGCGATGGGGACAGCGTGCAGCACGTGGTGTGGGTCAGTGACACGGGTGGGGGGACATGGGGGGGACACAGAGGGGACAGGGACATGGGGACAGCGACGTGTACAGCGTGCAGCACGTGGTGTGGGTGAGGGACACGAGTGGGACATGGGGGGGACACGGAGGGGACACGGGGACAGCGACGTGTACAGCGTGCAGCACGTGGTGTGGGTGAGGGACACGAGTGGGACATGGGGACAGGGACAGGGACAGGGACAGGGACATGGGGACAGCGACGTGTACAGCGTGCAGCACGTGGTGTGGGTCAGTGACACGAGTGGGGGGGACACAGGGGGGACACAGAGGGGACAGGGACAGCGACGTGTACAGCGTGCAGCACGTGGTGTGGGTGAGGGACACGAGTGGGGACAGGGATGGGGGGACAGCGACGTGTACAGCGTGCAGCACGTGGTGTGGGTCAGTGACACGGGTGGGACATGGGGACAGGGACAGAGACATGGGGGGACAGCGACGTGTACAGCGTGCAGCACGTGGTGTGGGTGAGGGACACGAGTGGGGACAGGGATGGGGGGGACACGGGGACAGCGTGCAGCACGTGGTGTGGGTGAGGGACACGAGTGGGGGGACACGGGGGGGACAGAGACATGGGGGGACAGCGACGTGTACAGCGTGCAGCACGTGGTGTGGGTGAGGGACACGAGTGGGGACAGGGACGGGGGGACAGGGACACAGGGACAGCGATGGGGACAGCGTGCAGCACGTGGTGTGGGTCAGTGACACGAGTGGGACACGGGGGACATGGGAAGAGGGGGCTTGGGGACATGGGGACAGGAGGTCACGTGGGGGGGTCTGGGGGTTTCAGGGCCATTTTGGGGCTCGGGACAGTGGGGGACAGGGAGTGTCAGGGGACAGTGTGTGGGGGTCAGGGTAATTTGGGGGTCAGGGGACAGTGGGGGCTCTGGGAGGGGGTGGTGGTATCCCAGCCGTGGTGCATTGTGGGTAACCCTGTTTTGGGGCGGAAGGGCCGGATTTAAGAAAAAAGGGGGTGCTCAGGGGGTTTTGGGGTGCCTCCTCCCCAATTTCACTGTGGTGATTTATTTTGGGGGTCAGCACGTGGAGGAGGGGGTCCCGCGCAGGAGGCGGGGCTGGGGGTTTGCTCAGGGGGTTTTTAGGGTACCCCCACCCCCAACTTCACTGTGGTGATTTATTTTGGGGGGTCAGCACGTGGAGGAGGGGTCCCGCGCAGGAGGCGGGGCTGTGCGCAGGGGATCTCATCACCCACGTGAACGGAGAGCCCGTGCACGGCTGGTGCACACTGAGGTCGTGGAGCTCATCCTCAAGGTCAGGGGGTAAATGAGGGGTGGGGGTCCTGGGGGGCTCAGGGACATGGGGGTCATGGGGTGAAGGTTTGGGGGTCCTGGTGGGGGCAGGGGGTGATGGGGGGTTGTGGTGGGGTCAGGGGCAACAGGGGGGTTCAAAGGGATCCCTCTGGGTCCTGTTTTGGGGTGGGTGACAGGGGGTGATGGGGGTGTCAGGGGTCATGGGGGTCTTTGGGGGTCACAGGGCTCAGGGTTTGGGGGTGGGTGGGTCCCATTGGGGGTGACCCCAATGGGGTCAAGGGTCCCACAGGGTCACAGAGGTGTCGGGGGGTGAGGGGGTCCCAATGGGGTCAAGGGGCCCCAGAGGTCACTGGGGGTCATGGGGGGTCACAGGGCTCAGATTTTGGGGGATGGTGGGTCCCATTGTGGGGGTGATGGGGATCAGGGGGTCCCAATGGGGTCAGAGGTCCCCAGAGGTCACAGAGGGGGTCATGGGGGTCAAAGGGCTCAGATTTTGGGGGGTTGGTGGGTCCTGGTGGTTCCCATTTTGGGGGCGATGGGGGTCCCAATGGGGTCAGGGGTCCCCAGGGGTCACAGGGGGTCATGGGGGGTCACAGGGCTCAGATTTTGGGGGATGGTGGGTCCCATTGTGGGGGTGATGGGGGGTCAGGGGATCCCAATGGGGTCGGGGTCCCCAGAGGACACAGAGGGGTTCATGGGGGTCACAGGCTCAGATTTTTGGGGGTTGGTGGGTCCTGGTGGTTCCCATTGTGGGGATGATGGGGGGGTCGCGGGCAGTGCCGGGTGGGGAGGGCGGGGGCTGTCTCAGGGAGGGTGGGGAGGGCCAGCTGTGCCCTTCCCCCCAGAGCGGGACGAAGGTGCTGGTGACCACGACCTCCCTGGAGAACACGTCCATCCGCCTGGGCCCCGCCCGGCGCCGCAGCGCCCGCGCCAAGATGGCCCGGAGGAACCGCCGGGGGCCCTGGGGGCCACGAGAGGTGGGAGGGGGCATGGGGTTCACTGGGGGATTTTGGGGGTATCAGTGGGGGTTTGGGGGTCATTGGGGGTGATTTGGGATGCACTGGGTGTCACTGGTGGTGACACCCAGTTGGGGGGGTGTCACTGAGGGTCACTGGGGGGTTTTGGGAGGTCATTGGGGAGGTCACTGGGGTCACTGGGGAGGTTGGGGGGGTCACTGGGGGTTCTGAGAGGTCACTGGGGAGTCACTGGGAAGGTTGAGGGGGTCATTGGGGATCACTGGGGAGGTTGGGGGGTCACTGGGGGTCATTGCTGAGGTTTGGGAGGTCATTGGGATGTCTGGTGGGTCACTGGGGAGACTGGGGGGTCACTGGGGAGGTTGAGAGGGATCCCTGGTGAGGTTGTGGGGGTCACTGGGGGATCACTGGTGAGGTTGTAGGGGTCACTGGTGAGATTGGGGGTCACTGGGGTCCCTGGTGAGTTTGGGGGTCACTGGGGTCCCTGGTGAGTTTGGGGGGGCCCCTGGTGAGTTTGGGGGGGTCACTGGGGGTCACTGGGGTCCCTGGTGAGTTTGGGGGGGTCACTGGTGAGTTTAGGGGGGTCACTGGGGGTCCCCGGTTGTCGCCGGTGTCCCCGGAGTGCTGAGGGTCCTCCGGGCCGCCAGGCGGCGCAGTGCGCTCTTCCGCCACCTGGCCCGCCAGGCGTCGCTGCTGCACACGAGCCGCTCGCTGACGTCACTGAGCCGCTCCCTCTCCTCCTCCGACTCGCTGCCCGCGTCCCCCACGCATGCGCGGGCCAGGGAACCCGGTACGGCCTCCGAGGGGGCGGGGCCTGAGGGGCGGGGTCATGGAAAGGGGGCGGGATTATGGAAATGAGTGGGATAATGGAATATTGGGAATGGGATAGTGGGAATGGGGGGATAATGGGAATGGGATAATGGGAATAAGGGGGGATAACGGGAATGGGGGGGATAATGGGAATGGGGGGGATAATGGGAATGGGGGGGTAATGGGAATGGGGGGATAATGGGAACAGGGGTATAATGGGAATGGGGGATAATGGGAATAAGGGGGGATAATAGGAATGTGGGGGGGATTATGGGAATGGGGATAATGGGAATAGGATGTGACCGTGGAAACAGGATGGGACCTGCTGGAATGGGATGGGACCATGGGAATGGGACAGGGCTATGGGAATGGGACGTGACCGTGGGAATGGGATGGGACCACTGGAATGGGATGTGACAATGGGAACGGGATGGGATCATGGGAATGGGATGTGACCATGGAAACAGGGTGGGACCACTGGAGTGGGACGGGACTGTGGGAATGGGATGTGATCACTGGAATGAAATGTGACCACTGGAATGGGATGGAACCACGAGAATGGGACAGGACTATGGGAATGGGACGTGACCGTGGGAATGGGATGGGACAATGGGAGCGGGATGGGACCACTGGAATGGGATGTGACAATGGGAATGGGGTATGACCACTGCAATGGAATGAGACCATGGGAATGGGATGTGGCTGGGAATGGGATGTGACCATGGGAATGGGATGGAACCATGGGAGTGGGATGGGATCATGGGAATGGGATGGGACAATGGGAGTGGGATGGGACCATGGGAATGGGATGGGACAATGGGAGTGGGATGGGACCATGGGAATGGGATGGGACAATGGGAATGGGATGGGACCATGGGAATGGGATGTGACCATGGAAACAGGGTGGGACCACTGGAATGGGACGGGACTGTGGGAATGGGATGAGACCATGAGAATGGGATGGGACCATGGGAATGGGACAGGATTAAGGCAATGGGACATGACCATGGGGATGGGATGTGACAATGGGAATGGGATGTGACCATGGGAATGGGATGGGACAATGGGAGTGGGATGGGACCATGGGAATGGGATGGGATCATGGGAATGGGATGGGATCATGGGGATGGGATGTGACCATGGAAACAGGGTGGGACCACTGGAGTGGGATGTGACCGTGGGAATGGGATGGGACCATGAGAATGGGATGTGACCACTGGAATGGGATGGAACCACGAGAATGGGACAGGACTATGGGGATGGGACGTGACCGTGGGAATGGGATGGGACAATGGGAGCGGGATGGGACCACTGGAATGGGATGTGACAATGGGAATGGGATGTGACCAAGGGAATGGGATGTGACCATGGGAATGGGATGGGACCATGGGAGTGGGATGGAACCACGGGAATGGGACAGGACTATGGGAATGGGACGTGACCATGGGAATGGGATGGGACCACTGGAATGGGATGTGACAATGGGAGTGGGATGGGACAATGGGAGTGGGATGGGATCATGGGAATGGGATGTGACCATGGAAACAGGGTGGGACCACTGGAATGGGACGGGACTGTGGGAATGGGATGAGACCATGAGAATGGGATGGGACAATGGGAGTGGGATGGGACAATGGGAGTGGGATGGGATCATGGGAATGGGATGGGACCATGAGAGTGGGATGTGACCATGGGAATGGGATGGGACCATAGGAATGGGATGTGATCACTGGAATGAAATGTGACCATGGGAATGGGATGTGACCATGGGAATGGGATGGAACCATGGGAATGGGACATGACCACGGGAACGGGATGTGCCTGTGGGAACGGGCCGGGCTGGGCCCGCGGTGCCGCCGCCGCTGCCCCTGACCCTTCCGTGTCCCCCCAGGAGCGTCCCCCCCCAGCAGCAGCTCCCCGGGCTCGTCGGCCCCCCCGTCCCCGGCGGGTCCCCACCTGCGGCCGAGCTCCCTGCAGGGGCTGTCCCCGAAGCTGCAGCGCCAGTACCGCGCCGCCCGGTGCCGCTCGGCCGGCAGCATCCCCCTGTCCCCCCTGGCCCACACCCCGTCCCCCGCCGCCTCCCCGCCCGCCTTCCCGCCAAGCTGCACCCCAAAACCGCCGAGGCCTCCCGCCGCGCCCCCGCCGCGGGGCCCCCTGGCCGGACAAGGGGCTCCGGGACCCCGACCCGCGCTAAGCTGGGCTTGGACCCCCAGGAAGGAGTTCCCGGCGGAGCCCCCTGCAGAGCTTGGCCGAGTGGGACGGGAGGGGCCCGCCGAGACCTCCCCCCAGCACCAACAACCCCCCAGCACCACCCCCGCCTCCGCGCCGCCTGGGCCGGCAGGAGCTGCCGCCGCCCCTGGGGGCCTGAGGGACCTCCCACCCCGGCGGGCCACGAGGAGCCCCCGCCGCCCCACCCCCACCTGGCGGAGCGGGGGGCGGGGACCCCAAGGCGCTGAGCCGGTGCAGGAGCACGAGCGGGGCGGGGCGGCCCCCGTGCCCATCGTGGTGGTGGGGCCTGAGCGACCCCGGGACCCCCGAGCGCCCCCGGAGCCCCCGGGCGTTGAGCTTAACCCCCCTCACCCCCGTCCAATGGCTGTAAATAAGGGGGGCGGGGGATCCCCCACCCCACGGACCCCCAGGCATGCGGGGTCGCACATATCGCCTCCCCCCCTTGTGCCCCCCTGCCCCCCGTGTACATGAAGGGTAAATACTGTGACACCCCCCAAAAAACCACACACACACCCCCGTGTGACGTCATGGACCTGGCACTGCCCCCGGTGTGATGTCATCGATCCAGACCCCCAGAGTGGTGCCACCCCCAAACCCCCAAGGGTCTCCTCTTTGCCCCCCCAGGTTACCCCTCGGTGGTGACGTCATCGTGGTGATGATGTCACGGTGCTGACGTCACGGGGCGGACATGGTTTGGGGAGGGAAGTGACATCATCGAGACTGTAGTGATGTCATCACCGCTGAAGATTTGATGACGTCATGGCCTCAGTGTCACCAATCGCGCATCAGTGACGTCACAGGCAATGATGTCACACCTAGCGGGGTCACACGAGTGGGTGACGTCACCGCCACCCCCGTGACATCATCACACTGTCCCTCCATCCCCTCCCCCTGTTCTCGCTATGCAAACGCCCCTCCCCCACCGCGGGACATTTTGGGGGCGGGGAGCCGAGAGGGCCCTAGGACCAATAAAGGCCGTTCAGCACCGACCCCCCCTCAGCGTCTTGGGGGGACACGGGGAGGGGGGCGGGGGTGGGGAGAAACGCCTCATAACTCCCTGGGACCCCCGGAGCCCTCCCAGCCCCGGGTGGTGATTTGGGGGTCCCACATCCTTGGGGACACCCCCTCCCAAACCCCAACCCCCATGTGGTGATTTGGGGTCCCGTCACCCCGGAGCCCCCTGGGTGGTGATTTGGGGGTCCCGCAGCCCCAGGACGCACCCCGGGATGGGATTTTGGGGTCGTGTCCCCCATCCCCCCGAAGTCCCCAGGGAGGTGATTTGAGGGTCCCACAGCCCCGAGGACACCCCCTTCCCCCCCCCAGTTTGGGGGTCCTGCAGTGCCGGGGATGTGATTCTGGGACCCCCACTCCTCCCAGAGACCCCCCAGTTATCCCCTCCACCCCATGCCGGGAGACCCCAACTCCAACCCAGGGACCCCCCAGATTCCCACCAGGAACCCCGAGACCCCTCCCGACCCCCCTGGAACCCCAATTCCCCAGAGACCCCCTAGGGACACCCCAGTGCCCCCTTAGACCCTCCCAGACCCCCAGGAACCCCCAATGTCCCCCTGGACCCTCCCAGACCCCCCAGAAACCCCAGTGCCCTTCTAGACCACCCCAGACCCCCCAATTGCTCTGGGGACCCCCAGAGACGCCCCCAGGGACCCCAATCCTCTCCCCCAACCCGCGGACACTCGTGGGTTAAAGTCCGTCCCACCCCCTGTCACGCCCCTGTCACGCCTCTCCACACCCCCTGTGACGTCACGGCCCTACCGGGTCCGTTCACCGCCCAAATCGAACGGTCCGGGGGTCCTGGGGTGTCACGGGGGTCCTGGGGTCCGGGGTCCTGGGGTCGCGGTCACCAGAGGGGTCCGGGGCCAGCTGGGGGCTGTTGGGGAGCAATTTGGGGGTCGCGGGGGGATTTTGGGGTGTTGGGAAGCGCTTGGGGTCTTCGGGAGGGACCCTGTGGACATTGAGGCGGGGGTCCCAGGGGGTCTGAGGGAGAATGAAAAGGGAAATTTGGGGTCCTGGAGGGCTCTGCAGCGTGGTTCTTTGGGGGAGGGGGAGGAGGGAACTGGAAGTTCCTGGGAGGAATTGGGGGTCCCTGGAGGGGATTTGGGGTCCTGAGTGGGTCCTGAACGGGAGGGGGTGGTGGGAGGGTGAGAAAGTTGGGGGTCCCAGGCGGGTCTTTGGGGTGGGGGAAGAACTGGGGGTCTCGGGGTGGGGAATGGGGGTCCCTGGGGAGGGGGATCTCTGGGGGTCTCTGACCCTCCCTGTGCCCCCCCAGCCCCCCATGGCGCTGCGATTCGCTGCCCCCCTCCTGCGCCTGGCCCGGAGCGGCGTCCGCTGGGGGGGCACCGGCCCCCCGGCACAGGGTGAGTGGGGAGACCCCACCCAAAACTGCCCTCACCCCATCCCTCGGCATCGGGGTGAGTGGGGAGAGACCCCCACTCAAAACTGACCCCCCTCATCCCCGGCACGGGGTGAGTGGGGAGACCCCCACCCAAAACTGCCCCCCATCCCCGGCACGGTGGAGTGGGGAGAGCCCTCCCCAAAACTGACCCCCCCATCCCCGGCACGAGGTGAGTGGGGAGACCCTCCCCAAAACTGCCTGAGCCCCCTGTCAGTGTCTGAGCCCCCTCACTGCGTGCCCCCCAGCCGCCCCCTTCGACTGGCAGGACCCGCTGGGGCTGGAGGGGCTGCTGAGCCCCGAGGAGCGGCTGCTGCGAGACACGACCCGCAAGTACTGCCAGGAACGGCTCCTGCCGCGGGTCCTGCGGGCAAACCGGGATGAGGGTACCCCAAAACACCCCCTGAACCCCCCAAATCAGCCCGAGACCCCTGACCCACCCCAAATCACCCTGACCCACCCTGAGACCCCCAAACTGCACCTGCAAGTCCTGCCAGGAGCGGCTCCTGCTGCGGGTCCTGCGGGCGAACCGGGATGAGGGTACCCCAAAAACAGCCCCCTGAACCCCCCAAATCACCCCTGAGACCCCTGACCCACCCTGAGACCCCCAAACTGCACCCGCAAGTCCTGCCAGGAACGGCTCCTGCCGCGGGTCCTGCGGGCAAACCGGGATGAGGGTACCCAAAAACACCCCTGAACCCCCCAAATCACCCCTGAGACCCCTGACCCCCCCAAAATCACCCTGACCCCCTGAGACCCCCCAAAACACCCACTGACACCCCCCACAAGTCCTGCCAGGAACGGTTCCTGCCGTGGGTCCTGCGGGCGAACCGCGATGAGGGTACCCCAAAAACACCCCCCAAAATCACCCCTGAGACCCCTGACCCACCCTGAGACCCCTAAATATCAACCCCCCCTAAAAAAATAACCCCTGACTCCCCCATATTCCCCTAACCCCCTCAGACCCCTAAATCCCCTCTGACCCCTCATTCCCCCCAGTCCCCCCAAACCCTCGATCCCCTCCACCCCAAAGCCCCCTAGCACCCCCCAGTCCCCAAACCTGGGCCCCCAACACCTCCAACTCCCCCTTCCCTCCCTACAGGCCCAAGGTGGGGGCAGGGACTTGAGGGACCCCAAACCCCACCCTGGGGTGCCCTTTGCCCCCTCCCCCATTTCAGACCCCCTTTGTCCCCACCCCAGTGTTTGACCGGAGATCGTCAATGAACTGGGGGCTCTGGAGTCCTGGGCCCCACCATCCAAGGTCAGGGGGCCAGGGGGCTTTGGGGTCCTCACTGTGGGGAGCTGGGGAGTGGGCACATGGGGGTCCCTGGGTGACCCTGGGGTCTTGGGTGACACTGGGGGTCCCTGTGAGGACTCTGGGGGTCTCTGGTGATCCATAGGGTGACACTGGGGGTCCCTCACAGGGTATGGGGGTGGTCCCTGTGTGATCCTGGGGGTCTGTGGGTGACACTGGGATGACTGGTGGGGGGGGGCTCTGTGTCACCCTGGGGGTCCCTGGGGTGACTTTGGGGGTCCCTGTGTGATTTTGGGGGTCCCTGTGTGACCCTGGGGGTCCCTGTGATAACTCTGGGGGTCCCTGTCTGACCCTGGGGGTCTCTGTGATGATTCTGGGGGTCTCTGTGATGACTCTGGGGGTCTCTGGGGGTCTCTAGGGTACGGCTGTGCGGGCACCACGTCGGTGGGCTACGGGCTGGTGATACTGGGGGTGGGTGACACTGGGGGTCTCTGTGATGACTCTGGGGGTCCCTGTCTGACACTGGGGTCTCTGTGATGACTCTGGGGGTCTCTGGGGGTCCCTGTGATGACTCTGGGGGTCTCTGGGGGTCCCTAGGGTACGGCTGTGCGGGCACCACGTCGGTGGGCTACGGGCTGGTGACACTGGGGGTGGGTGACACTGGGGGTCCCTGGGATGACTCTGGGGGTCTCTGGGGGTCCCCAGGGTACGGCTGTGCGGGCACCACGTCAGTGGGCTACGGGCTCGTGACACTGGTGGTGGGTGACACTGGGGTCCCTGACTGACTCTGGGGGTCTCTGGGGTCACTCTGGGGGTCTCTGTGATGACTCTGGGGGTCCCCAGGGTACGGCTGTGCGGGCACCACGTCGGTGGGCTACGGGCTGGTGACGCGGGAGCTGGAGCGCGTGGACAGCAGTTACCGCTCCGTGCTCAGCGTCCAATCCTCCCTCGTCATGTTCCCCCTCTGGGCCTACGGGACCCCCGCCCAGAGGGAGCGCTACCTGCCCCGCCTGGGTGAGACCCCTGGGCTGGGGGGAGGGACGGGGGGCACAGGGGGCAGGAGGGGGGTCTGTGGGGCAGGAGGGGGTCTTTAGGGAAGAGTGGGGTCTGTGGGGCAGGAGGGGTCTGTGGGGCAGTTTGGGGATATGGGGCAGGTTGGGGGTCTGTGGGGCAGGAGTGGGGTCTGTGGGGCAGTTTGGGGGATATGGGGCAGGTTGGGGGTCTGTGGGGCAGGAGTGGGGTCTGTGGGGCAGTTTGGGGGATATAGGGCAGGAGTGGGGTCTGTGGGACAGGAGTGGGGTGTGAGGGGCAGATTGGGGGGAGTTATTGGGGTAGGAGTGGGGTGTGAGGGGCAGCTGGGGGGAGATCTGTGTGGGGCACCCTGGGGTGGCTCTGTGGGGTCCCCGGGGTGTCCCTGACACCCCCTCCCTCCCCTGTGTGTCCCCCCCAGCCCGGGGGGAGATGTTGGGGTGCTTTGGGCTGACGGAGCCGAACCACGGCAGCGACCCTGGCTCGATGGAGACGCGGGCGCGGCTCAACCCCGGGGGGGGCTCCTACACCCTCAGGGGCACCAAGACCTGGTGAGACCCCAAATCCCAGACACAGGGACCCCAGGGCCCCCTGACCCCCCTAAACCCACCCCAAACCCTCCTGATCCCCCTAAACCCACCCCAAACCCTCCTGACCCCACCAGGATCAGCAATGCACCTACACCCTCAGGGGCACCAAGACCTGGTGAGACCCCAAATCCCAGACACAGGGACCCCCAGAACCCCCCTGATCCCCCCTAAACCCACCCCAAACCCCCTGACCCTCTAAACCCACCCAAACCCCTGATCCCCCTAAACCCACCCAAACCCCCTGATCCCCCTAAACCCACCCATGTCCTCCTGTCCCCACCGGATCAGCAATGCACCTACACCCTCAGGGGCACCGAGACCTGGTGAGACCTCAAACCATCCCCCTAAAACCCCTTTAACCCCCCAAAACCCCTTCTAACCCCCCCAAACCCTCTAACGCCCCCCAGGATCACCAACTCGCCCGTGGCCGACCTGTGCTTGGTGTGGGCCAAGTGTGAGGAGGACGGCAGGGTGAGGGGCTTCCTGGTGGAGCGCTGGACCCCCGGGCTGAGCACCCCCAAAATCGAGGGCAAGTTCTCCCTGAGGGCCTCGACCACCGGGATGATCGCCCTGGACGACGTGGAGGTGCCCAGGACAACGTGCTGCCCAACGCCGTGGGGCTGGCGGTCAGTGGGGGGCTTGGAGGGGGACTGGGGGGTCCCAGGGGGTCCTGGTGCCCAGTGCTGTGGGGCTGGCAGCGGGTGGGGAGGTTTAGGAGGGGTCTGGGGACACTGGGGGTCCCAGGGGACTGGGGGTCCTTGGGGTCCCAGGGGTCCTGGTGCCCAGTGCTGTGGGGCTGGCAGCGGGTGGGGAGGTTTGGGGGCCAGTCTGGGGGATCACAGGCAGGTTGGTTTTGTGGGGTTGGCAGCGAGTGGGGTCTGGGGTGGGGGGTTGTCCTGGGGGTCCTGGTGCCCAATGCTGGGGGCTGCTGGTGGTGGGGGATCTGAGGGAGATCCTGAGGGTTCCAATGACCCCCCCTCTTGCCCCTCCAGGGCCCCTTTGGGTGCCTGACCCGTCCCTGTTACGGCACCGCCCGTGGCACGTCGGGCACCACCGGGGCTGGGGGTGTGCTGGGCACAGCACTGGGGGGCTGCTGGTGAGGGAGGGGTCTCAGAGAGGTTGTGAGGGGGTCCCACTGACCCCCCCCTTGCCCCCCCAGGGCCCCTTTGGGTGCCTGACCCAGGCCCGGTACGGCATCGCGTGGGGCGCGCTGGGCGCGGCCGAGGCGTGCCTGGAGACCGCTCGTCAATACGTCCTGGACAGGTACCTGGGACACGTTTGAGGGGGGACAAAAGGGGGTCTGGGTGCCCCCCAAACTCACCCCCCACTCTTTGGTGCCCCCCCAGGAAGCAGTTCGGGGGGCCCCTGGCACGGAACCAGCTGGTGCAGAGGAAGTTGGCGGACATGGTGACCGAGATCGCGCTGGGGCTGCACGCCTGCCTGCGCCTCGGCCGCCTCAAGGACGAGGGCAGGTGGGCTCAGGGGGTCCCCAACACCGGGGGTCCCCAACACTGGGGGGGCGTCCCCAACACGGGGGCTGTCCAGTCCCTGTCCCCTGTGTCCGTCTTGTCCCCTGTCCCTGTCCCCGCACCGGGGGTGTTGATGCTGAGGTGGAAATTTAAGGCACTGGGAATGATGTGAGAATGACATGGGACATGGAGTGACAGGAATGATGTGGGACAAGCTGGGGGGACTCCCGGGGGGTCCCACAGGGGGTTCAGTGTCCCCACCCCATCCCCACAGGGCCAGCCCCGAGATGGTGTCGATGCTGAAGCGCAATTCCTGCGGGAAGGCGCTGGGGGTGGCAGGGGGGGCTCAGGGGACAGGGGGTGCTCAGGGGACACAGGGGGTCTCAGGGGGGTCTCAGTGTCCCCATCCCTGTCCCCACAGGGCCAGCCCTGAGATGGTGTCGATGCTGAAGCGCAATTCCTGCGGGAAGGCGCTGGCCATCGCGCGGGACGCGCGGGACATGCTGGGGGGCAACGGGGTGTGCGACGAGTTCCACGTCATCCGGCACCTCATGAACCTCGAGGCCGTCAACACCTACGAAGGTACCGCGGGGGGGGGGTCCTGGGGGGGTCCCGGGGGGGGTCTTTGGGGCTCACGCCCTGCTTGTGCCTCCCCACAGGAACCCACGACATCCACGCGCTGATCCTGGGCCGAGCCATCACCGGGATCCAGGCGTTCGCCCCCCCCAGGGGGACATAGTGGGGACAGCTGGCACCGTGGGGACACCAGGGACACCAGGGACAGCTGGCACCGTGGGGACAACAGGGACACCCAGGACAGTGGGGACAGCTGGCACCGTGGGGACACCAGGGACACCCAGGACACTAGGGACAGCTGGCACCGTGGGGACACCAGGGACACCCAGGACAGCGGGGACAGTGGGACACCCATCAGGGACACTCAGGACATTGGGGACACCCAGCGCAGGTGGGGACAGGTGGCACTCGCAGGGAGGGACGTGGGGACACAGCAATGCCACCTGGACACGGAGCCACCACCCGGACTCATTGTCACCAACGGGACCTGGTGTCACCCCAACCCAATCTGGTGTCACCAGCCGGACCCAACATCACCAACTGGACCCAATGTCACCAACTGGACCCGGTGTCACCCCAACCCAACCTGGTGTCACCAGCTGGACCCAATGTCACCAACTGGACCCAGTGTCACCAACTGGACCCGGTGTCACCAACTGGACCCGGTGTCACCCCAACCCAACCTGGTGTCACCAGCTGGACCCAATGTCACCAACTGGACCCGGTGCCACCCCAACCCAACTTTGTGCCATCGACGGGGCCCAGTGTCACCAACAGGGCCGGGTGTCACCAGCTGGACACGGTGCCACTGACGAGCCTCGGTGTCACCCCACCCAAACTCACGTGCCACTGGCAGGGCCCGGTGTCACCACCCGAACCTCCTGTCACCGGCGGGACTCGGTGGCACCGACTGGACTCGGTGTCACCAGCGGGACTGGGTGGCACTGACGGGATTCGGTGTCACCCACCAACCCTGTTGTCACCCAGGTGTCACCAATGGGGCTGGTGTCCCCCCCAGGACTCAGTGTCACCCATGGGAGCCGGTGTCCCCCCCAGGACAGGACTCAGTGTCACCCATGGGAGCCGGTGTCCCCCCCCCAGGACAGGACTCAGTGTCACCCACCAGCCCTGCTGTCACCTGGGTGTCACCAAGGGGACCCCGGATGTGCCTTCGCCGTCCCTGCAGCCAATAAAGGGCAGGACGGCCCCTCCCCCCCCGTGCCAGCCACCATTAATTAACAGCAGCGCTAATTAACCCTCCTCAGCAGCGCTAATTAACCCGCCAGGCCCCCCCCACCCCGTCCCAGCTCCTGGGGGGGCTCCGGCTCTTTATTTGTTCCCAACACCAACGGCAACGCAAAAACAAGCCCCTTTTGGGGGGCCAAAATCCCCCCTCCAGCTTTTGGGGTCCCTGAAGGTTTTGGGGGGTCCCGTTTAGGTCTGGGGGACCCCTCAGGCAACGGGCAGAGGTCTCAGTAAGGTTTGGGGGGTCCCGATGAGGTCTGGGGGTCCCCTCAGGGCTTGTTCTGCAGGCACAGGTCCCTGTAAGGTTTGGGGGGGTCTCTCTAAGCTTTGAGGGGGTCTCTCTCAGGCCTGGGGCCCCCTAAAGGCTTGTTCTGCAGGCACAGGTCCCTGTGAGGTTTGGGGGGTCTCTCTCAGGTCTAGGGGTCTCTCTAGATCTGGGGTCTCCGTGGGTTGGGGTCTCTCTAAGGTTTTTGGGGTCCCCTCAGGGCTCGTTCTGCAGGCACAGGTCCCTGCAGGCCTCCTCCATGGAGCAGCAGACGCGGCGCAGCTCGGCCTGGGCCCTGTCCAGGCGCTCCATGAGCTCGGCCAGCTCGTGCAGGCGCCGCTGGATGCGCTCGTTGTGCAGCCCGTAGAGGTGGAAGAGCCGCTCCTCCAGCTGCTCCGCCAGCGCCGACACCTGCGCGGGCAGCGAGCGGGGCCGCGGCTCGTCCCGGGGCTGGCACGGCCCTGCTTCTGTCCCTGTCCCCATCCCTGTCCCCGGGGCTGGCACGGCCCTGCTTCTGTCCCTGTCCCCATCCCCGTCCCCGGGGCTGGCACGGCCCTGCTTCTGTCCCCATCCCTGTCCCTGTCCCCGGGGCTGGCACGGCCCTGCTTCTGTCCCCATCCCTGTCCCTGTCCCCGGGGCTGGCACGGCCCTGCTTCTGTCCCCATCCCCATCCCCGGGGCTGGCACGGCCCTGCTTCTGTCCCCATTCCCATCCCCGGGGCTGGCAGGGGCAGCTGCGTCCCCCCCACGCTGGCCCCGCTCCCGGCCCGGCCCGGCGAGCGCCACCTGAGCCCCGGTGGCCGCGGTGATCACCGAGAGCGCCGGGTCAGCGGCGGCCGCAGCTGCCGGGCCCGGGGCTGCCATCTGCGCCGGGGCCTGGGGACACCCCCGCGGGGACCCCCGGGGGGAGGGAGGGCTGAGGGGGCAGCTGCGGCCGCCCCCGAGGGGGGTCCGGGCGGGGGTCCCGCAGCTGGGGCCGGGCAGAGCCGCCGCTCCCCCACCGCCCTCCCGCTCCCTCCCCGCTCCGGGTGGGCACGGGGACCCCCCCCACAGCCGCTCCCCCCTCGTGCCCCGTCCCCGCACCCACCTGGAGCAGGAGGGAGCTGCGGAAGGTGCCGAGCGCGGCGTGGTCGCTCTCGCGGCCGGCGTTGATGCGGGAGATGAGGCGCTGCACCCGCTGCCGCAGCCCCTCCACGCGCCCCGACACCCCCGACAGGTACCGCGACGAGCAGGGCGGCAGCGGCGGCTCCTCCGGCCTCGGCGGGGACACGGACACGAGTCGGGGACAGACACGGGGATGAGGGACAGGAACAGGGGACAGGGACACCCCAACAGGTGACAGGGACATCCCAACAGGTGACAGGGACACCCCAACAGGGACACCCCAACAAGGACAGGGACACCCCAACAGGGACAGGGACATCCCAACAGGTGACAGGGACAGCGACAGGGACACACCAGCAGGGACAGTGGAGAGGGACAGGGACACACCGACAGGGAGAGGGGACAGGGACAGTGACACCCCAACAGGTGACAGGAACACCCCAGAAGGGACACCCAGCAGGACAGGGACACCCCAGCAGGGACATGGAACAGGGACAAGGACACACTGACAGGGGACAGGGACCCCCTGGCAGGGGTGAGCACTCCACCAGGGAGGGGACAGGGACCCCCATCAGGGCCAAGGACCCCCCATTAGGGATGTGTATCCCACTGGGGACGGGATGGGGACCCCCTTGTGAGGGTCACAGACCCCCAGGGATACGGACCCCTCATCAGGGCACAAGGACCCCTCTTTTTCCCCCCCATTTCCCTCAAACCCCTGCCAGGGCACAGGTGAGGGTGGTACCTGTCGGAGTCCTCTCCGGGAGGCTCTTTGGGGTCCCTGCCAGGTCCCCCCTCCTGCTCGGGACCCTCGGGCTCCTTCCGCGACATCCTGGCCCTTGGGGGGGGCTCTGGGGAAGGACCCCCGGGTTGGGGACAGTGCTGGGGGGCTGCAACACCCCCAACCTGCGGGGGGGAACTGGGGTCCCAGGGGTGTGTTGGGGTCCCAGGGGTGTGTCAGTGGTCCCGGGGGGTGGGTTGGGGGTCCCTGGGTGGGTCAAGGCTCGGGGGTCCCGGATCCGGCACCGACCTGAGGGGACCCCCTCAGCCGCCCCTCACACCTGGTGGGCGGGACCCTCCGGCTGACTGACACCCGACCCGGCCAATCAGCGGGCGCCTCTCGCACCGCGGCGCTGATGATTGGCGGGGAGGCGGAGCCCCAGGGATGACTGGCATCTGCATCGACCAATCAGCGCTAGCTCGGGAGACGCGGCAGCCAATCAGACCAAAGGCGGGAAAGGCGGGAAGGGCCGGGGAGAAGAGACCGCGATGGCGCCCGGGGGGGGGTCCCGGGGTGGGGCCCAAGGGGGTCTTGAGGGTCCCAAAGGGGGTCTGAGGGGACAATAAACCCTCCCCAAGCGCCGCCCCACGCATGGTTTCCACCCCAGTCCACACACAGGAACGGCCAGCCCACGGGACTTTATTGGGGGGTGGGGAGGACCCCCGAGGACGAGACCCCCCAAAATGAGGGGAAGGGGAGGTGGGGAGGGGGTCACACGTCCAGACGGCACAGGGGGCTGTCGTAGACCATCTGCAGGTTGACTCGGTGCCCCACGAGCTCGCGGATGTTGTTGATGCCGTATTTGATCATGGTGGGTCTGGGGGAGATGGGGGAAGGAAAGGAAGGGGGGCCGTCAATGGGCGCCCCCTCCCCAAATTGGGCCCCCATCCCAACCCCATCCCCATCCCCCCGGCGCCCCCCACTCACCGCTCGAGCGAGAGCCCCCAGGCGATGACGGTGACGTTGTCGGGGAGCCCCATGGGCAGCAGCAGCTCGGGCCGGAAGACCCCCGAGTTTCCCACCTCCACCCACTTCTTCAGGCCTGGGGAGGGGGCTGGGGGTGATCTGGGGCACCCCGGAGACCCCCCCGAGACAGGGGAGACCACCCCCCTCATATCCAAATTCCAGAGACACCCCCCCTCTCATTACTGGAACCCCAAAGACCATCCCCCCCACCCCCTCCATGGGAGCTCAAAGCCAGGCCGACCCCCACCCCCAAAATCCCCCAGTCCTCCTCCCCTGCCCTAATTGAGGACCCCCTACCCTAAGCGGGGGTGCCCCCAAACCCTCTCCCCTCAGGATCCCCTCCTCTAAGGGAGCTCCCCAGACCCCAAGACGCCCTTGCTCTCAATGGGAGCCCCCCAGCCCCTCCTGCCCTAATTGAGGACCCCCTACCCTAAGCGGGGGTGCCCCCAGACCCCCACCCCTCCAGAGCTCCCCAGGCCCCCCCTCACCCTGGTGGTAGCTGAAGACCTCCCATGCTGGGCTCGGTGTAGGGGTTGTAGGCGGGTTTGAAGCGCAGCTGGGAGATCCCTGGGGGGATCAGGGGGTCAGGGGGGGCTCTGGAGGGGTCCCTTCCCCCCCTAAACCCCCTGGCGCACCCAGCTTGTTGAAGAACTGCCTGAGGGTGCCCATGAGGTGGCCCAGGGTGAGCCCCCGGTCGGCCACGACCCCCTCGACCTGGTGGAACTCGGCCAGGTGCGTCGCGTCCAGGCTCTCGTTGCGGAACACGCGGTCGATGGAGAAATATTTCACGGGGGTGAACTTCTCCTGGGGAGGGGGGGGGGAAAAGGGCAGGTGAGACCTCCACCCTCTCCCCATGGCTGCCCCTGAACCCCTCGGACCACCCCTGAATGGCTCTGAGCCCCCCAAAGCACCCGGAGCCCCCTAAACTGCTCTGAGCCCCCATAAAGAGCTCTGACCCCTCTAAACTGCTCTGACCCCTAAGCTGCTCTGACCCCTAAAACTGCTCCTGCCCCCCCCCAAACTGCTCTGACCCCCCATAAAGAGCTCTGACCCCCCTAAACTGCTCTGACCCCTCCTAAACAGCTCTGGCCCCCCCAAACTGCTCTGATCCCCTAAACTGCTCTGACTCCCAAACCCCACCTGACCCCCTCCTAAACCTTCTGCTGACCCCCAAACCAACTCTGACCCTTCTCAAGTCCCTCTGACTCTCCACATAACCTCCCTGAGCCCCTTCCAATTCTCCCTGACCCCCCAAACTCCGTGACTCCCCAAGACCTCCCTGACCCCCCAGATCTCTGTGACCTCCCCAGATCCCTGTGACCCCCCTCAGAGCCTCCCTGACTCTCCCATGCCCCCCCAGACCTGCTGTGCCAGGCGGAACAGGGCGCCCTGGCGCTGGCCGACGCCAGTGGGTTCTCAGCAGGTTCTTCTCGGGCCTCCTCCACCTTCCAGTCGTACCTGTACCTGCTGGGGGCCCGGGAGGTTTGGGGGCCGGGGGTGTGTTCAGGAGGGCGGGGGCACCCCTGGGGGTGGGGGTCTCACCCTGAGAGCCGTGATCCCTCCTGGGAGTGAACCTTCTTCACTCGCGAGCTGTAGCCGGGGGGCAGCTGGGGGCCTCGCGGGGTCTGGGGGCACAACCCTCGTCAGGGGGGGTTGGGGGCTCAGGGGGGCAGGAAGGCTTGGAGGGGGTACCAGGATATGGGAGGGGGACACGCAAATGTGAAGGGGGGACAGAAGAGTCTGGCGGGGGGTGGTCAGAGCGGTTTGGAGGGGTAAAATTAGGGGTGGGGGCTCAAAAGAGTTTGGAGGAGATAAAAATTAGGGAGGGGGTCAGAGGGCGCTGAAGGGGAGCAGTGGGATTTGGGGAGCAGGTCAGGGGGTTTTCAGGGGGCTCAGAGGTGTTTTGGGGATGAGAATTTTAAGGGGGAGGATCACTGAAGGTTTCCAAAGGGCTCAGAAGGGGCTTGGGGGTCAGTGGGATTTGTGGGGGGTGGGGGTGTCACTGTTTCCAAGAGGATCAGAAGGGTCTGGGGGCCATTGAGACTCAGGGCAGGTCAGGGGTTCTGGGGTGTCTGAGGGGTCAATGGGACTTGGGGGAGGTCAGGGAGTTCCAGGGGTGCCAGAGGGGTCTGGGGGCCATTGAGACTCGGGGCAGGTCAGGGGGTTCCGGGGTGTCCGAGGGGTCGGGGTCAGTGGGACTTGGGGGAGGTCAGGGGGTTCCAGGGGTGTCAGAGGGTCTGGGGGCCAGTGGGATCTCAGGGCAGGTCAGGGGGTTCCCGGGATGTCCAAGGGGTCAATGGGACTTGTGGGAGGTCAGGGGTTTCCAGGGGGCTGAGTCAGTGACTGGGGGTCAGGGGGCTGGGGTGTCAGTGGGACTCGGGGCAGGTCAGGGGGGTCCAGGGGTGTCCGAGGGGTTCGGGACGGGGCTCAGAGGGTCTCTGTGCCCCCCTAAGCCCCACCCAGCAGGAAGAAGGTGTCGTGCTGGTCGCGCGCCGGGTGCTGCTGGGGCTGGAACAGCGCGTCGAAGTTCCAGAAGGAGCTCTCCACGAAGTTATCCGTGGGCATCTCCGTGAACCTGGGATGAGAGGGGGAGGTCCCTGCGTCACCAAGAAGCTCCCTGTGCCCCTCCCTGAGCCCCCCCAGGCCCCCCAGTCACTCACCCCATCTCCAGGAAGATCTGGCGCAGCTCGGAGCGCACCTTGAGCAGGGGGTGGAGGTGCCCGCAGGGCGGGGGCAGCCCCAGCGCCGAGAAGTTGTAGGGTTTGAAGGGCAGGCTGCGCCAGGACCCCCTGTGGGGACCCCAGGGGTTGTTCCAAGGTCACAGCAGGGGTGATTTTTTTTTGGGGGGGGTGTTAAAGGTCAGAGGTCACGCACGTGGAAATCATCTCGGGTGTCAGCTCCGTCTCCGGCCGCGCCACGGCCGTGCTGAAGGCGCTGCCCTTGCGGATCCAGAACGACTTCAGGGTCCTGGGGGGGCGCCCGGGGGGGTCAGGGGGAGTCCCCCAGACCCTCTAATTCCCCCCCAGACCCCCCCCTTCCCCCTCAGCTCACACTTCCAGCAGCAGCTTCCTCCGCTTGAGCTCGGCGCGGTCGCGCTCGGGCAGGGCCGGGGCCCCCCCCGCCCTCACCTGGCCCAGCTGCTCCTGCACCGAGTCCTGCACCGAGGGCACCTGGGGGGGGTGAAATGGGGAGGGGGGGACACCCCCGGGGTGGGGCTGGGCCCAACAGAGACACCCCCCCAGGACCCCTTCCCGGGATGGTTTTGGTTTCGGGGGATTCCCCCCCCCCCATCATTTCCAGGGTCTTCCCTTTGATCCCCCAGTTCCAGGGATCCCCAGGGACACTCCCAGTTCTTGGGACCCCCAAGGACCCTCCCAGTTCTTGGGGACCCCCAAGGACCCTCCCAGTTCCAGGGACCCTCAGGGACACTCCCAGTTCTTGGGGACCCCCAGGGACCCTCCCAGTTCCAGGGCCCCCCAGGGACGCTCCCAGTTCCAGGGACCCCCAGGGACCCTCCCAGTTCCAGGGACACTCCCAGTTCTTGGGGACCCCCAGGGACACTCCCAGTTCCAGGGACCCCCAGGGACCCTCCCAGTTCCAGGGACCCCCAGGGACCGTCCCAGTTCTTGGGGACTCCCAGGGACCCTCCCAGTTCCAGGGACCCTCAGGGACCCTCCCAGTTCCAGGGACCCCCAGGGACCCTCCCAGATCCAGGGACCCCCAAGGACCCTCCCAGTTCCAGGGACCCTCCCAGTTCTTGGGGACCCCCAGGGACCCTCCCAGATCCAGGGACCCTCCCAGATCCAGGGACCCCCAGGGACACTCCCAGTTCCAGGAACCCCCAGGGACCCTCCCAGATCCCGGGTACCACCCCCTCAAATCCTCCCCTCAGTCCCACCCACCCCAGGACCCTCCTGGTTTCCAGGGACCCCGCCTTGAATCCTCCCGATTTCTGGGGACCCCCTCCCTGGACCCTCCCTAGTCCCTCCGTGCCCCCTCGGGACCCTCCCCAGCCCCCCCGTGCCCCCGTGTCACTCACGGCTCGGAACACGCAGGCCCTCCCGAGCGCCCTTGTCGAGGCGGAGCCATTTGTTGGCCATGGCCTTGCTGAAGCCCAGGGACCCCCTGGCAGCTTCTGCGGGGGCGCAGCGCCCGTCACGGGACCCGCCGCCCACCCCCGGTGCCCCCCGACCCCCCAATCCCCCAGTGCCCTCAACAACCCCCCCAGTACCCCCCAGTGCCCCCAGTGCCTCCCCGGCTCAGGAATGGCCCCATCCCGGGGCTCCCACTCCCCAGCACTCCCTGTACCGGGCCCCTCTGACCCCTCGTCCCGGTACCAGTGACCCCGGACCCACCTGGGCCTCGGCCTGGGGGAGCCCCTGCTCGGGGAGGCTCCGGAACAGCCGCACCTCGGGGCTCCCGTCCCGCAGCACCTCCTGCCCCTCCGCGCTCAGCTCCCATCGCGTGGCCGTGCGGGGCTCGGCCTCGATCACCTGCGCCGGGAACACCGGGGTGGGCACCGGGAGAACCGGGGTGGGCACCAGGAACACCGGGATAACCGGGATAACCGGGATGGGCATCGGGAACACCGGGGTGGTCACCGGGATAACCGGGATGGGCAACGGGAACACCGGGGTGGGCACCGGGAACACCGGGATGGGCACCGGGAACACCGGGATGGGCACCGGGAGAACCGGGATGGGCAAAGGGAACACCGGGATGGGCAACGGGAACACCGGGATGGGCACCGGGATCACCGGGATGGGCACCGGGGGCATCCCCGGGGCGCCGCCCTCACCTCCCCCAGGGCCTGCAGGCTCTTCACGGCGCCCACGAGCGTCTGGTGGTCCACGCCGAGCTCGGCGGCGGCCTCGAGGCTGCAGAGCCCGCCGGGGGCCCCGGGCCGGTCCAGGCGCTGCAGGAGCTGCTCGGCCACGCCGGGCGCCATGGCCGGAAGTGATCCCGGCCCCGCCGGAAGTGGAGGGAGAGGGGGAGGAGAGTGTGGAGGGCGCCATCTTGGGAGTGGCATCGGCGCCATCTTGGGAGTGGCAAAGTGGCCTCGCGGGGGGTGGTGGAGCTCTGTTACGTCATTGATGCGCGCGATGACGTCACGCAGCGCTAACAGGGTCTACCACAGCTGCCCCCCCACGCACACCCCTCGGAGCCAGCCCCGGAGCTTCGGGGTTAGCTCAGGGTTCACTTTCCTTCTGTTCACACGAGCGGTGACGTCACTGGAGCAGTGACATCACCAGCGCTGTGTGAGGTCAAACACGAGCAGGAGACCCCCCCTCCCCCCGCCGCGGTTACCGGTCTCCCCCTCCCCATAATCCCGCCCCCCAAACCCCCTGCTTTTTCCCCGAAGCCCCCAACTAAAACCAGGCCTGGCCCTTTAAGAGCGCGCCTCCCACGCCCCCTTACGTGACCCCGCGCGCGGGGAGGGGGGGGCGTCTCCCACCGCACGCGTGGTCGCCTCTGATTGGCCGCCCCTCGCAACCAATGGGAAGCGGCCATCTGGGACGCCAACGTTCGGGGGCTGCGGGGCGGGCGGCGGGCGGGCGGCTCGGCCAATGGGAGCGGGCCGCGCGCGGGCCCCGGCCAATGGGAAAGGGGTGCGGGCGGGGCGAGGGGCGGCGGGAGGATAAAAAGGGCCGCGCGCCTCCGCCCCCCTCCGCAGTGTCCGGGCGGCGCCGGGCGGGGACGGAGCGGAGCGAGCGGCCATGAGAACCCTCAGCGCCCTCAGCGCCGTCCTGCTCGCAGCGCTCCTGGCGCCCGCCGCCGCGGGGCCCGCCCAGCTCTTCCGCGAGGAGTTCGCGGATGGAGGTGAAGGACAGAAGGAGGGGAGGGGAGGGGTGGGGTGGGGGTGTGTGTGGTGGTGGGGGTCGCTGAGGGCGGGGGCTCGTGAGGGGAAGGGGGTGGGCGGTGCCTGAGGGGGAGGGGCTGAGGAGGGGGTCGTGAGGGGTGGGAGGAGGAGGGGAGGGCCCCTCGTGTTGTCTGAGGGGAGGGACGAGCGGGGGGAGACCCTCCGTGCTCGCTGAGGCGGGGGAGGAGAGTGGGGGGGATCCGTGGTGTGCTCTGAGGGGAAGGAAGAGGTGGGGAAACCCCCCTGTGTTCTCTGAATGGGGGGAGGAGGGTGAGGGGACCCCCTGTGGCCTTTAAGGTGTGGGGAGGGCCCTCTGTGCTCCCTGAGGGGAAGAAGTGGGGGGGGACCCTCCTGTGTTCTCTGAGGAGAGCAAAGAGAGTGGGGGGAGATCTTCTGTGCTCTTTGGGGGAAGGGAGAGGCCACTGATCTTCTCTGAGGGGAGGGGAAGGATTTGGGGGGCCCCCAGTAAGAAATAACCGTCTATAATGTGTGAAGGAAGAGAGAGCACCTGTGTTCTCTGAGGGGAGGAAGAAGAGTCGGGGACTCCCTGTGCTCTTTAGGGGCGAGGGGATTTAGGAGGTCTCCCCTCAGGTTGGGGGGTCAAGCCAGGAAGGATTTGGGGGTGGGGGCTGAGGGGTCTCACCTGGGCTGGGGGGGGTGAGCCCTCAGGTGGAGCAGGGGCAGGTAAAACAGGTGGAGGGGAGGGAAAGGGGCAGGTAAAGGAGATGGAGAGGAGGGAAAAGAGCAGGAAAAGGATGGTGGGGGGATCCTAAAAGACTCTCTGGCACCAGGGCTTTGATTTTATTCCAAGACTCCCCTCAAAGCCTGAGCTCTCTGGGGTTGGGGGAAAGGAGCAGTTTGGGGGTTCAGGGCTGGTCGGGAAATGCTGGGGGGGGGTCCTGAGAGAGACCCCCTCACACCAGGGCTCTGCTTTACTCCATGGCCCCAAATCCTCTGAGATCCCCAAACCCTGAGATCTTTGGGACTGGATGGGGGAAAGGAGCATTTTGGGGGTTCAGGGGCAGGCTGGGATGTGCTGTGGGGAGGAGAGGGGGAGGCGATCCTGAGAGACCCCCTCACACCAGGGCTTTGCTTTCCTCTGGGACCCCCAAATCCTCCAAACCCCGAATTCTTCAGTCCTGGGGGAAAAAGGAGCATTTTGTGGGGGTTCAGGGAGGGAGAAGCAGGAGGTGCCCTGAGGAGGAGGGGTTGTGGGGGGGGGGGATCTCCAGAGACCCTCTGTGGATCTCCAAATTCCCTCTCCCCAAACCTCTGAGCTCTTTGTGATTTTGAGGGGGTGTGAAGGAGCAGTCTGGGGGTTCGGGAGCTGCCGTGAGGGGTCCTAAACTCTCCCCTTTCCCTCTCCCCCTGCCCCCCAGACGCCTGGAGCCGCCGGTGGGTGGAGTCGAAGCACAAACCCGACTACGGGCGGTTCGTGCTCACGGCCGGCAAGTTCTACGGCGACGCCGAGAAGGACAAAGGTGAGGGGGGAGGAGGAGGAGGAGGAGGAGGAGGAGGTCGGGAGACCCCCGGGGCGGGGCCGTGCCCCCTCCTCACCCTCCCGGGGTGCCCCCCCCAGGCATCCAGACGAGCCAGGACGCCCGTTTCTACGCCCTGTCGGCGCGCTTCGAGCCCTTCAGCAACCGCGACAAGACGCTGGTGCTGCAGTTCACGGTGAAGCACGAGCAGAACATCGACTGCGGCGGGGGCTACGTCAAGCTCTTCCCGGCCAGCCTGAACCAGGAGGACATGCACGGGGACTCCGAGTACAACATCATGTTTGGTGGGTGTGCTGCTCCTCCCCCCAGAGCCCCCCATGCCACCCTGGCTGGGCTCAGACCTTCCCCCTCACCCAGAGCCCCCCACGCCACCCTGGGTGGGCTCAGACCTTCCCTGTCACCCAGAGCCCCCACACCCTGGGTGGGCTCAGACCTTCCCTGTCACCTTCCCTGTCACCCAGAGCCCCCCGCACACCCTGGGTGGGCTCAGACCTTCCCTGTCACCCAGAGCCCCCCACAAAATCCCCTGGGTGGGCTCAGACCTTCTCTGTCACCCAGAGCCCCCCACACACCCTGGGTGGGCTCAGACATTCCCTGTCACCTTCCCTGTCACCCAGAGCTGCCCACACCACCCCCTGGGTGGGTTCAGACCTTCCCTGTCACCCAGAGCCCCCCACACACCCTGGGTGGGCTCAGACCTTCCCTGTCACCCAAAGGCCCCCACCACCCCCTGGGTGGGCTCAGATCTTCCCTGTCACCCAGAGCCCTCCCACCACCCCCTGGGTGGGCTCAGACCTTCCCTGTCACCCAGAGCCCTCCCACCACCCCCTGGGTGGGCTCAGACCTTCCCCCTGACTGTCCCTGTCACCCAGAGCCCCTCACACCACCCTGGGTGGGCTCAGACATTCCCTGTCACCTTCCCTGTCACCCAGAGCCCCCCACACCACCCCCTGGGTGGGCTCAGACCTTCCCTGTCACCCAGAGCCCTCCCACAAACCCCTGGGTGGGCTCAGACCTTCCCTGTCACCCAGTTCCAGACCCCTCAGACCTCCCTGTCACCCTCCCAGACCCTGCCACCCACACCCTGGGTGGCCCAGACTTCCTGTCACCTTCCCTGTCACCCAGAGCCCCCACCACCCTGGGTGGCCTCAGACCTTCCTGTCACCTTCCCTCACCCAGAGCCCCCCACCACACCCTGGGTGGGCTCAGACCTTCCCTGACCCGACCCTCCTGTCCCCCTTCCTTTCCCCCTGCCCAGGTCCCAGACCGTCTTGTCCGTCCCCAGGCCCCACAGAAGGTGCACCGCTGATCCTTTCCGACATTACAAGTGGCACAGAAGGTGCATGACTTATTAGGCAAGAATTGCTTAACAAGGACATTCGCTGCAAGGTGGGTGTTGGGGGGGTGTTGGGGGTCCTGCTGCCCCTCATGGGCGGGGTTTTGTGGCTTTTCTGAGCCCCCCTTTCCCCCAGGATGACGAGTTCACCCACCTGTACACGCTGGTGGTGAGGCCCGACAACACCTACGAGGTGAAGATCGACAATGCCCGGGTGGAGTCGGGGTCCCTGGAGGAGGACTGGGATTTCCTGCCCCCCAAAAAGATCAAGGACCCCGAGGCCCGAAAACCCGACGACTGGGACGAGAGGGCCAAGATCGACGACCCTGAGGACACCAAGCCCGAGGTGAGGGGGCTCTGGGAGCGCCCTGATGGGAACTGGGGGGTTTGGGGGTTCTGAGGGGCTGGGGAAGCTGAGGGAGCTCCTGGAAGAGTTTGGGGGCTCTGGGAGGGGCTGAGGGGCTCTGAGGGTAACTGGAGTGGGCTGAGGGGGGTTTGGGGAGGGGATTTGAGAGGAGTTCTGAGGGGAGTTGTGGGGAAGGAACTCCTGGGGGGGCTCTGAAGGCGCTGTTGTAGAATCCTAATGGGAATGAGGGAGGCTCTGGGGAAATTAGGAGGTTTGGGGGCATTGAGGGGTTTGGGGGAGCTCTGGGAGTGCTGTGGTGGGGCCCTGAGGGGGGCCCTGAGGGGTTTGGAGGTCTCTTTGGTACCAGGACAGTGAAATTGGGTGGGGAGGTGGAGAGGCCAGAGGAGCTCTGAGGGGATTTGGGGGGGAGGAACCAGGGCAGTGAAATTGGGGGGACCTTGGGGGGCTCCAGAGGGACCACAACAGCCCCCCTTGTTCCCTCCCACCCCCAGGACTGGGACAAACCCGAGCACATCCCGGACCCCGACGCCAAGAAACCCGAGGATTGGGACGAGGAGATGGACGGGGAGTGGGAGCCCCCCGTGATCCAGAACCCCGAGTACAAGGTGTGGGGAGGGAAGGGAGCCCTTTATTTTGGGGGGTGGGGTGGGGGGTCAGAAAAGGGGCTGTGCCCACCCTGACCCCCCTCCCTCCCCGCGTGCCCAGGGCGAGTGGAGGCCGCGGCAGATCGACAACCCCGACTACAAGGGCAAGTGGGTGCACCCCGAGATCGACAACCCCGAGTACAGCCCCGACCCGCTGCTCTACTCCTACGACAGCTTCGGGGTCATCGGCCTCGACCTCTGGCAGGTCAGCCCGGGGGGACCCCCAGGGAGGGGGCAGGGGGGTCCCCAAATCCCTTCAGGAGCTCCCTGCGCTTTTACCCCCCCCCTACCCCCGGAGTCGCCCCCAAATCCTAACCTGGAGGTTCCCCAAGTCCTCCAGGAGCTCCCACCAGAGCCCTCAAATCCTAACCCAGCGCCCCCAGACACCTGCAGGAGCCCCCCAGACCCCTCAAATCCTAACCCAGAGCCCCCAGACATCTGCAGGAGCCCTCCCAGACCCCCAAACCTCAACCCAGAGCTCCCCCAGACCCCTTAATTTCCCCCAGAGCCCTCCCATTTCCCCCCAAACCCTTCCCAATTCCCCTCCTGAGTCCCCCCAACTCCTCCCAGGGCACAACCAGACCCCTCCCCACCTCAGGCTCAGTGTCCTCAGGGTGGTCCATCTCGGGCAGGGGGGGCTGTGGGACCCCCTAAGGGGCTGTGGACCCCCCCCAACCCCTCCTGACTCCCCCTCCCCACAGGTCAAGTCCGGCACCATCTTTGACAACTTCCTGATCACGGACGACGAGAAGTTTGCCGAGGAGATCGGGAACGAGACCTGGGGGCCACCAAGGTGAGACCCTCTGAGACCCCCCAGGAGTCCTCTGAGACCCCCCAGGACCTCTCTCTGAGACCCCCTTCCCTAGGACCCCTCAGTGACCCCTCTGAGCCCCCCCAGGACCTCCTGTTGACCCCCCTGAGCCCCCCCTAAAGACCCTTCTCAGTGACATCACCTGAGTCCCAGTGACCCCTCTGAGACCCCCTGCGACCCCTCTGGTGCCCCCTCCCCAGGTAACCCCTTTGAGCCCCCCACGGCCCCTCTGGTGACCCCCTGTGACCCCTTTGAGCCCCCTCATGACCCCTCTGAGCCCCCTGGTCACCCCTTCCCCTGTGACCCCTCTGACCATCCCTGGTCACCCCTTCCCCTCCGGTGCCCCTCTGAGCTCCCCCAGGACCCCTCTGGTGCCCCCTGTGCCGGTGCCCCCTCTGAGCCCCCCAAACCCCCCCCCAGGAGGCAGAGAGGAAGATGAAGGAGCAGCAGGACGAGGAGCAGCGCAGGAAGCAGGAGGAGGAGGAGAAGCAGCAGAAGGAGGAGGAAGGGGACGACGATGGGGACGAGGAGGAGGAGGAGGACGAAGAGCCCGAGGCCGAGCCCGACGAGGGCGAGGGGGGAGCCCCCCGGGACGAGCTGTGAGGGCCCCCCCGGGGGGGCCGTTCTGTCTCTGTGAGACCCTTGGACTCTTTTCTACGGGAGCCGGGACCCCCCCGGGGACCCCCCCAGGACAACCAGGGGCCCTGGGGATTCACTGGGACCCCCCCCCAGGACAACCAGGGACCCCCAGGACAACCAGGGGCCCTGGGGATTCACTGGGACCCCCCCCCCAGGACAACCAGGGACCCCCCAGGACAACCAGGGGCCCTGGGGATTCACTGGGACCCCCAGGACAACCAGGAACCCCAGGACAACCAGGGGCCCTGGGGATTCACTGGGACCCCCAGGACCTCTCAGGATCCCCAGGACAACCAGGGGCCCTGGGATTACTGGGACCCCCAGGACAACCAGGGGGCCCTGGGGATTCACTGGGGCCCCCCCAGGAGTGACCAGGACCCCTAGGAGTGACCAGGGACCCCCTGGGAGTGACCAGGGACCCCCTGGGAGTGACAAGGGACCCCCTGGGGGCTGCCTGGGGGAGCCCCCCCGGAGCGAGCGGGACCCCGGGGGTGAGGACTCAGGACAGGGGTGTGGGGAGGGTGCAGGGTGGGGGTCGCACGGGCTGTACGGGGGGTGTTGCCATCCGGTTTCTATTAAATTAACGATCGTCCCGGCGCCGCCTCCGCCCCTTCTTTGTCCTCTGAGCCCCCCGACCCCTCAGAGCCCCCTCCTCACCACCCCTTGTGTTTCTTTTTTGTGTGGTTTCTCTTGTTTTCATTTTTATTTTTCGTTTTCAGTTTCTCTTCATTTTTATTTTTCGTTTTCGTTTTTTTTTGCCCACATTTTCTTAACCTTTCTTTATTCATTCACTTTTCTTCATTCATCATCTGTCTTCTTCATTCTCATTCTTCATTCTCCTCCTCCTCCATCCTTCTTCTCTGCCGTGCTGGTGACCCCTCCCCCTGGCGACCCCCTGAACCCCCTGCAGTGACCCCTGCGATCCCTCGGGCCCCCCACACGACCCCCAGTTCATCTTCCCCCCCCTCATCTTCCTCCTCCTCCCTCTCCTCTTCCTCCCCCTCCCCCGCCATGTCGCGCCCGCCGCCATTTTGTGTCGCCGTCGCCGCGCGCGCGTCACGTGACGAAGGTCCCGAGTCCCGCCCCGTTTCCCGCGTCACGTGACGAAGGGCGGAGAGAGGGCGGGAGAGGAAAAAGGGCGGGAAGGCGCTGACGCCATTTCCGCGAGGGCGGCGGAAGCGGCGGGGCCGCCTCCTAAGATGGCGGCGGCGTGAGTTGCATGTTGTGGGGCCGCCGGGAGGAGCCGCCGCCCCCCCCGTCCCGCCCCGCCATGGCCGTGACCGTGACGCTCAAGACGCTGCAGCAGCAAACCTTCAAGATCTGCATGGAGCCGCACGAGACAGTGCGGCCGCCGCGACCCGAGCGGGAGGGGACGCGGGGAGGGGGGTGGGGAGGGATGAGGCCTCGCCCCCCTTCCTTCCTCCTCCCATCCCCCTTCCCGGCTGAGGGGCTGTGAGGGGAGGGGGTCTGGAGACCCCTGGGTTGGGATGGGGGGTTTGTGTCCTCACGGTCCGGATTTGGGGGGAAAAACCACGGGGCGTCACCTCGGGGGGGGGCTCCGTGACCCCCTGACCCCGATTTGGGGGGTTTGTTCCTCCTTTATGGGGAGGGGATCCAGGGGGGGTTTCTGTGTCCCCTGACCCCGATCCGTGGGATTTTTTCCACCTTTATGGGGGGAAATCCAGGGGGGGGGTCACCTGGGGGGGCTCCGTGACCCCCTGACCCCGATTTGGGGGTTTTGTCCCCCCTTTTCTGGGGGGTTTGTCCCCCCTTTGTGCTGGGGGGGAACTGAGGGGCACCACCTGAGGGGGGGGGCTTCTTTTCCCCCTTTTTTGGGGGGGTTTGTCCCCCCTTTTATTTTTTGAGGGGGGGGGGGTCTCGGTGACCCCTGACCCCTCTTTTTGGTGGTCCTGTCTCTGTTCCCCCCCCCCCAAATTCCCCCCCACACACTTTGGGGTTTGTTCAGTCCCAGGAGAGGGGATTATTGGGGATCATATTTTGGGTATTTTGGGGGGATTTTTAGGGGATTTTGGGGTTGTTTTGGGTGGGGGTTGGGGGTTACTTCTAGAGGTGTTTGTGGAGTGGTTTTGGGGTTGGTTTTGGGGTGTTTCTGGGGGGCCTTGGGGGTCGTTTTTGGGGCTGTTTTTGGGGCTAGTTTGTGGTTTTTTCCAGGGGTATTTTAGGGCTGTTTTAGGGTCTTTTGGGTGCATTTTGGGGCTGTTTTGGGGTGGTTTGGGTCTCCCTGACCCCCCTTGTTGCAGGTGAGGGCCCTAAAAGACAAAACCAAGACCAAGAAGGGCAGTTTTTTGGGACTGTTTTGGGGGCCGTTTTGGGGTATTTGGGGGCCGTTTTGGGGTATTTTGGGACCTGATTTTGAGGCTATTTTGGGGCGTGTTTTGGAGCCCATTTGGGGCCATTTTTGGGGCTGTTTTGGGGTGTTTTGGACCTCCCTGATCCCCCCCCCTCCCCCATTTCAGGTGAGAGCCCTGAAGGAGAAGATCGAGGCAGAGAAGGGACAGTTTGTGGTGGTGTTTTTGGGGGTATTTTGGGGCCGTTTCGGGGTATTTTAGTGCCATTTTGGGTTTTTCTGTGCCCCCCTGACCCCCCTGTTTCAGGTGAGGGCCCTGAAGGAGAAGATCGAGGCGGAGAAGGGACAGTTTTTGGGGCCTTTCAGGGGTATTTTGGGGCTGTTTCAGGGGATTTTAGGACCGTTTCAGGGTATTTTGGGCCCGTTCCGGGGTATTTCGAGGCCAATTTGGGTATTTTTGGGCCGCCCCGTTTCAGGTGAGGGCCCTGAAGGAGAAGATCGAGGCGGAGAAGGGACAGTTTTTGGGGCTGGTTTTGGGGCCGTTTGAGGGTATTTTGGGGCCATTCCGGGGTATTTCGAGGCCAATTTGGGTATTTTTGGGCCCCCCCCGTTGCAGGTGAGGGCCCTGAAGGAGAAGATCGAGGTGGAGAAGGGACAGTTTGTGATGGTGTTTCTGGGGCCGTTTGGGGGTATTTCGGGGCCGTTTTTGGGGCCGTTTCGGGGTTTTTTGTGCCCCCCTGACCCCCCCTCGTTTCAGGTGAGGGCCCTGAAGGAGAAGATCGAGGCGGAGAAGGGCAGTGAGGCGTTCCCCGTGGCGGGCCAGAAGCTCATCTACGCCGGGAAGATCCTGAGCGACGACGTCCCCATCCGCGAGTACCGCATCGACGAGAAGAACTTCGTGGTCGTCATGGTGACCAAGGTGGGACCCCCCTCCCCACCCCCCGGGGCTGGGGGCCTCTAGGTGGGGTCTGGGGGTCCCTGGGGTTTGGGGGATTTGAGGGGGTCACTTGAGTGTTTGGGGGTCCTTGGGAGGGATTTTGGGATCCCTGGGGGTCTGGGGAGGCTCTTGGGGGTCCTTAGAAGGGTTTTTGGGGTCCCCTGGGTGATTTGAGGGGGGTCCTTGGGAGGGTTTTTGGGGTCCCCTGGGAGTGATTTGAGGGGGAGGGGCTTTGGGGTCCTTGGGAGGGTTCCCTGGGCTTCTGGGGAATCTCTTGGGGAGTATTTTTGGGGTCTGGGGGCCCTTGGGAGGGGTTTTGGGGTCCTTGGGGGTGATTTGAGGGGCTCGGGGGTCTTTGGGAGGGTTTTTGGGGTCCTTGGGTGTCTGGGGGCTCTGAGGGGTCCTTGGGGGGTTTCTGGGGGCTTGGGGGTCTTGGGATGGTTTTTGGGGTCCTTGTGGGGATGTTCTGGGGTTTAGGGGGTCTTTGGGAGGGTTTTTGGGTTCTGAGGGGTCCTTGGAGGCTTTAACCTCCTTGTTTCCCCCCAGGCCAAGTCCTCTCTGGGCTCGGCAGCCCTCGAGGGCGGCCCTCGGAGCCCCCGTGGCCTTCGGACCCCCTGCCGCCGATGCGCCTCCCCACCGGCTGCGCCCCAGCGAGGACCCCCGGCACAGGAACCCCCCATCACCGAGCCCCTCGCTGGGTACCCGGAACGGGGGTGAGGGGACAGGAGAGGGCTGGGGGTCAGCAGGGGGTTGGGGATCTACAGTGGATTTGGGGAGGGGTCTCAGGGGTTTTAGGAGGGTCACGGTGGATTGGGGGTCAGAGTGATTTTTGAGTGGGTCTCAGGGACTTGGGGGAGCTCAGAGTGGATTGGGGGTCACAGGGATTTTCGGGGATCTCAGGGGTTTGGGGGTCATGATGGATTTGGGAGGTCACACTGAATTTTAGGGGTAAATGAATTTTAGGGGGTCACTGAGTTTTTGGGGGTTCACTGTGAATTTTGGGGGGTCCCACTGAATGTTGGGGGTATCACAAGGACTCTTGGGGGTCGCCGTGGGTCTGGGAGGGGCACAGTGAGTTTTGGGGGTCAGGGTGTGATGGAGCCCCCCAAAATCCCCAATTCTCACATTTCCCCCAGCTCCGTCCCCCCGGGCAGCTCCGGGCGCTCGGCCGACGCCGCCTCCACCCTCGGTGGGTCCTGGGGGTTTTGGGGGGCTTTGGGGGTTTATTGGGGGCTGGGGTGCCCAGGGCTGAGAATATTGTTTGAGTGGGGGGTGTTTTAATTTGGGGTAAAAAGGGGATGTTTTGGGTTCTTTTCAACCCCAGGCAAAGCGAGGGGGGGGCTCAGGGACTTTAAAGGAAAGGGGGGGTGTTTTTGGGGTCTCTGGACTTTGAGGGGTGTCCTAATGATTGTAAAAGTGTTGGGGGGTGGTTTTGGGGTCTCTGGATCTCTGAGAGTCCCTCCCAGCTGATGGATGGAGGGTCCCAATGACTGTAAAGGGGGGGAGGAATGTTTTTGGGGTCTCTGGACTTTGGGGGGTGTCCCAATGACTGTAAAAGGAGGGGGACTGGTTTTGGGGTCTCTGGGGGGTCCCAATGTCTGTAAGTGTGTAGGGGGATGTTTTTGGGGTCTCTGACTTTGGAGGTGTCCCCAGTGACTATAAAAGGTGTGGGGGGTGTTTTGGGTCTCTGGACCCCATCTGACGGTGGGGGTGGTCCCGGGGGTGTCCCCAGTGACTATAAAGGTGTGGTGGGTGTTTTTGGGGTCTCTGGACCCCAGCTGACGGTGGGGGTGGTCCTGGGGTGTCCCCAGTGACTATAAAGGTGTGGGGGGTGTTTTTGGGGTCTCAGCTGACGGTGGGGGGTGGTCCCGGGGGGGTGTCCCCAGTGACTATAAAGGTGTGGGGGTGTTTTTGGGGTCTCTGGACCGCAGCTGACGGTGGGGGGTGGTCCCGGGGGGGTGTCCCCAGTGACGGGCTCGGAGTACGAGACGATGCTGTCGGAGATCGTGTCCATGGGCTACGAGCGGGAGCGCGTGGTGGCCGCGCTCAGGGCCAGCTACAACAACCCCCACCGGGCCGTGGAGTACCTGCTCACGGTGAGGGGGACTGGGGGTCCTGGGGGCTCAGGGGCTTTGGGGGTCCTGGGGGTTTGGGGGTCCCCAGAGGGATTTGGGCCAGGGGGTGGCCGCGCTCAGGGCCAGCACAACAACTCCCACCGGGCCGTGGAGTACCTGCTCACGGTGAGGGGGGACTGGGGGCTCAGGGGGTTTGGGGGTCCTGGGGTCTGGGGGTCCCCAGAGGGATTTGGGGCAGGAGGGGTGGCCACGCTCAGGGCCAGCTACAACAACCCCACCGGGCCGTGGAGTACCTGCTCACGGTGAGGGGGGCCTGGGGGTCCTGGGGGCTCAGGGGGTTTGGAGGGTCCCCAGAGGGATTTGGGAGCAGGGGGTGGAATGGGGAAGCTGCAGATATCAACAACAACCCCCACACCACCAGGCTGTGGAGAACCTGCTGACGGTGATGGGGGCCTGGGGTATCAGGGAGCCTGACGGGGGTCAGGGAGGTCCTGGGGGTGGGTCTTGGGGGCTGGGGAAAGGAGGGGAGCAGCTGGGGGTCCAGGGAGGGGGTACTGGGAGGGTCTCCAAGACTTCAGACAAGGCTGGGGAGGGGTCCTGGAGCGGGGGGTGGGCGAGCTACAACCCCTCCACAGTGAGGGGGGTCTCGGGGGGTCCTGGGGGTGCCCCAGAGCCCCCCTGACCTCCCCTTGGTGCCCCCCACCCCCAGGGCATCCCTGGCAGCCCTGAGCCCGAGCGCCCGCCCGTGCAGGAGAGCCGCCCCCCGGAGCAGCCCCCGCCCGAAGGTGGGTCTGGGGGGCACCTGGGACCACCCAGGGGGTGTGGCTGGCACTGACCACGCCCCCCTGGAGCCCCCTCCTCTTCTCAGTGGGTGGGGCCACACCCTTTGAGCTCCTCCCTTTTGGGGGTGGGGTCAAAATCCCCCAATGGGAATCAACTTATTCCTTGTTGGGGCATGGCCTAAGTTGGCCACACCCATTTTTGGGCATGTCCTAAATAAGCCACACCCTCTTTCTGTGGGTGTGGCCTGGATTAACCACACTTTTTATGGGTGTGGCTTGTGTATGCCACACCCCTTTTTGTGGTTGTGCCCTTAACCACACCCTTTGTGGGTGTGGCCTGATGTGATTGACACCAGGGTGGGGGTGGTGTCACCACAAAGGGGTGGGGCTCGATGAGGCCACACCCACCACTCCCAAACATGGTGTGGGCGTGGCTTGGCAAAGCCCCTCCCCCCTCACCTGCCGGCCCCGCCCCCACCCCAGGTGAGAACCCTCTGGAGTTCCTGCGGGAGCAGCCGCAGTTCCAGAACATGCGCCAGGTGATCCAACAGAACCCGGCGCTGCTGCCGGCGCTGCTGCAGCAGCTGGGCCAGGAGAACCCCCAGCTGCTCCAGGTACCCTCACACACCCCAAAACTGCCCCAAAACCATCCCTGGGACACCCCAAAACTGCGCCAAAACCACTCCTGGGACACCCCAAAACCACCCCAGAAACCGTCCCTAAGACATCCCAAAACCACCCCTGGGATGCCCCAAAACCACTCCTGGGACATCCCAAAACTGCCCCAAAACCACCCCTGGGACACCCCAAAAACAACCCCAGAAACCTTCCCTGAGACATCCCAGAACTACTCCTAGGACACCCCAAAACCGCCCCTGACACACCCCAAGAGCACCCCGAGCCACCCCAGAAACCCTCCCTGAAACACTCCCAAAACTCCCAAAATCACCCCAAAACCACCCCTGGGACCCCCCACCCCTAGAATATCTTCCTGAGACACCCCAAAAACATCCCCAAAAACATTCCTGAAGCCCGCTAAAAACCCAGGGACACCCCAAAAACACCCCCAAATCTCCTCCCCAAGCTCCCAAATCCCACCCTGAGCCCCTCAAATCCCCCTCAAATGAACCCCCTGTGCTCCCCCCAGCACCAGGAGCAGTTCATCCCCATAAACACCCCTTTGAGCCCTCCCAAACTCCCCCTGAACCCCCAAATAACCCCGAATAACCCCCCCAGCAAATCAGCCAGCACCAGGAGCAGTTCATCCCCATAAACACCCCCCAAATCCAACCCTGAGCCCCTCAAATCCCCCCCAAATAACCCCCAATACCCCCAGCAAATCAGCCAGCACCAGGAGCAGTTCATCCAGATGCTGAACGAGCCCCTGGGCGAGCTGGGCGAGCTGGAGGGGGAGGTTGGAGCCATCGGGGACGAGTCCCCGCAGATGAATTACATCCAGGTGACCCCCCAGGAGAAGGAGGCCATAGAGAGGGTGAGGAGGGGGCTGGGGGAGCCTGGGAGGGTCTGGGGAGGGTTGGAGAATGGGGTTAGTGGGGTCATTAAAAGAGGGTACAGAGAAGGTGAGGAGGGGGCATAGATGGAAGACCCCTCCCCTGCCCTTTCCCCTCCCCGAGCTCAATGATCCCCTCTGGGGGGCTCCAATTTTCCCCCACCCCCAGCAGAGCTCAGGGTTCACATTTGGGGTCTAACTCAGTGTGACCCTGGATGGGTGGTCCCATCCCCTCCCCACGCTCATTGTGACCCCCTTGGTGGTCCCATCCCTTCCCCAAGCTCAGTGTCACCCTGGGGGGGGTGGTCCCATCCCAGTGTGCCCCCCCAGGGGGTGGTGCCAGCCACCCCAAAACCCCACTGTGTCCCCCAAACCCCTCCTGTGACCCCCCAAACCCTCTGTGACCCCCCAAATCCCGTGTCCCCCCAGCTGAAGACACTGGGCTCCCCCAAACCCCCTGTGAGCCCCCAAACCCTCTGTGACCCCCCAAACCCCTCTGTGACCCCCAAACCCCTCTGTGCCCCCCCAAACCCCTCTCTGTGACGCCCCCAAACCCTCTGTCAGACCCCCCAAACCCCTCTGTGCCCCCAAACCCCTCTGTGACCCCCCCAAACCCCTCTGTGACCCCCACCCCGTGTCCCCCAGCTGAAGGCGCTGGGTTTCCCGAGAGCCTCGTCATCCAGGCCTATTTCGCGTGCGAAGAACGAGAACCTGGCGGCCAATTTCCTGCTCAGCCAGAACTTCGACGACGACTGAGGGACCCCCGGCCCCCAGCTCCAAAACCGTGGGAAGGGGGGTCCCACAGCGCAAAGGATGTTTTTGCTCCTCCCTCCCTCCCCAAAATCCCCGGGGCTGCAGAGGGAGGGGAGGGGAATGGGGACTCCCCCCAGCCCAATCCCCTCCCCATCCAAACATCAGGGGCCCTCCCTCGTGATGAAGGGGGTCTCAGCACCCACTTTCTCCTGTGCCCCCCTGCCCCCATGACCCTCCCCCTCCCTGTCAGGCCCCGGTGGGGGTGGGGAGGGAGGCAGCGCCACAGAACGACCGAAAACGGCGGCATAAAGAGATTAAAAGCAGAGTTTTAAACCCGGTTTTGGGGGTGTCAGGGTGTGGGGTTTTTTTTTTGGGGGGGTTGGAAGGCAGTCCTGGAATTCTTGGGGGGCTCAGGAGGCCATGCTGGTGGTCTTGACTGGGGAGAGGGGGTCTTGCAGATCTTGGGGGGTCCCAGCACTCCTGGGGCGGGGAGGGGCTCCAGGTATTTCAGGAGAGGGTCCTGGTGCTCTCAGGATGGGGAGGGGGTCCCACACCCTTGGGAGGGGTTCCAGCACTCTTGGGGGGACTCAGGAGGCCCCCATAGTTCTCTTGGGGGGGGGTCCCGCTGCCCTCAAAGGGGGGTCTTGGCACTCTCAGGGGGGGGTCCTGATGTTCATACTGGGGGTCAGGGAGCTCCCCCCAGTTCCCTTGGGGGGGGTCTTGGTGTTCAGGGGAGGGTCAGGAGCTCCCCCCAGCTCTCTTGGGGGGGGGTCCTGGCATTTCCAGAGGGGTCCTGGTGTTCATCGAGGGGGTCAGGAGGTCCCCCCAGCCCCCTCAGGGGGTCCCGGGGGGGGCTCTGTCCTTGGCCGCCGCCTCAGCCGCCGCCAGCGCGCTCTGCGCCGCCTCCACCCGCTCCTGGCGCCGGCGCCGCTTCTCGTCCCGGCGCCGCTGCCGCTCCAGCTCCTCCAGCAGCTCCTGCGCCCGCGCCGAGCCCCGCCCGGGGGTCCCGGCCCGGGGGGGCTCCCCCAGCCCCGCCTCGGCCAGGAGACGCTGCCGCCGCGCCGCCTCCACCCGCGCCCGCTCCCGCGCCTGCTCCCGCTGCTGCCGCCACTGCGCCACCCGCGCTGGCATCTCCGCCAGGCACCGGGCGATGAGAGCTGCCCTGGGGACAGGGGACAGGCCTGGGTCACCCTGGGGACATCCTTGTGTCACCCTGGGGACAGCCCCATCACCCTGGGGACATGGGGACACTGCGCCACCCGCGCCGGCATCTCCACCAGGCACCGGGCAATGAGGGCTGCCCTGGGGACAGGGGACAGCCCAGGGTCACCATGGGGACAGCCCTGGGTCACCACGGGGACAGCCCCATCTCCCTGGGGACATGGGGACACTGCGCCACCCGCGCAGGCATCTCCGCCAGGCACCGGGCAATGAGAGCCGCCCTGGGGACAGGGGACAGCCCTGGGTCACCACAGGGACAGCCCCATCTCCCTGGGGACATGGGGACACTGCGCCACCCGCGCTGGCATCTCCGCCAGGCACCGGGCGATCAGCGCTGCCCTGGGGACAGGGGACAGGCCAGGGTCACCATGGGGACATCCTTGTGTCATCATGGGGACAGCCCCATCACCATGGGGACATGGGGACACTGCACCACCCGCGCTGGCATCTCTGCCAGGCACCGGGCAATGAGGGCTGCCCTGGGGACAGGGGACAGGCCTGGGTCACCACAGGGACAGGGGACAGCCCAGGGTCACCACAGGGACATGGGGACAGCCCTGGGTCACCACGGGGACAGCCCCATCACCCTGGGGACATGGGGACACTGCGCCACCTGCGCCGGCATCTCCGCCAGGCACGGGGCAATGAGAGCCGCCCTGGGGACAGGGGACAGGCCTGGGTCACCACAGGGACATGGGGACATCCTTGTGTCACCACAGGGACAGCCCCATCTCCCTGGGGACATGGGGACACTGCGCCACCCGCGCCGGCATCTCCGCCAGGCACCGGGCGATGAGGGCCGCCCTGGGGACAGGGGACAGGCCAGGGTCACCATGGGGACATCCTTGTGTCACCATGGGGACAGCCCCATCACCACAGGGACATGGGGACACCCTGGGGACAGGGACACCCAGGCTGGCATTGTCACCAGGCTGCAGGCCAGCAGCACCTGCCTGGGAACATGGCCAGTGGTGACAGTGGATGGGGACACAGCTGGGGACACCAGCACAGGGACACCGCGAGCCCAGCCCAGCTCCTGGGCCTCCCAGTGCCACCAGTTCCTCCCAGTCCCCATCACCCTGACACCCCTGAGCCCAGTCCCAGTGCTCCCAGTTCCACCAGTTCCCTCCAGTGCCTCCCAGTTCCCTCCAGTCTCTCCCCACCTCCACTCCCAGTGCCCCCAGTGCCCTCCAGTTCCCCAAACCTCCCAATGTGTCCCATTCCCCCAATTCCTCCCAGTGCCCCCAGTTCCTCCCAGTCCCCCCAAGTCCCCCCCAGTTCCACCTCTCCTCCACTCCCAGTTCCTCCCAGTCCTCCCAGTGCCCCCAGTCCCACCTCTCCTCCCTCCTCCGCTGCTCCTCCCTGTCCCGCTGGTCCAGCAGCGCCTCCACGTCGCGGAGCGGGGGGTCCCACTCGCGCTCCTCGTCCCGCAGCTCGCGGAGCCGCTCGGGGCTGGGCCAGAGCCGCTCCGGAGCCACCCCCGAGGCCGAGCCGAGCCGCCCGAACCGCCGCGCGGCCGCCCGCGGCTCCTCGGGGTCTGCCGGGGGGGCCGGGCCGGGCCGGCGGCGCAGCGGGAGCGCCACGAAGGGCCGGGCGGGGAAGGCGAGCGGGGCCGGGAGCGGGGACAGGGGGGGGAACCGGGAGGGGAACCGGGAAGGGAACCGGGGGGGGAACCCGGAGCGGAGCGACCGCGCCAAGGGCGCCGCCATCTTGGGGGCCGCCCGGAAGTGACGTCAGAGGGAGGATCCGCACTATCTATAACCTGGTGGGCGTGGTCTCTTTTAGGGGCGGGGCCTGAGAGTGAGCCAAGTAATGGCACGGGGGCGGGGCTGTGGGCGGGGCTAAATGAAGGGGGCGGAGCCAGAGCCCCCGAGGGGGTCCCTGAGAGCGGGGGGGCTCATCCCGGGGGATGGAGGAGTTTTGGGGAGGGGGAACCCCAAGAGGGAGTTTGGGGACCCTGTGGGGAGGAATTTGGGGGGTGCCGAGAACGGCTCTGGCTCATTCCGAGGGGGGATCCCTGAGGATTTGGGGGACCCCGAGAATTTGGGGTGGGGGGTATCGGGGGGGTCCCGCGAGGTTTTTGGGCTCCTCCGCGGGGCAGCCGCGACCCCAAAACGCCTCCGGTTGGGGAGAATTTGGCGCTGCCCGGGACCACCCCTCCCTCGCCCCTCCCCGTGCCGGGGTGGGGGGGGAGTGTCGGGTGTTGGGCTGTGGGCGGACCCCCCCCCTTGTCCCACCTTCCCCCGGACCTCCAAACCTTTTCAGCCGCCGCCAAGCCCGGGCGCGCTGCCTAGCGCCGGCCGCCGTTTAACCCCTCCGTGCCCACCGCCCCCACCCCGGGACCCCTGGGACCCCGAGACCCCGGCCCTGCCACCGGGGACCCCAGCGGGAGGGGTTGGGGGGCCGGGGATGGGAAAGCTTTGAGGGGCTGGGGTCTCCCCGACGGCGCGGCCGCTCCTCGCGGGGCCCCACGGGGGTGGGGGATTTCGGCCCCGGACGCCCAAATTCCCCGGGGCTGGCGGGAGCTGCAGGGGCCGCGGAGGGGGAGCCCTAATGGCTTCCAGGCCTCGGCAGCCGCCGCGAATCCACCGCGGAGCGGAGCCAAAATCCCCCGAAATCGCCCCAAAAAAACCTTCCCTGGGCCTCCCCCCCGGGGGGGGGAGGAATCCAAGCGATCCGAGCCCCTTCCCCCCAAGGTTTTCCACCCCCTTCTGCCTTCGGGGGATTTGGGGGTCCCCCTTCCATCCCCCCCCCCAGTGGAAACGGAGCCCCCCTGATCCTGGCCGGGGGGAGGGGACCGATTTTGGGGCACTTTGGCCTGATTTGGGGGGTTCTGCAGTTCCCGCCTTTGTTTCTCCCCTCCCCGGCCCCCCAGCCCCGAATTTACCCCCCGAGGGGGGGGGGCAATGCCCCCAAAGCCTGGCCCAGCCTCAGGATTGGGGGGGTCTCCCACGCACATCTGGGACCCCCCCCCTGTCACCTGTGCCCCCCCTTGGCCCCCTGGGCTGGCAGGTGCCACCCCGTGGTGTCGGTGCCTGTCCCCACGCACCAGAGCCGTGTCGTGACATGTCAGGCCGTGTCACGACATCGTCCATGTGTCCCCCCTCGTTAGTGTCCCCCCGCGCTCGGCTCCATCTGCGGCCACAGCCGGTGTCGGGGGCACATCTGGCACGGGGGGTCCCCGAGCAGCTGGTGGGGACGGGGGGGACACAGGGGGACACGCGGAGTGGGGGGAGACGTGGGGGACACGGGGGAAAATTGGAGGGACAGGGAGGGGACACGCGGGGTGTGGGGGGGACATGAGGGGGACACGAGAGGACACGGTGTGGGGTGGGGACACAGCGGGGACACAAAGGCACAGCCACTCGGGTCCCCTCTGCTCACGGGGACCACCCTGTCCCCAGGTGTCCCCCCCCCGTGCCTGGGGAGGGGGCGGGGGGCTTTGTCCTCCCGTGTCCCCCACGGATGGCAGTGCCACCCCCCCCGCCCCCCATGGCATCAGCCCGGGGACAGCTGTGCCACCCACGGGGGACACGGGGACACGGGGGGGACACACTGAGACCCCCCCGACAGTGCTGGTGTCCCCCGGCGTGGCTCGGGGGGTCCCCAAAGCCGCGTCCCCGCGTGCCACCGCCGTGCCGGCAGCGAAGGGGTGACAGTGGCGGTGGCGGCGGTGCCAGCGCTGGCACCGGGTGGTGACAGATGGCGGAGGACGCGGCCGCAGCCGGAATGACAGATGAGGCTCCGCCGTCACCGCCGCTGCCATCGCCACTGTCACTGTCACTGCCATCGCCGTGTCACTGTCACCCCCTCTGCTGTGGCACTGTCACCACCACCATCACCACTGTGGCACTGCCATCACTGTGTCACTGTCACCCCCTCTGCTGTGGCACTGTCACCACCACTATGGCACTGCCACTGCCATCACTGTGTCACTGTCACCCCCTCTGCTGTGGCACTGTCACCACCACCACCACCATGGCACTGGCACTGTCATCACCGTGTCACTGTCACCCCCTCTGCTGTGGCACTGTCACCACCACCACCACCACTGTGTCACTGCCATCACCGTGTCACTGTCACCCCCTCTGCTGTGGCACTGTCACCACCACTATGGCACTGCCATCGGCATATCACTGTCACCCCCTCTACTGTGGCACTGTCACCACCACCATCACCACTGTGTCACTGCCATCGCCGTGTCACTGTCACCCTCTCTGCTGTGGCACTGTCACCACCACCATGGCACTGCCATCACTGTGTCACTGTCACCCCCTCTGCTGTGGCACTGTCACCACCACCATGGCACTGCCACTGCCATCACTGTGTCACTGCCATCACCGTGTCACTGTCACCCCCTCTGCTGTGGCACTGTCACCACCACCACCACCATGGCACTGCCATCACTGTGTCACTGTCACCTCCTCTGCTGTGGCACTGTCACCACCACCATGGCACTGCCACTGCCATCGCCGTGTCACTGTCACCCATCCCATGGCACTGCCACTGTCACTGCCATCACCATGGCACCGCCAGTGTCACCCACCCCACCGTGGCACTGCCACTGTCCCCGTCACTGCCACCCCCACCACCGCCGCCGCCACACCGGTGTCCCCCGCGCCGTCCCTGCCGCTGTCCTTGTCACCGGCACTGCCGCTGTCACCACGGCGGTCACAGCGCTGTCCCTGTCACCCGTGGGGACCCACCGTGGCTCCCGGCCCTGCAGGGCCCCAGCGGTGGCAGGAGGGGAGTGCAGAGGGGACATCCCCTGTCCCCACACCCCCCGTGTGTCCTCCACACCCCCGCGTGTCCCTGGGTGTCCCCTGGGTGTCCCTCACGGTGTCCCCACCAGGTTCCCCCGTGTCCCTCTGTGTCTCACGCCCTCCATGTCCCTCCTCTCGTGTGTCCCGCTGATGTCCTCCCTGTCCTGATGTCCCCCTGTGTCCCCCTGATGTCCCATGTCCCCCATGTCCCCCATGTCCCCCCCGCGTCCGCCGTGGGCGTGGCCTCCTGCGAAGTGGGCGTTCCCAACCAAAAGGGGCGTGCCCACCACCCTGGATGGGCGTGTCCCGAGTGGGCGTGACCTCCCCAGAGTAGTGGGCGTGTCCTCCGTGGGGTGGGCGTGGCCTCCGCGGCGCTTCCCGCGGCAAAAAGTGCGTCGGGCGCCAACTTCGGGCAAAACTTTCCCCGCGCGCCGCCGGCACCAGGACCCCGGGACCCCCGGACCCCGGAACCCTCCGGACCCCCGGCCCCCTGCCCGCCATGCCCGGGCGCGGCTGACACCGCCGCCATGTACTCCCCGTACTGCCTCACCCAGGTACGGCCGGGGAGGAAAGGGGGCTGGGGAGGGGGGCTCCCGGCTAACGGCGAGGGACATGGGGGTCGATGGGTTTCCTACGCGTCGGTATCGGCTGGTCCCTCTTAAAAACGGGCTGTGAAATCCCCCGGGACCCCCGTGGTTATCGGTGCCTCGCGGGGAGAGCGGGGCGAGCAGGGCCGGGGGTCGGGCCGGTCCCGGAGGGGGTCCCGGGAGGGTCCCAGAACAGCCCCGGTCGGGGTTCAGAGCCCCAGGACCCCTCGTCCGGTGGGGCTGCGGAGCCCCCCGTTGGCGCCGGGGTCTCCCCACTCACCACCCCGGGGGCGTGGGGAGTCGTGCGGGACCCCTCGGGACCCCTCGGGACGAGGGCCTTCGCTGCCCACGGGGGTTCGTGCTCTTGGCAGCGGCGGGACGGGCAGGACCCCGGCCCCGGACGGGGGTTGTGCCCCGGGGGCCGTAGGAGGCGCGGAGGGGAGCTCGGGGGCTCCAGGGAGGAATTCTGGGGTCTCTGACGGTTCTGGGGTCTCCAGGGACCGGCTGAGCGCGAAACCCGCGGGGGTACTGGGGCCGGGGACGCTTCGCTTCGGGGGTTATCGAGGGTCGGGGGTCGGGGGGCCGCGTCTCCTCTTTTGGGGCCGGGGGCACGAGGCGAAAGAACATCAGCCGAGTGGGGGTGCGGGGGTTGGGAGTGGTGGCACAACTCGGGGGCCGCGCCACATGGGGTCCTTCCGAGTGTCCCCCGAGGGTCCCTCCGGGGTCCCCACGCTGTCCCAGGGTGCCCCCGCGCTGCCCCCGGGGTGGTCCCGGCGCGGGTTTGCGGGTCGGCCGGGCCCCTTTTCCCCCTCCTTCCTCTCCCCCGGCGTTGCCCTTTTCTCCCGCTTTTCGGGGCGGTTTTGGCGGCCGGTCCCGTCTGGGCCCGGGGCCAGCGGCGCTTCTCGCAGCTTCGGCGCCCGCCCTGCACACGCGTGTGCACGCGCCAGCGACACGCCAGCGCACATGCGTGTGCCCCTGCCCGCACACGCCAGCGGCGCGCCTGCCAGCGCGCCTGGCACGGCCGGGGGCACGCGGGTGGGCACCCCCTCAACACGGGTGGGCACCCCCTGAACTCATATGTGCATCGTCTGCACACGTATGTGCTCTCCTGCACATGTATGTGCACCCCTGAACTCGTATGTGCACCCCCTGAACATGTGGGTGCACCCCCTGAACTCATATGTGCATCTCCTGCACACATATGTGTGTCTCCTGCACATGCATGTGCATCTCCTGCACACGTATGTGCGTCCTCTGAACACATATGTGCACCCTCTGCACACGCGTGTGCAGCCCCTTGCAGGTGTGTGTGCACCACATGAGCTCATAATTGCTCCTTCTGCACCTCTTGCACATGTGTGTGCTCTCCCTGCACGTGTGTGCTCCCCCTGCACGTGTTTGCACCTCTTGCACATGTGTGTGCTCCCCTGCACACGTGTGTGCTCCCCCTGTGCGTGTGTGCTGTTCTGCACACATGTGTGCCCCCCCTGAACTCGGATGTGCTCCCCTGCACATGCCTGTTCTGTCCCTGCACATACCTGTTCTGTCCCTGCACGCACACGGCACACGCGTGTTCTGGCGCTGGCACACGCGTGTGCACACGCAGCACCCTCAGGGCCCCATCCTGAGGGTGTGGAGTCGTGTCCGTGTTCCACCCCCACACCCCGTGTGTTCACACACACGTGACCCCCTCGGGCCACCCTTTTCCCTCTGGAGCCGTTTTGGGGCTGTTTTGGAGCTGTTTCGGGGTGGTTTTGGGATGGTTTTGGGACCGTTTTTGGGGTGGTTTTGGGGCCATTTTGGGGTGGTTTTGGGGAGATTTTGGGGTGCTTTGGAGGTGGTTTTGAGGCGGTTTTGTGCCGGTGCCACCAGTGGATTCGGCCCCTGGCCCTCACTGTGGGCACTGAGAGTGGGAGCTGCCAGGGCCTGGGGACAACTGGGCACGGGCTGGCCCTGGCACAGCAGTGGCCGGTGTCCCTCGGTGTCCCCTGGTGTCCCCTGGTGTCCCTCAGGGTCCCCCAGTGTCCCCTGCTGTCCCGTGAGGAACTCCTCGGCTCTGGCCATCGATGCTGTGGCTGCTCTGCAGGCCATGATCCCTCCCCGTGTCTCCCCGTGTCCCCTCCATGTCCCATCCGTGTCCCCTCCATGTCCCCTCCCCCTGCAGGTGCCACCCCGTGCCCGCCCCCTCCCCCCGTGGGACGCCGGTCACTGTCGCTGTCCCCATCGTGACGTCACCGCTGCTGTCACCACCTGGGTGACCCTGGGGGTGGGGTGGGCTGGGAACACCACTGGTCCCCTCCCACTGCCCCTGTGGCCACGGAGTGGGGGTGTGGGGGGTGATGACAACCCAGGATGTCACGGGCCCCGGTGACACGGCACAGGCGTGACACACGTGTGACAGGGCACAGGTGGGACACACACGTGTGACAGGGCACAGGTGGGACACACACGTGTGGCAGGGCACAGGTGTGATGCACACGTGTGTGACCGGGCTCGGGTAACGTGTGGCAGTGACAGGGGCCGCACACGCGTGTTCTCAGCTCCGGCTGCACACACGTGTTCCCAACCAGGCCACACACGCGTGTCATGGGGGGGAGGGGCGTTGGACACGCGTGTGCCGCCACCGTGCACACGTGGCAGCCATCCCTGCACACGCGTGCGTGGTCATCCCGCAGCACACGCGTGTGCCAGGCGTGTGCCAGGCGTGTGCGAGGGTCCCGCGCCGTGGCCGTGGCCGTGGCTGATGCAATCGGTGCGGGGGGAGAGAAGAGGGGGTGGGGGACCACGGAACACCCCCCACACCCCCCTACGTGTGAGGCTGGGGTGGGTGACCCGGCCTGACACGCACACACGCACACGCATGTGGCCCCTGCACACGCGTGGCGAGGCCAAGACCCTTCCCAGCGCCCCCCCCTTCCATTTTTTCCCCCCGTGTCCCCCAAAGTCGCCCCCCGTGACATCAATAATGGAGGAGCCTCGGCCGGGCCGGGGGGGCCCTGAATTATTGATGGGCCACAAAAGCTTTCTTGGACGCGGCAGCTCGCTGGGGCCCCCGGCCCGGGCTGGCACGGGGCCACGCTGGGGATGGGGGGTCTGGACACGCGGGGTGGGCTCCGGGAGGGAGCTGGGCTGGGTTTGGGGTGGGGGGTGCGGATAAAGGTTTGTGGTGGAAGTTGAGGGGGGGTGGTGGCAGGGAAAGGAGGGGGGGGGCACACCCGTGTCCCCGGTGGTGCCAAAACCGCATCGTTCAGCCCCGGGCGCTGCGGCACCTCCTGGATCCCCCAGAGCAGCTTCCCCAGTTTCCACCCCCGGGCCCATCCCGGATCGGGACGCGTGTCCCGCGTCCCCCTCGAGCCACGCGGGATCCTCCACGTGGCCGCGGGAAGGGGCCGGGCGGGCGATCCCTCGGCCTGCCCGCTGCGTGCCCCCCTCCCCGCCCCCATAACAACACCAGGGCTGCCCCCAACTCCCTCCCGAACACCGGGACCCCCTCCAAGGCCAGGGTGCCCCCATCCCACTCCCACCGCCAGGTCCCCCAAAAGGCCCGGCTTTCCCCCTTTCCCTGGGCCCGCGCCAGAAGCATCCGGCACGTTCTCGGCGAGGCCACCTGGGCGCCCCGGTCCCCCTCGGACAAGGGAGGGGCGTCCTCGTGGGTGCCCCTCCCTCCCCACCCGGGGTCCAGGACACCCCTGGCTGTCGCTCCCGCCGCCTCCGACATCCCCCCTCCCCAAGCCGCGCTCCTTTCCCCCCCTCCCCGCACGCGGGAGGGTCTTGGCAGCGGCGTCAGGGGCCGCCGGGGGGATTTTTGGCGGCAATTCCGGCTGTTTCGGGCTGTTTTCTCTCGCGGCGAAGCCGAGGGCCGGGGGAGCTGGCAGCGGCACGGGAGGGCGGGCGCTGCCGGGGCTGGGGTGGTGGTGATGGTGATGGTGGGGAGAAGGGGGGGAAGGCTGAAAGAGGGAGGGAGGTCAGTCGATGGTGGGGAGGGATGTCGTTTAATTTTTTTTTTTTGTCCTTTTTTTTTCTTGTTTTGCGTTTTTTTTCCCCCCTCTTTTCTGGTTTTTTTCCTGGGCTTTTCCCTCCCGATCCGGCGCCGCTCCCGCCGCCGCGCTGGCGCTTGCCGGGCGCTCGCAGCTGCGGACGCGGCGACGACGACGTGGCTTCGCCCGAGACTGCGGCTCCAATGCGGGGCCGGCGCAGCCAATGGCAGCTCTGTGGCACCGCCGCCGGACCCCGCCTTGGCACCGACCCCCCTGCCCGCCCCGCGACCCCCGGCCGGGCCGCCCGGCCCCGTGGGCAGGGTGGGACCCCCGGGCCTGAACCCTCGGAGGCTCCCGGGGCAGCCCTGGGAGGGCTCTGGGATGGCCAAGGGGGGGTCTCAGGTGGCCGGGAGGGGTCCCAGGCGTTCGGGAGGGGACCGGCGTGTCCGGGCGGTGCCACCGGAGCCGGTGGCTCTTTGTGTGTGCCGGGGCCGGCTGGGTGGGGGACGCGCACGCTGAGGGGTCGGGGTCGCTGACCCCCCGTCACCTGAGCCCCCCCCCACGAGCCTCAGGTGTCAGGGAGGGGTCCCAGGTGTCGGGGAGGGGTCTCAGATGTCCCAGATGTCCCCGAGCCCATCCCGTTCCCCAGCGGATGCTGCCAGGCCCGACCACCCCAAAATCCTCCGCATCCAGCAGGGAGGGGCCGTGGGGCAGAGAGGGGGGGGGAGGACACCCAACCACCGCTCTCAACCCCCCCTTTTCCCCCTCCCCTCCCCCCAAAAAAACCCTCCCCACTGCGGCTTTGGGTTGAAAACCGCGAGGTTTGGGGCTGGGCGGGAGCCGCCGCCGAAACGCCCAAATTTTGGTCGCTTTTCCTTCGCACAGAGGGATTTAATTACCGGGGGAGAGAAGAGAAAGGGGGAAGAAGGAGGAGAAAGGGGGGTTGTTGGCTCCGAGCGCCGCGTCCGGGATTTTGGGGGCAGAAGCGGCGGTTTTTGGGCCGTTCCGCGCTGGGGCCGCCGCGGGGTTTGGGGCGAGCGGCCAAAAATCGGGGCCTTCCCGCGCCGGTGGCGGGGGTGGTGGTGATGGGGAGGAGGGGGTTGGCAGTACCCCTGGGACCCCCCCCAGCTCCCCCCACGTCCACTGGAGAACGTCCTCGCCCGACCTCTCTTCCTCTGCACGAGGGGTTTTTTTGCACACGAGGATTTGGCACGAGGGCAGCCCCAGCCGGGGGTGGTTTTTGGGGGAAGATGGCGGGTTTTTGGGGAAGCCCCTTGGGGCTGGGTGTCCCCCCCAGTCCCAGCTTCCCTCCCCGGGCTCCCCCCTCTCTGCAGAACGTCCTGGCTCGACCCCCTTTTCCTTTGCACGAGGGGTTTTTTTATTTTTATTTGCACACGAGCGCTTGGCACGAGGGGGGGATCAGATGGGGCGGGTTTTTGGGGGCAGATGGCGGGGTTTTGGTGAAGCTCCCAGGGCTGGGTGTCCCCCCTCATTCCCCAAACTCACCCCCCATCCTCCTCGGGCCCCCCCACTCCCCTCTGTAGACCCCCTTTTCCTTTGCACGAGGGGTTTTTTTACACACGAGCGCTTGGCAAGAGGGGGGATCAGATGGGGGGCGGGTTTTTTGGGGGCAGATGGCGGGGTTTTGGTGAAGTTCCCAAGGTTGGGTGTCCCCCCTCGTTCCCCACCAACTCCCCCGGTGCACGCGCGTGTCGCGCGCGGGGCACACGCGGGGCACACTCAGCCCCTCCCTCCCCCCACCCTCCCCAAAATCCGAGGCCACGCCCCAAAGCCGCTCGGTCACGCCCACCGTCCACGCCCCCGCGTCCCGCGGCCAATGGGGGGGCCGCTCCCCGCGCGCTGCGCTCCCATTGGCCGCGGCCGCGCCGGTCCCGGTGCCAAAAGGGGCCGCGGCGGCTCCGCGCGCTCCGCGCCCGCGGCGGCTCCGGGACCCCCGGCAGGGACCCCCGATCGGGACACCCCCTACCCTCCACACACACCCCCACCTCAACAGGGACCCCCGACAGGACAGGCTCCCCTGTATCGGGGTCCCCTCCTCCGCTGCAGGGACCCCCGCGCCCCGCGGGATCCCCCCGGTAACCAGGACCCTGGTTCCCACCCCCACCCTTCCGCCGCGCTGCATCCCCGGTAACCGGGACCCCTGAAACCTGAGCGCGCCCCCGCAGTGTCCGCTCCTCCCCTCCTCAACCCCCTGCCCCTTCCCGGGAGCCCCCGTTAACCCCCTCCCTCCCCGGGGTTGTGCCCCGTCCCTCGTCGGTCGCCCCCGGTTCTGCCCCGCCGGGGCCCGACTGGCAGCTGCCCACGGCCGGGATGAGCCGCCGCGATGGTACGGACGGGACGGGACGGGACGGGGCACCGGGGACAAGGGACAGGCGGTGGTGGCGCCGGGGGCTGCGAACGGCACCGGGATGGGGCGGGGGACCGGCGGTACCGGGGAGCGGGGACGGGGAGAGGAGGCGCTGGCGGCGGGCACGGGGGACGGGGATGGCACCGGGGACCGCTGGGGACGGGGCTCGGAGGCTCCGGGAATGGGGTTGTGGCAGCGGGGACGGGGACAGGGACCGGCCGAGCCCCGATGGCAGCGGGAGCGTCACCGGGAGCCGGACGGGGAGGGACGGGGCTGTGGTGGCACCGGGGACGGGGTTGTAGTGGCACCGAGGACCGGGTTGTGGTGGCACCGGGAACGGGGCTGTGCGGGTACGGGGCTACGGTGACACAGGGGATGAGGCTGCACCAGTACCGGGGACGGGGCTGTGGTGGCACCGGGAACGGGGTTGTAGTGACACCGGGAACGGGGCTGTGGTGGCACGGGGAACGGGGCTGTGGTGACACCGGGGACGGGGTTATGGTGGAACCGGGGACAGGGCTGTGGTGGCACCGGGGATGGGGCTGTGGTGGCACTCGGAACGGGGCTGTGGTGACACCGAGAACGGGGCTGTGGTGACACCAGGGATGGGGCTGTGGTGGCACCGGGGATGGGGCTGTGGTGGCACTGGGGACAGGGCTGTGCGGGGACCGGGGATGGGGCTGTGGTGGCACCGGGGACAGGGCTGTGGTGGCACTGGGGACGGGGCTACGGTGACACAGGGGACGGGGCTGTGGTGGCACCGGGGACAGGGCTGTGGTGACACCGGGGATGGGGCTGTGGTGGCACAGGGGACGGGGCTGTGGTGGCACAGGGGTCGGGGTTGTGGCGGCACCGGGAGCGGGGCTGTGGCAGTACCGGGGTTGGGACCACGGTGATCCCCGGGATGTGGCCGTGGGGTTGGGGCTGTGGTGATACCGGGGACGGGGCTGTGATGACAGCGGGGACGGGGCTGTGATGACACCGGGCACAGGGAGGGCGCTGGGACGGGCTCGGGGCTGTCCCCGCTCCGGGCAGGCGGGAGCCCCGCGCTGGCACCGGGGCCGGGAGCCGCCTCTGCCCCGGAGCCACTCGGGCACCGGGAGCCCGGAGCATCCCCACGGGGGGGAATTGCCGGGGTTCCCCCGCGGCTGGGACTGCCGGGGTCCCCTCTGGGGCTGTCGGGGTCCCTCCTGGGGTTGGGACTGCTGGGGTCCCTCCTGGGACTGCTGGGATCCCCCCTGGGGCTGCTGGGATCCCCTATGGGGTTGTTGGGATCCCCTGTGGGGTTGTTGGGGGATCCTACAGGGGCTGGGGTTGCCAGGGTCCCCTGTGGGGTTACGGGGGTCCCCCATGGGACTGCCAGGTGTCCCCCCACAGGGCCAGATCCTGCATCCCTGTTCCCCGGGGGATGGGGACGGGATGAAGGAAGGGATGGGGACAGGGACAGAGATGAGGGCAGGGACTGGGATGTGGACAGGGATGGGGACAGGGACGGGGATGAGGGCAGGGATGAGGACAGGGATAGGGATGGGGATGAGGGCAGGGATGAGGACAGGGATGGGGATGGGGACAGGGATGGGGATGGGGATGGTGATGGGGACGGGGATGAGGGCAGGGATGGGGACAGGGATGGGGATGGGGAGAGGGATAGGGACAAGGGCAGGGATGGGGACAGGGATAAGGACAGTGATGACAGGGATGAGGACAGGGATGGGGATGAGGACAGGGATAGGGACAGTGATGACAGGGATGAGGACAGGGATGAGGATGGGGACAATCCCCCACGGGACACGGGACACGTCTGTCCCCACCGGGGGCTCCTCCGTCACCCCCCCGGCCTCTGCCCCAGCACCATCCCTGTTCCCCCCCCCTCCCCCGCTGTCGTGCAGGATGAGTTCCACCCCTTCATCGAGGCGCTGCTGCCCCACGTCCGGGCCTTCTCCTACACCTGGTTCAACCTCCAGGCCCGCAAGCGCAAGTACTTCAAGAAGCACGAGAAGAGGATGTCCAAGGAGGAGGAGCGCGCCGTCAAGGACGAGCTGCTGGGCGAGAAGCCGGAGGTCAAGCAGAAATGGGCCTCGCGCCTCCTGGCCAAGCTGCGCAAGGACATCCGGCCCGAGTGCCGCGAGGACTTCGTGCTCTCCGTCACCGGCAAGAAGGCGCCGTGCTGCGTCCTCTCCAACCCCGACCAGAAGGGCAAGATCCGCCGCATCGACTGCCTGCGCCAGGCCGACAAGGTGTGGCGGCTGGACCTGGTGATGGTCATCCTGTTCAAGGGCGTCCCGCTGGAGAGCACGGACGGCGAGCGCCTGGCCAAGGCGCCGCAGTGCGCCAGCCCCGGGCTGTGCGTGCAGCCCCACCACATCGGCGTCACCATCAAGGAGCTCGACCTCTACCTGGCCTACTTCGTCCACGCGCCAGGTGAGGGTGGGGGGTGGTAAAAAAGGGGGGGTTTGGGGGGCTGTTTGTGGTGATTGGAGGGGGCTTCCTCGGCCGGCTGGCACAAAGCGGCGCCGGGTGCCAACGCGCCCGCAGTGCCACGTGCCGAGCCGGGCGCTGCCGGCGCGGGGTGCGGTGGCACCGGGCTGGGGGAGGCTGGGTGGGCACGGCAAGGGGGTGGGGGCCATGCTAGGGACTCCCACCCCGCTCCCTGTGCCCGTGCGGGGTCACGGCACCCACACGTGCGTGAGGGGCTTTCGGGGGCTGGGGGTCACGCGCGTGCACACACGGAACTGGGGAGGGGGTCACTCATGTGTGTGCACATGGGGATTGGGGTGGATCATGTGTGTGCCCCTCACATGTGTGCACACAGAGCCGGAGGGGTCACATGTGTGTGTGTGTGTGTGCACAGATGATGACTGGGGGTCACACATGTAAGCGGGCACACACGTGTGCAGGGGGTCACGCCCAGGTATGTTTTGTGTGTGTGTGCTGTGTGTGGGACTGGGGAGGGGGGCATCCCCAGCCCATCCTCCTGGCACCCCCCTCTCTGAGAAGGGGGTGGATTTTGGGGCCGGATCAGCAGATCTGGGGTCGCTCGTCCACCCCGGCCCTCCCGGGCACCGAGGGCGCAGCACGAGGCCTGTCCGGGGTTCACCCCCGCCAACAAATCCCCACAGGGGGTCCTGTGCCCCCTCACGTCCCCCCAGCCCCCCTGCCACAACACCCTCCCCTCAGGCCCAGCTGGCGGGGCTCGAATCCCCCAACGCTTCTCCCCACCCGGCGCCGCCAAAATGGCCCCGGTTGGCACCGTGCCCCCGCGCGGCACGAGGAGGCCCCGCCGGCAGCCCCGGCCCACCGACCCCCCTCCCCACCTCCAGCACCGCCACCGCCCCCCAGCTCCCAGCGACGCCCCCTCCCTCACGGAGGGACTCCCCGTGCCCAACCGTGGGGGTTTGGGGGCTCGGTGCCAACCCCCTGCCGTAAGATGGCGGCGCTTGTTGGCACCCGGAAGGCTTCTGCGGCACCGCGGCCTCGCCGCCGCGGGACCTCGTGCCAGGGGGACCCCCACCCCCTCCCGGCCTGGCCCGGCCACCGGGACCCCCGGCCGAGGGTATCACCCACCCCCCCAAAAAAACCCTGGCCTGGCACCCCCTCATCCCACCCACCCCCATGACCTGCCCCCTGGCACGTGGGGGCGTTGGGGTCTCCTTCACTGCTGGGGGTCCTGTAGACCCTGGGACACACACGAGGGTGGGGGCCATGGGGGGTTCAAGGGGGTCGATGCTCGGGGTGCAGCCACAGAGCTGCAGGGGGTCCTTGGGGGTCCAGGGGGCTCCAGGGGTTCTCACTGCCCCCCGTCCCCCAGGCTGGCTGGGTAGGGGGACGCAGGTGCGGGGGGCACTCCGGGGGTCTGGGCTCAGCTGCCCGGCAGCACCAGCCCCCTGCCAGGGCCAGGGGGACACGGGGGGAACACACAAAGTGAGGCGGGGGAGTGGGCTGAGGTGGGAGGGGGGCACAGAGACCCCCTCAGAGGGTCTGGGGCCAGTGGAGGACCCGGCTCGAGGCGGGGGGTCAGGGGTGCCACGCGCCCACCACGTGTGTGCCTCCCGGCCGAGGTCGTGACCCGGCACGTGGCCCAGTGACTCCTCCTCCTCCCCCCGCGGGTGACACGGCGGGGTCACCACAGGGCGAGGAGGGGGTTGGAGAGGGGGTCGCACTTCCTCGAGCCTTGAGGGGGTCACACAGCCCTGGGGGTGGCAGGAGGCGGGGGGTCCCAGACGTCCTGCCCGGGGCACAAGGAGGGAGGGGTGACCCCATTCCCTGGGTGACACGGGGAGGGGGTCCCCGGTGTCGGGGGCAGATGGGGATGCCGGGGAAGGGGATGCAGGGGTGCTGAGGTGGGGCAGGGGGGCCCAGCTGTCCGGGAGCCCCCGGGGCGCAGACAATGGGCGCTTTGTTGGCGCTGCCCGCTGGCGGGGGGCCAGCGCATTCCTGGCCCCCGGCCCGGCCCCCACGGCGGCCCCCGAGCCCCCTCACCCTCAGCCCCGGCCCGGCCCCCTGCCAGCCCTGACCCCCCCGAGCGCCGGCTGTGCCTCCCAGCCCCCAGCCCCAACAACATCACCCGGGCAGGGGCGCGGGGTCCCTGGGGGCACACCCCCAACCCTTGGGTGCTGCCGGGGTGATGGGGGTTCCCGGACGCGGGGGTTGTGGGGGCTGCGGGCTCTGGCGAGGACCCTGCAGGCGTTCACCTCGAACGACCCCGCGGGAACAACGAGCCCCTTCAGCGGCCCGGGCTGCCCTCCCCAAACTCCCCAGCGCTTCGGGGACCTCGGATCGGGGGACACCTCGGGGTGGGGGACATCTTCGTGTCCGGGTTTGACCCCGTGTGTGTCTCCCCATCTCCAGATTCGGGACAATCTGACAGCTCAAACCCCCAGGAGACGCCGACATCAAACCACTGCCCAACGGTGAGTGACCCCCGGGACCCCCCTGTGCCCCCTCAGTGTCCCCAGTATCCCCAGTGCCCCCTCAGTGTTCCCAGTGCCCCCTCAGAGTCCCCAGTGCCCCCTCAGTGTCCCCAGTGCTCCCCTCAGTATCCCCAGTGACCCCCTCGGTGTCCCCAGTGTCCCCCTCAGTGTCCCCAGTGCTCCCCTCAGTGTCCCCAGTGCCACCCTCAGTGTCCCCAGTGGCCCTCCAATGTCCCCAGTGCTCTCCCTCAGCATCCCCAGTGCCCCTCCAATGTCCCCCCAGTGTCCCCAATGCCCCCAGTGCCCCCTGGTGTCCCCAGTGCTCTCCCTCAGCATCCTCAGTGCACCCCCAGTGTCCTCCAGTGTCCCCTGGAATGTTCCCAGTGCCCCTCTCAGCGTCCCCAGTGTTCCCAGTGCTCCCCTCTAGCATCTTCAGTGTCCCCAGTGCCCCCATCAGTGTCCCCAGTGCCCCCTCAGTGTCCCCGAGTGCTCCCAGTGCACCCCCAGTGTCCTCCAGTATCCCCTGCAATGTCCCTAGTGTCTCTCTAGTGTCCCCCCAGTGTGTGTGTCCCTGTGCTGTCCCCATCACCTCCCCGTGTCCTCTCTGTCCTCGTGACCCCCCAGACCCCCTCGTGACTCCCCGTGTCCCCACTGTGTCCCTCAGGTCACCTGACCTTCCAGGACTGTTTCGTCGACGTCAGGGGTGTGGAACGTGACGGAGCTGGTGAGGGTGTCCCAGAGCAAGTGGGGACATGGGAGGTGACACGGGGGTGACACGGGGGGTGACACGGGGGGTGACACGGGGGTGACACAGGTGGGGGAGGTGACACAGGGGGTGACACGGGGGTGACACGGGGGGTGACACTGGGGGGTGACACAGGGGTGACACAGGGGGACACGGGGGTGACACAGGTGGGGGTGACACAAGGATGGGGAAGGGCAGCACAGAGTGACATCGAGAGGGGAGTGTTGTGGGGGGGACACACACGGGGTGGCTCGGGGAGGGGGAGAGGGGGTGTGACCCTGGGTGTGCCCCCCACGTGTCCCCTGTGTGTCCCCTCCCCCCCCAGCCCCCTGTAGGCACGGCGGCCGGGCCCCAACTTCTCGCTGGCCGACCTGGAGAGCCGCGGGCTACTACAACATCAGCCCTGTCGCCCTCGGCCGCCGGCCCCTGGGACCCCCCACTGCCAGGTACTGGGACCCCTAAATCCCTGGGACCCCCCACTGCCAGGTACGGGCACCCCCAAAACCCCTGGGACCCCCTAAATCCCTGGGACCCCACTGCCAGGTGCACTGGGACCCCAAACCCCTGGGACCCCCAAATCCCTGGGACCCTCCCAAACCCCTGGGACCCCCAATGCCAGGGTACTGGGACCCTCCACTGCCAGGTCCCCAGAGGTGACCCCTTGTCCCCAGAAGTGACCCCCCACCCCAGAGGGTGCCCCCCAGAGGTACCCCCCCAGAGGTGACTCCCCTGTCCCCAGAGGTGACACAGGTGACCTCCCCCCACCCCAGAGGTGACCTCCTGTCCCCAGAGGTGACACAGGTGACCTCCCCCACCCCAGAGGTGACCCCCTGTCCCCACAGTGGCCCGGGCGCCCGGAAGGCGCTGGACGAGGGGGACCTGGAGGGTCCCTGGGACGACGTTTTCTACCCCCGGGCTGGGCCGGTCCCCGCCCCGGCAGCAGCCAAGGACCCTGGGGGACGTTGACACCGGTGGGTGACACCCCGGGGCACGGGGGGACACGGGTGGGACACGAGGGCACGGTGGGGAGGGCACGGGGGTGCTCCTGGGGACGGAGGTGGACGTGGGGAAGGGTCGGGAGGGGGAGAGGACGTGGGAGGGGGCGATGGTGGGGGGACACACATGGAGTGACATGGGGGCTGGGGGACACCGTGGTGGGGGGCTGGTTTGCTGCACTCTCGGGACTAGGGAGGGTGGATGGGAGGCAAAGGGTGGGGGTGTTCCCAGGGGGCTGCGGGGTCCTTGTCTCCCCGCCACCCTGACCCCCGCCACGCCCCCAGGCCCGGCGGCGCTGAAGAAGTCGGGAAGTTGGATTTCTGCAGCGCCCTGTCGGGGCACGGGGCCGCCCCCAGAATGGCCTTTCGGTCACCACCCCTGCCCGTCCTGGCCGGCGTCCGCCCCGGTGAGCCCCCCACCCTCTGGGCCCACTCCCGCCACCCCTCATAACCCCTCCCACCTCCTCGGGGCGCCTGGGGCTCCTGGGTGAGCCTGAGGGGGGTTTGGGCGTGGGTGGGGGGGACACGCGCCTGGGGCTGGGGGTCGGTGGGACATCCCCGGGTGGGCAAAGGAAGTGTGTGTGTGGGGGAGTTGTGGGGTTGTCCCGGTGGTGTCCGGGGTCCCGTGGGCGCCCGTGGCGCTGGCGCTGAGGGTCCCTGCAGGCAGCCCAGCGGGCCACGGCCTCGGCGCTGCACTTCCCGTCGGGGTCCCTCCTGCCCCAGTCGAGCCTCTACTTCGCCCACCCCACCATCCGCTACCACCACGGGCAGGACTCGCTCAAGGACTTCTGTGCAGTTCGTCTGCGCTGACGGCGCCGCCCAGGGCCCCCAGGTGCGGCGGGGACGGGGGGCGCGGGGGACACGCAGAAAATTTTGGGGGGTGGGGACACGGGGACAAAGTTTGGGATGCTCCCGGCGGGCGGGCACGGCAGGGACCTTGCGCACTCTCCCGGGGGCGGGGCCTGGGCTTTGGAGGCGTGGTCTGGATGCAAATTAGGCGAGGTTCCGATATGCAAATTAGGTGGTGTCTCTATGCAAATGAGTTATTTAAATAGTGCGAGGAAGGGAGGGGCCTGTATGCAAATATAGCACAGGAGGCGGGGCTCGTATGCAAATGAGCCCGGGCGGCCGCGCTGGAGCCGGCGGGGCCAGGAGGGGGTGATGGGGACCCCCCCCCATCCAACTGGGAACCCCCAATCAACTGGGAACTCCCAACCTGGAGAGCCCCACCTGGGACACCCCCCACCCCCCTGTCTGAGGAATCCCCACTTGGGACCCCCGCACTGGGAAACCCCCACCTGGGGACCCTCCCCGTGAACTTCCACCTGGGGACCCCCAGACCGGGGGTCCTCACTTAGAGACCCCCCTCCTTAGAGACCACTTTGGGGAACCCCAGCAGGGACCCCCAACCTGGGGACCCTCCACGGAATTCCCCCTCAAAGAACCCTCACTTGGGGATCCCCACTCAGGACCCCCCCAGCTCAGGAACCCCCACCTGGGGAATCCTTCACTTGGAGACCCCCCATTTTAGCAGGAGCGAGGGGGCTGCAGACCCTCCCCAGAACCCCCCTGTTCCCGTCCCACCCTCCCCGTCGCTGGGGGTCCTGAGGGTCCCGTCACGCGTGCTCTCGTTGCAGCCGTGCGGGGCGCAGGGCCGGGCTGGGGGCTGCAGGGGCCCCTGGCCTGACCCCTGCCCCTGCCCCCGCCGGGAGCCCAAAGCCCCCAGCGGCCCCCGGGCGGAGCCCCCACCGCACCCCGTAAGTGCCTCTGCGCCCCCCCAAAACCCTGAGCTCCCCCACTCCCGGCACCCCCGGCATCCTCACGGCCCCCACGGCACCCACTGCGCCTGCAGCCGGGCCCTGGCCGTGGGGGCTGGGGGCAGGGGGAACCGTGGAGAGGGGGAGTGGGGGGACCTGCAGGGGGGCGCAGGGTGAGGGCACAAGGGGAGGGCAGATTTGGGGGGCAGGGGGAGTGTAGGTGTGCCCAGCATTGGGGTGCAGGAGTGCCCAGATGTGGGGTGCCTCTGTGGGGTGCAGGTGCCCAGATTTGGGGTGCAGGAGTGCCCAGGACTGGGGTGCAGGAGTGCCCAGATTTGGGGTGCAGGAGTGCCCAGGACTGGGGTGCAGGAGTGCCCAGATGTGGGGTGCAAATGCCCAGATTTGGGGTGCAGGAGTGCCCAGGACTGGGGTGCAGGAGTGCCCAGATTTGGGGTGCAGGAGTGCCCAGATGTGGGGTGCAAATGCCCAGATTTGGGGTGCAGGAGTGCCCAGGATTAGGGTGCAGGAGTGCCCAGAATTGGGGTGCAGGAGTGCCCAGAATTGGGGTGCCTCTGTGGGGTGCAGGTGCCCAGATTTGGGGTGCAGGTGCCCAGATTCGGGGTGCAGGAGTGCCCAGGATTGGGGTGCAGGAGCTCCTAGATATGGGGTGCCTCTGTGGGGTGCAGGAGTGCCCAGATTTGAGGTGCAGGAGTGCCCAGCTGTGGGAGTGCAGCAGTGGGGTGGTGTACCCAGATTTGGGGTGCAGGAGTGCCCAGATGCGGGGTGCCTCTGTGGGGTGCAGGTGCCCAGATTTGGGATGCAGAAGTGCCCAGATTCGGGGTGCAGGAGTGCCCAGCTGTGGGGGTGCAGCAGTGGGGTGGTGTACCCAGATTTGGGGTGCAGGAGTGCCCAGGATTGGGGTGTAGGAGCTCCTGGATATGGGGTGCAGCAGTGGGGTTCAAATGTGCCCAGAATTGGGGTGCAGGTGTACCCAGATTTGGGGTGCAGGAGTGCCCAGCTGGGGGGGTGCAGCAGTGGGGTCGAGGTGTGCCCAGGACTGGGGTGCAGGTGCCCACATCTGGGGTGCAGGTGCCCAGATTTGGGGTGCAGGTGCCACCTGGGCACCTCGGGGCCAGCAGCAGCCGCCGCCCTGGGGTGACCTGGCACGGGGTGACCCCCCAGACCCCCGGTGGCCTCAAAGTGCCCCAGGGACAGGTGGCAGGACCCGGGGGTGCCCCAGGTGACCCCAAGGTGCCCCCCGAGCAGGTGGCAGGACCCAGGGGGTGCCCCAGGTGACCTCAAATTGCCCCCCCCAGGCAGGTGACAGGACCTGGGGGCAGGAGGTGACAGTGGGGGGTGAAGGTGACAGCAGGACCCAGGGGTGACAGGGGCTGCCTGGGGGTGTCCCCAAGGTGTCCCTGGGGGATAGAAGGTGGCCCAGGTGGCAGGGGCTGCCAGGGGGTGACACAGGTGACAGGGGCTGCCGGGGGTGACACAGGTGACAGGAGGGTGACACAGGTGACAGGGGTGCCCGTGGGGTGCCCCAGGTGACAGGGGTGCCCCAGGTGGCAGGGGTGCCGGGGGTGACAAGGTGACAGGGGGTGCCCCGTGGGGATGCCCCAGGTGGCAGGGGCTGCCGGGGTGACACAGGTGACAGGGGTGCCCCAGGTGGCAGGGGCTGCCGGGGGTGACACAGGTGGCAGGGGGTGCCCCGTGAGGGGTGCCCCAGGTGGCAGGGGTGCCCCGGGTGGCAGAGGAGCCCCGCCCGGCCCGGCTGCCCGTGCATCATCACCTGCATCGCCATCGCTGTCACGGCCCCGGCGCCTCATCCCCTCCCCCATCCCCGTCCCCCATTCCAGCCCAGCTCCTTCGCCATTTCCCCCTTTTCCCCCATTTTTCCAAGGGGTGTTGGGGGTCCCAAACCTGGACCCGCCTGTGTGCCCCCCCATCCCCCTGAGGGGACACCTGGGTGGCCCTTCCGGCTCCATCCCCATATTTTTGGGGGAGGTTTGGGGGTTCCCCACAGGTAAGTGTTGAGGGGGTGGTCGTGTCATCGTGTGGCTGTTGTGGGGTCACACACACGTGGGAGGGTCACCCCTGTGTGTGCCCTCCCCAAAAAACCCCTGGGGGCTCGGGGTGTGACCCTGCAGGTGTGAAGGAGCCCACGGTGGGGGAAGTCGGGGGTCTCAGCCGGGTTTATCCCACCCGGGTGGGGTCTCGTGGGGTGGGTGGGGTGTTGGGGGTTGACCCTCAGATGTGATGGAGCACAAAGTGGGGTGGTCTCACCCCCACCCCCTCAAGCCGGGTCTGGGGAGGGGCAGGGCGGGTCGGGGGTGGGGGTCGTTGCACACCCCACGCGTCCCCCGTGGCCGTGGGGGCTGAGCCCTCTGTCCCACGCAGCATTCGCAGCGTCAGGCGCCGCCTCCCCCGCCTTGTCGGCCTCGGACCCCGCGACGGCAACTTTCTGACCTCTCCCAGCAGCAGGTACGGCCCCTCCCCCGCCCGGGACCCCTCCCCACAAATTTGGGACCTGGGACCCCTCAGTGTCCCCTTGGACCCCTGAGAACCCCCTTGGACACCTGAGCCCCCGACACCTTCCTGAGCCCCCCCAGCCCCACCTGAGCCCCCAGACCCTCCTGAGCCCCCCCAGCCCCACCAGACCCCCAGACCCCCCTGAGCCTCCCAAAACCCCCTCCCCGAGCTGGCCCCGCCCCTCTCCCGATGACGTCACCGGCGTGCACAAAGAAGGGGCGTGGCCGCCGCCCCAGCCGGGCGCCCCCATTGGCCCCCCCAGGCTCGTGGCGCGACGCCCGATTGGCCGCCCGCCCTGCGTACGCCGCGCCCCGATTGGCTGGCGCCGGCCGCGGCCCGCGGCTCTGAGCCAATCAGAGCGGGGGGGCCCTCAGGGCGGGCGGCCAATGGGGGCTCTCGGCGGGCCGAGCCGGCCGGGCGCGCGATTGGCTGGCGCCGCGAGGCGGGCGGGGGGCGAGGCCGGCGCTGATTGGCTGGCGCGGGGCGCGGCGGGCGCCGATTGGCTGGCGCGGGGCGCGGCCCTTGGCAGGCCGCGCGCGCTGCGGCGGACGGAGCGACCCCATTGGCTGATTCCCGGCCGCACCACCGCGCTCAGCCAATGGCGGCGCAGCATCCGCCGGGGGGCGGGGCCGACCCCCGAATTTGGGGTGGGGGCTTCGACCCCCAAAAAGGGGGGGCCACGAGGGGATGGGGGCCCCCAGCTCATTTCGGGACCCCCGAGGGCCTGGGAGATTTTCATCCCCCCATCCTGGAGACCCCCAAACCAAGGGGGGGGTCCTAAGGGGGTTCTCTGTGGGCCCCCCCAGGGTTTTTCAGGGGTCTTGGGGGGTTCTGGGGGAGGTCTCAGTGTGTCCCCCAACCCCACTGACACCCCCCTCTTCTTTTCTCCCCAGTCCTGGTTCCTCTGACGCCGCCCCCTCCTCTTTATTCTCCCTCCCGCGCCGGGACGAGGAAAAAACCCGAAAAAAAAAAAAAAAAAGGAGGAAAAAAATATTCACGAACAAAAAAAAAAAAAAACCTACAAAAACTCACAAAAAGAAAAAACACAAAAAGAAAAAGAAAAAAAGCCGCAATCCTCCTCCAAAAAAAAAAAAAATCCCTTTTCCCCTCGCAAATCTCCCTCCCCAAAATCGCCGCCGTCCGCCCTCCTCCTCGCCCCCCCACTCACGACGTGGATGAGGGTTCGACCTCTCTGATGTGTCCCCCCCAAAAAAAACCCCACCCCAAAAACACCCTCCCCGCCGCGTTCCCCCGGCACACACAGGGTCACCTCTGGACCCCCCTTTAATCCGGGAGGGGTAGGGGGTCCGCAGCCCACGAGTGTCCGTGGGGGTGTGTGCGTGTTTAACCCCCCACCCCAAAACGCCCCCCACGCGTGTGCCCCCCCACGTCACCAGCACTGCACACGCTCCGCACACGCGTGCCGGGGGAGGGGGACACACGGGACCCCCTTGCTGCAGGACAGCGAGCGGGGCCGGGGGATGGTCCCGAACTCCCCCAAACCCCGAGACACCCCCGAACAACCCCCAAACTCCCCAAGGCTTTGGGGTCCCCCAAAACCCCTTGCCTGCCCCCAACCCCCAGCTCATTTTTTTAATTAAGTGCAATTACCCCCTCCTCCCCCGAGGTCAAACTCCTGCTTTTGGGGTCAAACCCTCTGTTTTGGGGTCAAACCCCCTCTCCCCTGCCCCTTTTCCTGTTTTGGGGTCAAACCCCTGATTTGGGGTGTCCCACCTCCCGTTTTAGGGTCAAACCCTCCCATTTTGGGGTCAAACCCCTCCCATTTTGGGGTCAAACCCCCAGTTTTGGGGTCAAACCCCCATTTTGGGGTCAAACCCCTTCCTTCCCTCCCCTTCCCTCGTTTTGTTCAGACTCCCCCAATTTGGGGTTAACTCCCCCAATTTTGTCGTTTCCCCCATTTTTTTAGCTCCAATCCCCCATTTGGGGTCAAACCCCTTCCTTGTGTGACCCCCCATTTTGGGGTTGAACCCCCACGTTTCGGGTCAAACCCCCCTCCACTTTGTGACCCCCCTTGAGGTCCAACCTCCCATTTTGGGGTCAAACCCCCTTTCGGGTCCCCCTCTCTCCAAGTGCTTTTTGGGGATTCCCCCCCAATTTTCCCTCGTTCCCCCACCCTCAATTTTATTTTTTATCGTTTTTGGGTAATTTTGCTCCCAATTCACGTTCGGGGGCCCCAATTCCACACCGGGGGTTGAGCAGCCCTGGGGAGGGGGAGGAATTTGGGGGCATTTTGGGGGTTTCTGCACCTTCGGCTGATTTCGGGGTTGGGGAGGGGATGGGATGACCCCCTCAGACCCCTCCCCCGGGTTTTGGGGTCAGACGGACCAAAATCGCACTTGCCTTAGACCCCCGCGTGCCTTTCCCTCCCCTCCCACTCTTGGACCCCCCAAAATGGGGACAATCATTCAGCGCCCTCCCCTTTTCGGGGACCCTCCCGCTTTTGGTGCCACCCCCTTCTTTGTGACACCCCCGGGTTTTTGGGACCCCCACCAGCAATGCCCCTCCCCATCTCCCCACGCCCCTTCCCCTCCCCACGGAAACACCCCCCACTCCCCCAATTTTTGGGCTCCCCATTTCGGGGCGCCCCCACCAGCAATGGGGCCCTCAACATTTGGGGACCCCCACCAGCAATGGGCCCCTGGGCAATGCGACCCCCAATCTCCGGGTACCCCAATTTTGGGATCCCCTCCCCAAAACGAACCCCGGGGTGGGGGTAAAGGGGGCGATTTTTGGGGTCGTCGCGCTCGGGCCCCGCCCACACCAGCGTTGCACATTTTGGGGACCCCCACCCCCAAAGTCACCCCTCGCCCCCAGCACGTGGTAGTGACGTCATTTCCCAGGGGTGGGTCGGCCCCTCCTCCTCTCCCCCACCCACCCCACTCCCCGACCCCCACCCGCGGGACGTGGAAAACCGCGGGAAAAGGGGCGGAAAAAGGACAAAAATGGAAATAAAAGTGTCGTTACCCGCCACGTGCGCTGGCCCGGGGGCGGGGGATCGGGGGATTTGGGGGTCCGGAGGGATTTGGGGGATTTAGGGGGTCCGGGAGGGATTTGGGGGATTTAGGGGGTCCGGGAGGGATTTGGGGGAATTTAGGAGGTCCGGGGGTGATTTGGGGGTCTGGGGTGATTTGAGGGGGCGCAGGAGGGGATTTGGGGAGGAAAGGAGGATTTTGGGGGCACCAGGATTTGGGGGCATTTGGGGGCACCCCCGTGTGTGTCTCCCCCCGATCCCGTGACTCGCTGGGATTTGGGGAATTTCCGAATGATTCCCATTTCCCAGCGCTCCCAGTGGCCCGGCCCGCCCCCTCCCAGTGCCCCCAGTTCTCCCAGTGCCCTCCCAGTAGCCCCGCCCTCTCCCAGTGCTCCCAGTGCTCCCAGTAACCCGGCCTTCCTCTTCCTCCCAGTGGCCCGCCCTGTTCTCCCAGTTCTCCCAGTAGCCCGCCCCCTCTCCCAGTTCTCCCAGTGTTCCCAGTAGCCCACCCTGCCCTCCCAGTCCCTCCAGTGCTCCCAGTAGCCCACCCTGCCCTCCCAGTCCCCCCAGTAGCCCACCTTCCCGCACTCCCAGCACTCCCAGTTGCCCTTCCCGCCACTCCCAGTGCTCCCAGTGCTCCAGTCCCCGCCCGTCCCTCCCAGTGTCCCCGTGAGGTGTCAGGTGACGGGGGCGGGGGTGACCCCACTTCCCGTTTTGGGGCCATTAAAGGGCCGGAGGGGCCGCGCCGGGGCGGGGGGGACACGAGGGACAGCACGGTGAGTGCCCTGCGGGGGCGCGCAGGGGGCGACTCTTGGGACCCCCCACCCCCCGTGACGCGTGGGACCCCTGGGACCCCGGAAATGTGGGGAAGGGGGGTGGGGGTGGCACCCTGAGATCCCCCCAGGTTCCTTTTGGGGTGGGGGGAGTCCTGTCCCTCCCCACGCGGACACGTGGGACCCCCGGACCCCCTGGGTCATCTGGGTGGGGTGGGGGTGGGCTGAGACCACCCCAGGACATGTGGGGACCCCCTGGGTCACACAGAACCCCTCCCCCAAAAAAATGGGGGTCTCATGGGTTGGGGAGAGGCAGGAATGAGACTCCTGCTGGGACCCCCTTGGCCACGTAGGACCCCCCAAAAAAAACCCTGGGTGCCATTGGGGTGGGGGGAGGGGCTTGGGGACCATTCTGGGTGGGGGTGACACTTTTAGGACCCCCCCTCATTATTTGTGTGTGTCCCCCCCCCCTCCAGATGCTGCCCCTGCTGCTGCTGGCGCTGGCGGTGCCCGCGGGGGGGGCACTGGTGACGTCATCGGTGTCACCCCGGGGGGGGGAACCCGCCCTGACCTTCCTGGCCCTGGGGGACTGGGGGGGGCTCCCCGACCCCCCCTTCGTGACCCCCCGCGAGGTGGCCACGGCGGCCGCCATGGGCCAGGCGGCCTCCCGGCTGGGGGGGGACTTCGTGCTGGCCCTCGGGGACAACTTCTACTACCAGGGGGTGCGAGACGAGTGGGACCCCCGATTCCAGGTAACAACCCCCCAAAATACAGCCCAAAATCGGGGGGGGACAGACAAAATCGGGGGGGAAACAGTCAAAGTCTGGGGGGGAACAGCCCAAATTTGGGGGGGTGACAGTCAAAATCTGGGGGGGAAACAGTCAAAGTCTGGGGGGGAACAGCCCAAATTTGAGGGAGAACAGCCCAAAATTTGGGGGGGAACACTCCAAAATCTTGGGGGGAAACAGTCAAAATTTGGGGGGGAACAGCCAAAATTTGAGGGGGAACAGCCCAAATTTGAGGGGGAACAGCCCAAATTTGAGGGGGAACAGCCCAAATTTGAGGGGGGGGACAGCCTAAATTTGAGGGGGGGAACAGCCCAAATTTGAGGGGGGAAACAGCCCAAAATCTAGGGGGGAAACAGTCAAAATCTGGGGGGGGAACAGTCAAAATTTGGGGGGGAACATCCCAAATTTTGGGGGGGAAACAGCCCAAATTTGAGGGGGAACAGCCCAAATTTGAGGGGGGGAACAGCCTAAATTTGAGGGGGAAAAGCCCAAAATTTGGGGGACACTCCAAAATCTAGGGGGAAACAGTCAAAATTTGGGGGGGAAACAGCCAAAATTTGGGAGGGGAACATCCCAAAATCTGGGGGGAAAACAGCCCAAAATCTGGGGGGGAAACAGCCCAAAATCTGGGGTGAATACACATGTCCCTCCTTGTCCCCCCATATCCCAATGTCCCCCCCTGTATCCACCCCCATTCCCTCTCTGTCCCCATGGCCCCCCCACCTTCCCCACACCCCTCTCTGTCCCCCCCCATGTCCCCTGGGGTCCCCTGATGTCCCCAGGACACCTTTGAGCAGTTGTTTGTGTCTCTGGGGGGCTCTGGGGTGTCCCCTGATGTCCCCTGCTGTCCCCAGGACACCTTTGAGCGGGTGTTCGTGTCCCTGGGGGTCTCTGGGGTGTCCCCTGATGTCCCTGATGTCCCCCTGATGTCCCCCTGCTGTCCTCAGGACACCTTTGAGCGGGTGTTCGTGTCCCTGGGAGGCTCTGGGGTGTCCCTGGGGGGCTCTGGGGTGTCCCTGGGGTGTCCCCTGATGTCCCCCTGGTGTCCCCTGATGTCCCCCTGCTGTCCCCAGGACACCTTTGAGCGGGTGTTCGTGTCCCTTGGGGGCTCTGGGGTGTCCCCTGGGGTCCCCTGGTGTCCCCAGGACACCTCTGAGCGGTGTTCTGCCCTGGGGTCTCCCGGGTGTCCCTGATGTCCCCTGCTGTCCCCAGGACACCTTTGAACAGTTGTTTGTGTCTCTGAGGGGGCTCTGGGGTGTCCCTGGGGGTCTCTGGGGTGTCCCCTGCTGTCCCCAGAACACCTTTGAGCGGGTGTTCGTGTCCCTGGGGGGCTCTGGGGGTGTCCCTGGGGGGCTCTGGGGTGTCCCTGGGGGGCTCTGGGGTGTCCCCTGATGTCCCCTGATGTCCCCAGGACACCTTTGAGCGGGTGTTCGTGTCCCCGGGGGTCTCTGGGGTGTCCCCTGATGTCCCCCCCTGTCCCCAGGACACCTTTGAGCGGGTGTTCGTGTCCCCGGGGGTCTCTGGGGTGTCCCCTGATGTCCCCTGCTGTCCCCAGGACACCTTTGAACGGGTGTTCGTGTCTCTGGGGGGCTCTGGGGTGTCCCTGGGGTGTCCCCTGATGTCCCCTCCTGTCCCCAGGACACCTTTGAGCGGGTGTTCGTGTCCCTGGGGGGCTCTGGGGTGTCCCTGGGGGTCTCTGGGGTGTCCCCCTGATGTCCCCTGCTGTCCCCAGGACACCTTTGAGCGGGTGTTCGTGTCCCCGGGGCTCTGGGGTGTCCCCTGATGTCCCCCTGATGTCCCCCTGATGTCCCCTGCTGTCCCCAGGACACCTTTGAGCGGGTGTTCGTGTCCCCGGGGCTCTGGGGTGTCCCCTGATGTCCCCTGATGTCCCCCTGATGTCCCCTGATGTCCCCAGGACACCTTTGAGCGGGTGTTCGTGTCCCCGGGGCTCTGGGGTGTCCCCTGGTTCGTCATGGCCGGGAACCACGACCACGCCGGCAACGTCACCGCTCAGCTGCGCTACAGCCACCACTCCCCCCGCTGGTAACCGCGTCCCCAGGGTCCCCAGGGTGTCCCCACAGTGTCCCCACAGTGTCCCCAGGGGTCCCCAAGGCTCCCCAGGGGTCCCCACAGCATCCCCAGGGTGTCCCCAGGGTCCCCACAGTGTCCCCAATGGTCCCCAGAGTGTCCCCAGGGTCCCCACAGTGTCCCCAACGGTCTCCACAGGGTCCCCAGGGTCCCCATGGTGTCCCCACAGTGTCCCCAGGGGTCCCCAAGGCTCCCCAGGGGTCCCCACAGCATCCCCAGGGTGTCCCCACAGCATCCCCAGGGTGTCCCCAGGGTCCCCAGAGTGTGCCCATGGTCTCCACGGTGTCCCCAGGGTCCCCATGGTGTCCCCACAGTGTCCCCAGGGTCCCCAGAGTGTCCCCAGGGTCCCCATGGTGTCCCCACAGCATCCCCAGGGTGTCCCCAGGGTCCCCACAGTGTCCCCAATGGTCCCCAGAGTGTCCCCAAGGGTCCCCACAGTGTCCCCACAGTGTCCCCAGGGGTCCCCAAGGCTCCCCAGGGGTCCCCACGGCATCCCCAGGGTGTCCCCAGGGTCCCCATGGTGTCCCCACAGTGTCCCCAGGGGTCCCCAAAGCTCCCCAGGGGTCCCCACGGTGTCCCCAGTGGTCCCCAGGGTCCCCATGGTGTCCCCAAGGGTCCCCAAGGGTCTCCAGAGTGTCCTCACAGTGTCCCCACGGGTCCCCACAGTGTCCCCAGGGTCCCCAGAGTGTCCCCAGAGGTTCTTGGGGTCCTCACAGTGTCCCCAACAGTCCCCAGGGGTCCCCACGGTGTCCCCAGGGGTCCCCACAGCGTCCCCAGCTCCCCTCAGGTTGTCCCCGTGACGTCCTCAGGGGTCCCCAAGGGTACCCAAAGGTCCTCGAGCACCTTCAGGGTGTCCCCAAGTCCCTTCGGGGTGTCCCCACAATGTCCCTTTGAGGTCCCCACGATGTCCCCACCTGTCCCTGACCGTGTCCACGTGTCCCCCAGGCACTTCCCCCACCCGTCCTACAGCCTGTCCCTGGCTCTGGGATGTCCCCACCTGTCCCTGATTGTCCCCTCGTGTCCCTGTGTCCCCCCAGGCACTTCCCACACCCGTCCTACAGCCTGTCCCTGTTTTTGGGGTGTCCCAATGATGTCCCCACCTGTCCCTAATTGTCCCCTGTGTCCCCAGGCACTTCCCCCACCCGTACTACAGCCTGTCCCTGTTTTTGGGGTGTCCCCACAGTGTCCCCACAGTGTCCCAACGATGTCCCCTCATGTCCCCTGTGTCCCCAGGCACTTCCCCCACCCGTCCTACAGCCTGTCCCTGTTTTTGGGGTGTCCCAATGATGTCTCCCCTGACCCCACAGGCACTTCCCCCACCTGTCCTACAGCCTGTCCCTAATTGTCCCCTGTGTCCCCCCAGGCACTTCCCCCACCCGTACTACAGCCTGTCCCTGTTTTTGGGGTGTCCCAATGATGTCCCCTCTGTCCCTGATTGTCCCCTCTGTCCCCAGGCACTTCCCCCACCCGTACTACAGCCTGTCCCTGTTTTTGGGGTGTCCCAATGATGTCCCCCCTGTCCCCCCAGGCACTTCCCCCACCCATACTACAGCCTGTCCCTGATTGTCCCCTCTGTCCCCAGGCACTTCCCCCACCCGTAGTACAGCCTGTCCCTGGCTCTGGGGTGTCCCCACCTGTCCCTGATTGTCCCCTCGTGTCCCTCTGTGTCCCTCTGTCCCCAGGCACTTCCCCCGCCCGTCCTACAGCCTGTCCCTGTTTTTGGGGTGTCCCAATGATGTCCCCTCTGTCCCCAGGCACTTCCCCCACCCATACAACTCCCTGTCCCTGATTGTCCCCTCTGTCCCCTCATGTCCCCTCTGTCCCCCAGGCACTTGTCCCTGTTTTTGGGGTGTCCCAATGATGTCCCCTCTGTCCCTGATTGTCCCCTCTGTCCCCTCATGTCCCCCCTGTCCCCCCAGGCACTTCCCCCACCCGTACTACAGCCTGTCCCTGGCTCTGGGGTGTCCCCACAGTGTCCCAATGATGTCCCCCCTGTCCCTGATTGTCCCCCCTGTCCCCCCAGGCACTTCCCCCACCCGTACTACAGCCTTCGCCTGCACATCCCTGGCTGCAACGCCACGGGGCGGCTGCTGGTGCTGGACACGACGCTGCTCTGCGGCCACGCCGACGATTTCGGGGCCGGGGGTGCCCCGGGGGGCCCCCATGACGCGGCGGGGGCGGCGGCGCAGCTGGGCTGGCTGCGGGGGCAGCTGGAGGCGGCGCGGGGGGCGCGGTTCGTGCTGGTGGCCGGGCATTACCCGCTCTGGTCCGCGGGCAGGCACGGCCCCACCCCCTGCCTGGTGCGGCTGCTGCGGCCGCTGCTGCGGAGGCACCGCGTGAGCGCCTACCTGAGCGGCCACGACCACAACCTGCAGGTAAATTGGGGCTGGGGGGCACAAAATGGGGCTGGGGGGGCACAAAATGGGGCTGGGACACTCCTACCTGAGCGGCCACGACCACAACCTGCAGGTGAGGGGGCTGGGACAGGTGAGAGGGGCCTGGGGGGGGCTGGGACACTCCTACCTGAGCGGCCACGACCACAACCTGCAGGTAAATTGGGGCTGGGACAGGTGAGAGGGGCCTGGGGGGGCTGGGACACTCCTACCTGCAGGTAAATTGGGACTGGGGGTGATGGGACACTCCTACCTGAGCGGCCACGACCACAACCTGCAGGTAAATTGGGGCTGGGACACTCCTACCTGAGCGGCCACGACCACAACCTGCAGGTAAATTGGGGCTGGGGGGGCTGGGACACTCCTACCTGAGCGGCCACGACCACAACCTGCAGGTAAATTGGGGCTGGGACACTCCTACCTGCAGGTAAATTGGGGCTGGAACAGGTGAGAGGGGCCTGGGGGGGGCTGGGACACTCCTACCTGAGCGGCCACGACCACAACCTGCAGGTAAATTGGGGCTGCTAGGGGGGACAAAATGGGGAGGGGGACCCTCCTAGGGACACACCCTGGTGGGAGGAGACCCCCCCTAAAAACCTGTCCCAGGTTGGGGAGGGGGGGGATTCACCATCCCAAGGTGTCCAGGTGGGAGGAGCCCCCCCCTAAAACCTGTCTTGGGGGGTACCTGGGTGCGTTTTTGGGGGGGTACCTGGATGTGTTTTTGAGGGTACCTGGGTGCATTTTGGGGGTACATGGATGTGTTTTTGGGGGTGTCTGGGTGTGCTTTTGGGGAGTACCTGGGTGTGTTTTTGGGAGTACCTGGGTGTGCTTTTGGGGGGTACCTGGGTGTGTTTTTGGGGAGTGCCTGGGTGTGTTTTGGGGGTGTCTGGGTGCATTTTTGGGGGTGCCCCATCGGTGCCCCCCCTGACCTCCCCCCTGTCCCCCCCACCCTGCAGTACCTGGAGGAGGGGGGGGTTGGCTACGTCGTGAGCGGCGCCGGCAACTTCCTGGAGGAGTCCCGAGCCCACGAGGGCTCCGTCCCCCCCGGCTCCCTGCGCTTCTTCTTCGGGACCCCCACGGCCCCGGGGGGCTTCGCCCACGTGCGCCTCGAGCCCTCCGGGGCCACCGTCACCTTCCTGGAGGCCACGGGCAGGGTCCTGTACCGGGTCACGCTGCCCCCCCGCGACCTCTGACCTCAGGGACCCCCGCGACCTCTGACCTCAGGGACCCCCATGACCCTTGACCTCAGGGACCCCCCGCGACCCCTCCCCTGGGGGGACACCGCGACCCCCTCCCTGACACGGAGGACACCGGGCGGGCCCCCCGTGTCCCCTGAGCCCCAATAAACGTTTTGAACGCCTTCGATGGACCCAAAACCGTCGCGTTTCGCCCCAAAAAGCACGTGGGGAGGCGGGACAGGGGGACAGCGTTGGCCCCGCCCACCCTCGCCGCTGATTGGCTCGAGCAGCCCGTCAATCATTTATGGACGGGGCAACGCTGCTCGTCACGTTGCGGCGTTGGTGCGCCCGCTGCTGATTGGCTGAGCCGCGCGTCCATCACTCGATGGGCGGGACAACACCGCGAGGCCGCGCGCCCTTCGCCCAATCGCCGGCGCGCCCGTGCGTCACGTGATGGGGAGGTCGCCGCTCCCGGGGCGCTGATTGGCTGGAGGGCCCGAGCGGTGCCGCCGGCGGCACTTCCGGGTGCGCGGCGGGAGCGGCGCGGGAGGAACCGGCGGGGCCCGGGGGGGGCTCGGGGGGTCCCGGAGGGTCCGGGAGGGTCCCGGGGTCGGTCGGGGTCGAGGCCGCTCCCAGGCGGCTCCCGGTGCCGGTTTCGCCATGGGCCGCCGCAAATCGAAGCGGAAACCGCCGCCCAAGAAGAAGATGACGGGGACGCTCGAGACGCAGTTCACGTGTCCCTTCTGCAACCACGAGAAGTCCTGCGACGTCAAAATGTGAGAAAAATTTAAAATAAATGGGGGAGGGGGAGGGAGCACGGGTGGGGGGAGGAGAAACAGGGGGGAGGTGGAAGAACCGGGGGGACACCACAGGGGAGGGAACGACCCGGGATGGGGAGGGGGACATGGTGGGGAGGGAAGGAGCTCCTGGTGGGGGCACAAGGGGGACACGGGGTGGGGGAACAGGAATGTCCGGGAGGGTCTCGGGATGTCCCGGAGGGTCCGGATGTCCTGGGATCAGGGTGTCCCGGGGGTCTCGGGATGTCCCACCTTGTCCCACTGCCCCCTCCACTCGCAGGGACCGCGCCCGCAACACGGGGGTGATTTCGTGCACGGTGTGCCTGGAGGAGTTCCAGACCCCCATCACCTGTATCCTTCCCGAGACCCCTCCCTGGGACCCCCTGAAACACCCCAGGACCCCTTAACCTCCCGGGACCCCCAACCCCCGTTGGAGCCTTAACAGCCCCCAGACCTGTCGGAGCCCGTGGACGTTTACAGCGACTGGATCGATGCGTGTGAAGCTGCCAATCAATAGCGGGGAGGGGCGGACGCAGAGACCCTCCCTAGAGCCTCCCCGACCCCCAGGAGGGTGACAACCCCAGGACCCGGTGACACCCCAGGACTTGGGGGTGGGGAAGGGGCACAAACCTGGTCACAGGCCCCCACCTGGGGGCACAGGATTGTCCCCAAACCCCCCAGGACCTTGTCATGTCCCCCAGGACCCCCCCCAGGGTTTGGTGACACCCCCAGGGGTTGGTGACACCCCAGGGTTTGGTGACCCCAGGGTTTGGTGACACCCCCAGACCTGGCACAGAGGGGGACATTCCCTGTCCCCAAACCTTGAGGAGGGGGTTGTTGGGGGCTTTGGGGCTCCCTGACCCCCCTGGGACCTGTCCTTGTCCCCAGGGGAGGAGGGGTTGGGGGTTGGGACGAGTTTTGGGGAGGTGCCCCCAATAAATGCCCTGAGTTGGTGTCACTTGTCCCCTTTGGTGTCCCCCCAGTCCTCTCCCCCTGCGACCTCCTGGTGTCCCCTCAGTGTCCCCTCTGATGTCCCCCTGTCCCCCTCCCCTCCCCCAGCGCGTCCCCGACCCCCCGCGGTGTCACCGAGCTGTCCCTTTATTTTTTTGCGTGTGGCTTTTTATTTGTGCCTCGGTGGCTTCACACGTGGCAGGGGCCGAACCCCCCGGGGCCAAAACACCCCCGGGGCCGATCCTGGGGCCAATTCCCCTCCCCCTCCCTCCCTTCCCCACCTGGGGTGGATTTTGGGGTCACCCCCCTCGTCCCGGGGCGGATTTTGGGGTCACCCCCCTCGTCCCGGGGCGGATTTTGGGGTCACCCCCCTCGTCCCAGTGCAGATTTTGGGGTCACCCCCCTCGCCCCGGGGCCGATCCCGGCTCTGAACCCCCCCAGGACCCTCCCTGGGGTTGAATCCAATCCCCCCCCCACTCCAGACCCTGTTCTGGGGCTGATCCTGGGGTCGATCCCGGGGTCGAAGCCCCCACCAGGGCTGATCCTGGGGCTGATTCCTGGACTCCCCGAGGCTGATCCTGGAGCCAAAACCGGGGCCGATCCCGGGGCTGATTCCCCTCCCCAGGGCTGATCCGGGGTCCGATCCCACTCTGGACCCTCCCTGGGGCCGATCCAGGGGTGATCCCGGGACCGATCCTGGGGCTGATCCCCCTCGGGACCCTCCCTGGGACCGATCCTGGGGCTGATTCTCCCCCCGGGGCTGATCCTGGGGCTGATCCCCCTCGGGACCCTCCCCGGGGCCGGTCCCGGTGCCCCGGGGCTGATCCCGGGGGCCGATTTCTCCCCAGGGACCCTCCTTGGGACCTCCCCCGGGGCTGATCCCCTCCGTGAGACCCTCCCCGGGGTCTGCTCCCCCCCAGGCCCCTCCCCGGTGGCGGTGCCGGTGTCGGGCGGGGCGCGGTGCGGCCGGTGCTGAGTGCGGGGCGGTGCGGGGTGGGCTGGGCTGGGGTGAGGTCGAAGCTGCCGCGGCGGCCGCGGCTACTGCGAGTTGTAGAGCCCGTCGTGGGCGTCGTAGCCGTCGTGGGCGAAGAGCTCGGGCCCCCCGCAGTACTTGGGGTCGTAGACCTGGCGCGGGAGCCCGTAGACCGTCATGCCGGTCTGCGAGGCGCCCTTGTTGCTGCCCATCTGCAGCCCGATGGTCATCGTGTCGCAGCGCTCCATGCCCAGCGACGGCTCGAAGATCTGGCGCTTCGTGCCCGGCGCCGTCATCCCCGCCTGGGGGAGGGAGGGGAGGGGAGGGGAGGGGACACAAAAATAAGGGGTGAGGGAGGGGCGGGGGGCAGCCGCGGGTACCTCCCGGGGGATTTGGGGCTGGGAGGGGGGACACAGGCACCTCCTGAGAGGGGACAGGGACATCCCTGAAGGGGGACACGGGGCTGGGAGGAGTGGGAATGGGTACCCTGGGGGGACAGGGACACCCCCTAGGGGGGACAGGGACATTCCCGAGGGGGACACGTGGGCTCCTCCAAGGGGGACATCAGGGCACCGTTGTCCCCGTGTCCCCACCCAGGGTATCAGTGTCCCCCTGTCCCCTCTGTCCCAGTGTCCCCCTATGGTGTGGGTGTCCCCTCTGTCCCCATGTCCCCCCTGGTGATGTCATTGTTCCCTGTGTCCCCGGTGGTGTGGGCATCCTCCTGTTCCTGGGTGGTGAGTGTCCCAGTGTCCCCTGTCCCTGGGTGGTGTGGTGTCCCTGGTGTGGGTGTCCCCTCTGTCCCCATGTCCCCCCTGGTGATGTCAGCGTCCCCTGTGTCCCCCGTGATGGTGTGGGCATCCTCTCTGTTCCCTGGGTGGTGTGAGTGTCCCCTGTGTCCCCCCTGTCCCCTGGGTGGTGTGAGTGTCCCCAGTGTCCCCCTTGTGTCCCCTGGGTGGTGTCATTGTCCCCTGTGTCCCCCGTGTGCCCACCTGGCTGGCGCCCTTGTTGGTGCCCATCTGCAGGGAGATGGTGGCCTGGTCCAGGGGCTGGTCCGTGCCCAGCTTGGGGTCGTAGAGGTGCCGCCGTGTCCCGTAGGCCGTCATGCCCTGCTGGCTGGCGAACTTGTTGGTGCCCATCTGGGGACAGCAGGGACAGGGACAGCATCACCGTCACCAACTGTCCCCAAGGCGCTGCCACCCCCCCCCTCCTTCGTCGGGGTGTCCCCAGAGAGCCTCCCTGCCACCCCCTCCCCCTATTCTGTGCCTGTGTGTCCCCCCCACCCGTGTCCCCGGTGTCCCCAAGTGTCCCCAAGTGTCCCCAGGTGTCTCCAAGTGTCCCCGGTGTCACCTGGAGCCCGATGATGTTCCTGCCCTCGCGCAGCTTCTCGGGGTGGAAGCGCCGCTGCTGCTTCTCGGCGTATTTCACCCCCAGCCCCACGTTGTTCCCCTTCGTCTTGGCCTGGGGGGGGAACCTCGGGGGGGTCAGGAAGGGGCATGGAGACCCCAAAATCTCCCTGAGGAGCTCCCTCCATCCCCATCCCCCCCACCCCCAGCAGGTGAGGGGGCACCGAACCAGCCTGTGGGGGGTGGGACGTGGGGATCCTCCAGAGCCCCCCCAGACCCTTGGGAGCCTCCCAGGACCCCCCCCCAAGGACCCCAAGACTCCGTCCCACCCTTTGAGGGGAAAGGGGGGGGTCACCTGGGTGGTCCCACCCCTTGATGGGGGGCAGGAGGCGGGGGGTCACCTGGGTAATGTGAGCGATGGGGGAGCACCAAACCCAGGGATGGGTGGTGGGACATGGGGACCCTCCTGAGCCCCCCCAGCCCCTCTGGAGCCCCCCAGCCCCTCCTCCCACCCCACCATGTCCCCCCCCACACAAGGACCCCCTCGGCAGTGGGGGGGTCACCTGAATGGTCCCACCCCTTAGGGGGGACAGGGGGGGTTACCTGGCTGATGAGAGCAATGGGGAGCACCAAACCCAGGGATGGGTGGTGGGACCTGGGGACCCTCCAGAGCCCCCCAGACCCTCTGGAGCCCCCAGCCCCTCCTCCCACCCACCGTGTGCCCCCCAGGACCCCGTGTCCCCCACAGGATTTGGTGGGGGGGGGGTCTCACCTGGCTGGCCAGGGCGATGAGGGTGGACTGGACCTGTGTGTGGTTGGTGTTCTCGAACAGGTCGTTGGCCTCGAAGATGTCGTGGGGCTTCACCCCGTAGCGCGTGATGGCCCGCAGGAAGTGCCCGATGTTCTCCAGCTGGGAACGAGGGGGAGGGGGTGTCACGGGGGTTAGGGGAGGGGAGGGGGTCCTGGGGCCGGAGCTGCTCCCAGATCACCCCCTACCCCCATACCCTGATTTTGGGGGGTGTTTTCCACCCCTCTCCTCACCTTGTGCCAGTTCTGGACGGGCTCGTTGATCTTGGGCACCGAGCCCGGCTGCAGCTTGTTGATGAGCCTGGGGGGCAGGGGTCAAGGGTCAGGGGTCAGCACAGGTGAGGGCGTGGGGAGGGATGGGGTCAAAGGGTCAGGGGTCAGCCCAGGGGAGGTCAGTGGGGGTGGGGGTTGAGGGATTGGGGTCAAAACTGGGCCAAGTTCCAAGAGGATCGTCCCAGATTTGAGGTGGGGTCAGGGGTCAAAGGGGGAGGGTCAAGACCAGGACTGGGGACAAGGGAGTGGTCATTGGTCAGGGGGTCAGAGGTCAGGGGTCAGTCCAGGTGAGGTCAGTGGGGTTAAGGGATGGGGTCAAAGGGTCAGGGGTCAGCCCAGGTGAGGTCAGTGGGGTTAAGGGATGGGGTCAAAGGGTCAGGGGTCAGCCCAGGTGAGGTCAGTGGGGTTAAGGGATGGGGTCAGGGGTCAGCCCAGGTGAGGTCAGTGGGGTTAAGGGATGGGGTCAGAGGTCAGGGGTCAGCCCAGGTGAGGTCGGGGGATGGGGGGTGAGGGATGGGGTCAAAGGGTCAGGGGTCAGCCCAGGTGAGGTCAGTGGGGTTAAGGATGGGGTCAGCGGGTCAGGGGTCAGCCCAGGTGAGGTCGGGGGGGGGGGTTAAAGGACGGGGTCAAAGCAGGGCTGAGTTCCAAGAGGGCAATCCCAGACTCAGTTTGGGGGGGGAGGGGACGGTCCCAGCCGGGTCAGTGGTGAGCAGGGGTGGTCAGTGGTGGTCAGCAGGGGTCACAGGTCAGGGGTCACAGGTCAGGGCTCAGGCCGTACTCGCAGAGGATGACGCCGTCCTTGAGCCCGTCCATGAAGTTGTCCCCGATCCGCCGGCCCGTCGTGCCCTCGATCCACGCCCGCAGCTCCCGCTCCCGCTGGGGGTCGTATTTCTGGGCCAGCTGGGGGGGACACGGGCACAGGGACACCGTTGGGGGATGGGGGACACCGGCAGGGGGACAGGGACACCAGCAGGGGGACACGGACACCGGCAGGGGGACAGGGACACCGGCAGGGGGACACTGGGACACTGTCAGGGGGACAGGGGACACCATTGGGGGACACGGGACAGGGGACACCGCCAGGGTGGGCGTGGGGGACACCCCCTCCCCACGGGGGGACACGGGGACACCCCGGGGGTGCCACACTGGGCCGAGCACAGAGCAGAGCCCCGGCTTCCCTTCCCCCGCCGTTGTCCCCTCTTTTCCCCATCCCCGCAGGGGAGGGGAAGAGCTGGAAAGGCCGGGGTGCCTGACCCCCGCGTGTCCTGCCTCCGGGAGGCCGCGGGCGACCGGGCCGGCCGCACGTTTGCCCATATATAGCCCCGGGCCGAGGCCGCTGCCGCCCGCCCGCCGCGCTCCGCCGCCTTATAAGGGCTCACGGCGGGGCCGGAGGCGCCAGGCCCCCGAGCCACCGAACATCCCCCTGCCCCATCCCCGTTAACCCTTGGCGGGGCGGACACCGGCGGAGACGGGTCCCCCTCCTCTCCGCCGCCCCCATCCCGGTGATCGCCGACCCCCGTGTCGCCATCCCCGACCCCAACCCCTGCCAGCGAGCGGCACCTCCCGGGGTCGCCGGGTCAACCTGAACCCCTCCGGTTAATCCTTAACGGGGTCGGTGCCCGGTAGAGACCACCCCCTCCCCACCCCCGGTGTCCCTTCCATCACCGGGACCCCCAAAACAACCCCCGGTTCATCCTTAAAGGGTCGGTGCCTCGTGGGACCCCCACGCGGTGCTCAAGGAGAGACCCCCACTCTACACCCCCCGGTGTCACTGGGGACCCCCCGAAACCCCCTCGGTTAATCCTTAGCAGGGTCGGTGCCGGTAGGACCCCCTCTCCCCACCCCCGGTGTCCCTTCCGTCACCGGACCCCAAACAACCCCTCGGTTCATCCTTAAAGGGGTCGGTGCCTCGCTGGACTCCCCACGCGGTGCTCAAGGAGAGACCCCACTCTACACCCCCGGTGTCCTCCGTCACCGGGACCCCGAACACCCCCGGTTAATCCTTAACGGGGTCGGTGCCCGGTGAGAACCCCCTCCCAACCCCCGGTGTCCCTCCTGTCACCGGTACCCCCGAACATCCCCACCTCACATTAACCCTCAACGGGTCGGACCCCACCGGGGACCCCCCCCGGGAGCTCACGGGGGTCTCTCCGGTGCCGCCCCTTCCCAAAAAAAAAACCCCAGGGTCGCTCCTCCTCTCCCCCGTGCCCACCGTGACACCGATGGCAGCGGGGATGGGGGACTGCGACAGCCCCCAGGCCCCCAGACCGCCCTCCTCATCAACCAGCACCCCGCGGGACCCTGAGCACCCCATGGGGGTCCCCGGGGCCGTGCCTGTCCCATCCCGGGGCAGCACCAGGGACAGCGCCGGGTCCCGCCCCCTCCCGCCGCTCCTGCCGCGTCCTGCGCGACCCCGCCCGCGACCCCCGCCCTCCCCGGTGTGTGAGGGGTCACCCTTCCCGGATCCCCTCCGACCCCCCGAGCCGCCCACCTTGTTCTTGACCTCTGCCGAGAGCCCGTAGGCCGGCCCGCGGTTGAAGTGCGCGTTGGACATTCCGGGGGGCGCGGAGGGGCCCGGGGGGGTCGCGGTGGGTCCGGTGGGGTCGGGTCGGTCGCGTCGGGCGGGTTTGGGGTCTGTCCCGGGTGGGTTCGGGTCTGTCCCGTGTGGGGTCGGGTCTGTCCCGGGTTCGGAGCTCTCGGTCGGTCCCTTCCCGCTCCCGGTCCCGTTCCCGGCGCCGCCGCCACTTTTAAAAGTGGGCGGTGGGCGCGGGCCCCCAGGCCGGGCCGGCCGCGGCCAATCGGCGGCCCCCGCCGCGCTGACGTCACGGCGGGGCGGGTGATGGCGTCATTTTTTCCACATTTAGCCGGGGGGGATCCCGGGAGGAGGGGGGGGATCCCGGGGAGGGTATAGGGGAGTCCCCCCAGCCCCAAATCAGCCCTTCCCTCCCTAAATCAGCCTTTCCCCCCTCCTCCCTCTAGACACCTCCCCCGTCACCCGGGACCACTCCCCTCACCGGGGTCCCCCCCTGGTCACCCGGGGTCACTCCCCCGGACACCGGGACCCCCCGGTCAGCTGGGTCCCCTCCCCTGGACCCCCGGGACCCTCGGTGTGGGGCAGGGGACCCTCCCCAGGACACGGGAGACCCTCCACGATCTCTGGTATCCCTCCTCCCCTCCGGGTCCCCCTCGGTGCCGTCACCGGATCGGACTCCGCCGCCCCGGGGATTTGGGGGTGAACGGTTCGTCACGGGTGGGGAATGCGCTCCCTCCGTCCCTCCCTGCCCCAGTCCATCCCCTCCCCCTCCGGGCACTTCCAGACCCCCCCGGGATCGGGGGGACCCCCAGAGCCCCCCCCTTCGCTCCCAGGGGACTGGGGGGACCCCGAACCGCCCCCAGGACAGCAGGGCCCCCGCCGCCCCCTGGTCGGACCCCCCACTCCCGTTTAGAGCGGCCCGTGCGGCTCTGACGTCATCGCTCTGCCGCGCGTGACGTCACCGCGTGTCCCCCTCTCCGAGCTCAGCGCGGGGCCCCCTCTGACGTCACGGGGGAACCCCTTTTGGCCCCGCCCTTCCGGCGGCGGCCAATCAGCGCTCGCGTCACACCCGCCCGGTGAAAGCGGCGCGGCCATTGGCTGAGCCGCCGGGCCACGCCTCCTTCGCCCGGGAGCGCCGGGGTCACGGGCAAGATGGCGGCGCCCTGAGGGGAGACCGGGCGTGGGGACGGCGGGGACCGGCTGCGACCTCTGACCTGTGACCCCTGACCCCACGGGGACCCCCCATCGTCCCCATCGCGACATGAGGTTGGGCTGGGTCCGGGCGCTGCCCCCCCGGCTCTGGGGGGGGCCCGGAGCGCCGCAGGTGAGGGGGGGGCGCGGGGACACCGAGGGGAGAGCGGAGGGACAGTGGGGGATAGGGAGGGATATGGGGGGTAGGGGTGACTCGGCGGCATTTGGGGGACACGGGGGACACTGGGGACATGGGCGGGACATGGGGGATAGAGGGGACGTGGGGGATAGGAGGGGAAACTGGAGGGATGGGAGGGATGGGGGGACATAGGGGATGGGGGTCCAGGGGGCACAAGGGAGAGGGGGCGACACGAGGGGGACATGGGGGGACACAGAGGTGGTGGGTGGAGAGGGGGGGTCCGGGGGACGTGGTGGGCACGAGGGAGAGGGGGGGAACATGAGGGGGCCTGGGGAGAATTGAGGGGACACCGACTAGGTGGGGGGGCCATGGGGGCACACTGGGGGACTCGAAGGGGGGCACATGGGCGACCTGGGGACCCCCCACCCCCAAATCTCACCCCCCCACTCTCTCCTCCTCCAGGTGGCTCGGGGGCTCTGCCAGCGCCCGGCGTGGGACCCCGGCGAGGGGGTCACCCCAGACCCCCCCCAGCCCCGGGGCCGCGTCCCCACCGCAAGGGGGGACCCCTCAGGGGGGGACACCTCAAGGGGTGGCCCCTCACGGGGTGACACTTTAGGGGGCGACACCTTGAAGGGTGACACCTCACGGGGTGACACCTCAAGGGGTGGCCCCTCACGGGGTGACACTTTAGGGGGTGACACCTTGAAGGGTGACCCCTCAAGGGGTGACACCTCAAGGGGTGACCCCTCAGGGGGCGGCACCCCCAAAGCCCCCTCCCCACGCACCTCCTCCCACAAGACCCACCACGACCACCACGAGGACCCCCAGGACGGCGACTCCGGGTCCCCTCCCCCGGGGTGACCCCGCGGCGTTCGCGGCCGCGCTGGGGGGGGCGGCGGCGGGGACGCCCCCCGGGCGCGGCGGGGGCCGCGTGGCGCTGGTGGAGGCGGCGCTGGCGGCGATGCCGGCGCTGGGCGTGGAGCGGGACCCCCGCGCCTACAACGCCCTGCTGAGGCTGCTGCCCCGCGGGACGTGGGTGCCCCGCGGGCCCGTCCAGCGCCTGCTCTTCCCCTTCCCGCGCCAGCAGGAGTGCGGGCTGCGGCTGCTCGAGCAGATGGAGCGATACGGTGGGTCTGGGGTCCCCTCTGTGTCCCCACGGTGCCCCCTCATCTCCCCCCTCCCCGCTCTGTGGTGCTCCGTGTCCTCCATCTCCTCTCGTGTCCCTTCCCCCTCCTCGTGTCCCTCCAGGACCGCCCTAGTACCCTCCCTGCCCTCCCCCCCATGTTCTCCATCTCCTCCTGTGTCCCCTCTGTGTCCGCCCACCCGTGCCCCACAGTGTCCCCTCATCTCCCCCCCTCACCCCTCCTGTGTTGTTCCGTGTCCTCCCTCTCCCCTCATGTCCCTCCCCAACCCCGTGTCCCTTCAGGACCTCCCCAGGTACCTTCCCTGCCCTCCCCCCTGCCGTGTCCCCCATCTCCCCCCTGTACAGTCCTGTCCCTTCCCCACCCTGTCCCCTCCAGGACCCATTTCTCCCCAGGACCCATTTCTCCCCCCAGGACCCATTTCTGTCCCCCCAGGACCCATTTTTGTCCCCCAGGGGTGCTGCCGGACGCAGAGACGCGGTTCCTGCTGCTGGGGGTGTTCGGGCCCCGGAGCCACCCCTTGTCCCCCAGGACCCTCTGTGCCCCCAGGACCCTCTGTGCCCCCCAGGACCCTCTGTGCCCCCCAGGACCCATTCCTGTCCCCCCCAGGGGTGCTGCCGGACGCAGAGACGCGGTTCCTGCTGCTGGGGGTGTTCGGGCCCCGGAGCCGCCCCATGCGGAAGCTGCAGCGGATGCTGTACTGGCTGCCCCGGTTCCGCCACATCGACCCTCACCTCTGCCCCCACCGTGCCCCCAGGGCGTGGCGGCCGCGCGGATGGGGCTGCACCGGATCGCGAACGACCCTGACGCCAGGGTCACCGTCCTGCAGGTGGGCACAGCATGGGGGACAGGGGACACTGATGGGGGACAGCTGGGGGCTGCACCGGATCGCGAATGACCCTGACGCCAAGGTCACCGTCCTGCAGGTGGGTGGGGCATGGGGGACACCTGGGGGACAGGGGACACTATTGGGGTGGGACAGCTGGGGGCTGCACTGATTGCCAATGACCCCAACGCCAGGGTCACCGTCCTGCAGGTGGGCACAGCACGGGGGGACACCTGGGGGCAGGGGGACAGGGGACACTATTGGGGGGGACAGCTGGGTGGGCTGCACCGGATCGCGAACGACCCCGATGCCAGGGTCACCGTCCTGCAGGTGGGCACAGCATGGGGGGACACCTGGGGGGCAGGGGGACAGGGGACACTGATGGGGTGGGACAGCTGGGGGCTGCACCGGATCGCGAACGACCCCGACGCCAAGGTCACCGTCCTGCAGGTGGGCACAGCATGGGGGGACACCTGGGGGGACAGGGGACACTGATGGGGAGGGGACAGCTGGGGGCTGCGCTGGATTGCCAATGACCCCGATGCCAGGGTCACTGTCCTGCAGGTGGGTGGGGCATGGGGGGACACCTGGGGGCAGGGGGACAGGGGACACTGATGGGGGGACAGCTGGGGGACAGAGGACACTGATGGGGACAGCTGGGGGACAGGGGACACTGATGGGGGACAGCTGGGGACAGGGGACACACGTGGGGACAGTGGACACAAATTTGGGGGGGACATACCTGGGGGGACAGGGGACACAACTAGGGGAATAGGGGACACAACTAGGGGAGCAGGGAACACACCTGGAAGGGACAGGGGACACAAATGGGGTGGGGGAACATCCCTGGGGGGACAGGGGACACAAATGGGGGACAGGGGACACAGATGGGGGACAGGGGACACAACTAGGGTAACAAGAGACACAACTAGGGGAGCAGGGGACACACCTGGGGGGACAGGGGACACAAATGGGGTGGGGGACATACCTGAGGGGACAGGGGACACACCTGGAAGGGACAGGGGACACACCTGGGGGAGCAGGGGGGACAGGGGACACACTTGGGGGACAGGGGACACACCTGGAAGGGACAAGGGACACACCTGGGGGAGCAGGGGGGAGGGGACACACCTGAGGGGACAGAGGGCACGACTGGGGGACAGGGGAACAGGTAAAAGGGACAGGGGACACACCTGGGGGGACATGGGAGGGGACACAGAGACCATCCCCAGGTGGGGACACCTGTGTGACCCCAAATGACCCCCTGTCCTGTCCCCACCCCTCACAGGCACCGGTGCCCGAGTCAGGGGGAGACGAAGGTTCCGTCCAGCCCTACATTGTCAGTGAGTTCTGGGGTGGATTTTGGGGGTCTCGGGGGGAATTTGGGGTCCCTGGGGGGAATTTTGGGGGGGTCTCATCCCTTTCCCCCCTCTTTCCTGGAGCAGAAGGAGCTGCCGTCCCAGCACAGCCTGTTTTTGGGGGTGGTTTGGGAGGATTTTGGTGTTTCTGGAGCGGATTCTGGGGGTCTCAGGGGGGATTTTGGGGGTCTGATCCTTGTGTTCCTCCTTTCCCAGGCTCCCAGAGCCCGGAGCAGAAGGAGCTGCTGGCCCAGCACGGCCCCTCCCGGCCCGTGTTCGTGGAGGGGCCGTTCCCGCTGTGGCTGCGCCGGACCCGCCTGAGCTACTTCGTGTTACGGGGGGACCCCCTGCCCCCACACCTCAGGGTGGGTCTGGGGGACCCCCGGGGGGGGCTCCAGGAGGGCAGGGGGGTGGGGGAGCGGGGGGTCCTCTGGGCAGGTGGGATGGGAGTCCCCTGACCATGGAGAGGTGAGAGGGAACAGGACCCCCAGACCCAGGACAGGTGAGATGGCACCCCCAGACCCAGGACAGGTGGGATGGCACCCCCAGACCCAGGACAGGTGGGATGGCACCCCCAGACCCAGAACAGGTGGGATGGGACCCCCCTGGCCATGGAAGGGACCCCCAGACCCAGGACAGGTGGGATGGCACCCACAGGACAGGTGGGATGTGACCCCAGACCCAGGACATGTGGGATATGACCCCAGACCCAGGACAGGTGGGATGGGACCCCCAGACCCAGGACAGGTGGGATGGGACCCCCAGAACAGGTGGGATGGGACCCACCTGGCCATGGAAGGGACCCCAGACCCAGGACAGGTGGGATGGGACCCCCAGAACAGGTGGGATGGGACCCCCTGGCCCATGGACAGGGGACCCCGGACCCCAGGACAGGTGGGATGGGATGGGACCCCCTGGCCATGGAAGGGACCCAGACCCAGCAGACAGGATGGAACCCCCCGGACCCATGGACAGGCGACCCGCAGGACCCAGGACAGGTGGGATGGCACCCCCAGGACAGGTGAGATGTGACCCCAGACCCAGGACAGGTGAGATGGGACCACCAAGACCCAGGACAGGTGAGATGGGACCCCCAGACCCAGGACAGGTGAGATGGGACCCCCAGACCCACCACAAGTGGATGGGCACAATTTCACCTCCCCCAAGCCCCTCCCCACCTGGGGACCCCCCTGACCTCTCAGGAAGGACCCCCCCCCTGCCCAGAACATTCCAGAACCCCCCTTTTTGCCCCCCAGGACCCCCCCCTGGACCCCGAGCGCAGCTTTTACTTCCCCCTGGAGCTGGAGCTGGACCTGGAGCGCGGCCCCTGGGACGACGACGACTTCGACGTGGACGAAGGTGGGATTTTGGGGGGGTTGGGGGGAGGTGCCAGGCGAGCTGAGGGTGTTTGTGGGGGTCCCCTGACGCCCCCCGTGCCCCCCTGCAGTGGAGGAGGGCCCGGTGTTCGCGCTGTGCGTGGCGGGGGCGGGGGACAGGCGCACCCTGGGTCGATGGATTTCGGCGCTGCAGGAGGAGAACCCGGTTTTGGGGAGCACCCCCGTCATCTTCCGCCTCTCCCAGGGGGGCCCCCACCCGCCTGGGTCCCCCGAGGGGTCCCAACCCCCCAGGCTGGGCACGGGGAACCCCCCAGGGGCGGAGCTGGAGCCCCCCGAGGGGCAGGGTGGGGAGGGGGGAAAGGGGGGGGACCCCCCAAAAAGCAGTGGGGAATAAAGGGGTGTTGTGGTGAACACAGAGAGGGTGTCCTGGTGGTTTTTTTGGGTCTGTGCCTCCTGTCACCCCCTCCTCAAAACCTGGTTGTCCTCAGGGGGGGTTTAGGGGATCCTGGGGGGAAATTGGGGGTCCCAGGGGGGCGCCTCCAATGTCCCATTCCAAACCCTGTTGTCCCAGGGGGGGTTTTGGGGGTCACGGGGCTGGATTGGGGGCACTGGGGGGGGTCTCCAGTGAAGAGGGAGGGTCCCCAGTGAATGGGGGGGTGACCAATTCAAGAGGCTGGGGGTCCCCAGTAAGTTGGAGGGGTCCCCAGTGAATGTGAGGGGTCCCAATTGAGGAGGTTGGGGGGTCCCCAATGAATTTGGGGGGTCCCCAGTGAATGTGAGGGGTCCCAGTCGAGGAGGTTGAGGGGTCCCCAGTAAGTCAGGGGGGTCCCCAATGAATGTGAGGGGTCCCCAGTGAATGGGAGGGGGTCCGCAGTAAGTTTGGGGGGGACCCCAATGAACGCGAGGGGTTCCCCCTCATACCTGAGGCTCGAGGTAGGGCCCGAGGCGAACCCAGGACGCCCCCCCCCTGCACCCCTCATTTTTCGGGGGTCCTTTCCCCCCCCCCAAAAAAAGACCAAAAACCCCCTTGGGGGAGTGCTGGCAGCTCGTCCCGCGCATGCGCACACGCGGCACTGACGCCGCGGCGGGAAGTGCTGGCGGAAGTGCGGGCAGGGAGGTGAGGGGGGGGGGTGTTGAACGCGGCGCATGCGCGTTGAGCGCCGGCATGAGCGGGGCCGAGCGGGCCCGGCGGGGCCGGGACCGGGACCGGGACCGAGGGGTCCGGGGCCCGGGACGGAGCCGGGCCGGGCGGGGTCGCAAAGCGCGGGGGCGGCCTCGCCTCACCGAGAGCGACCGCGCGCGGCGGCGCCTGGAGTCGCGCAAGAAGTACGACGTGCGGCGCGTGTACCTGGGCGAGGCCCACGGGCCGTGGGTGCAGCTGCGGCGCCGAAGCGGCTGGAGCGACGCGAAGCTCGCGGCCTACCTGCTGGGGCTCGAGAGGGGGCAGCGGGCCGGCGGCACGGCGTGAGTGGGGCTGGGGGTTGATGAGGGTCGCGGGAACCTGGGGGATCGTGGGGTCGAGGAGGGGCGCCGTGGGAGGTTTTGGGGGTCGCAGGGGGTGGTTTGGGGGTCGCAGGGGGGTCTGAAGGGGGTGGGGAGGTGTCGTCGTCCCCCCCCCGCCGTGAGGGGCAGCGGGCCCGGCGCTGTCCCCGGTGCTGAAGGGGAGGTTGGGGAGAGGGTTCTTCGCGGCCTTCATCGCCCTTTTCCTCCTCCTCTTCACCCTCCTCTTCCTCTTCCATCCCTTTCCCTGTTCCTTCCTCACTCTCCGTGCCGGAGGAGAAGGAGGAGAGAGCGGTGGAGGAAGAGGAGGAGGAGAAGGGCTGGGTTTGGGGGGTGCCACAGGAAAAAGATGGGGAGGAAGATGATGAGAAGGAGGAATATGAGGAGGAAGATGAGGAGGAAAATGAAGATGAAGAGGAAGATGATGAGGAAAGCCAGGTTGGGGGGGGTCCCACGGGCACAAGAAGCTCCTTCTCCCCTCTCATCTCCTCTCTCTCCCCACAGCAAACCCTGGGAGCAGCTCCCCAAAAAAACCAAGCGCAAGAAAAGTGAGTCCTGACCCCCCCTGGGGATCCCCTGGGGAGGCTGTACCTGAGTTTGGGGTGGCTGTGCCTTCCCTGGGGTGGCTGTACCTGCTCTGGGGGGGTCTCTGCCAGGATTTTAGGGGGTCCCCACACCGTCCTCGCCCCCCAGGGCGCCGGCGGAACGTGAACTGCCTGCGGCACGCGGTGATCAGGGACCCTTTGAGGGGGCTGTACCTGAGTTTGGGGGGGCTGTACCTGCCCTGGGGGGTTTCCCACACCATCCTCGCCCCCCCAGGGCGCCGGCGGAACGTGAACTGCCTGCGGCACGCGGTGATCTGGTACGAGGACCACCGGCAGCGCTGCCCGTACGAGCCGCGGCTGGCGGAGCTGGACCCGTCGGTGGGGCTCTACACCACGGCCGTGTGGCAGTGCGAGCGCGGGCACCGCTACTTCCAGGACCTGCACTCGCCCCTGCGGCCCCTCAGCGACTCCGAGGGCGACGCTGGTGACGGTGAGGGGGAAAGGGGGGGTTTGGGAGGGATGGGTGTGGGGGTTTGGGGTCTGGGGCTCTTCAGGGACTGATGGGGATGGTGGGGACGGGGTTTGGGGGTTTGGGGTCTGGGGCTCTTCAGGGACCGATGGGGATGGTGGGGATGGGGGCTTTGGGGGCCTGGATATGGGGTTTGGGGTCTGGGGCTCCTCAGGGACCGATGGGGATGGTGGGGATGGGGTTTGGGGGTTGGGGTCTGGGGCCTCTCAGGGACCGATGGGGGTGGTGGGATGGGGGCTTTGGGGGCCTGGCATGGGGTTTGGGGTCTGGGGCTCCTCAGGGACGGGTGGTGAGGGTGGGGATGGGGGTTTGGGGGTTTGGGGTCTGGGGCTCCTCAGGGACCAATAGGGGTGGTGGGGACGGGGGGTTTGGGGAGTCTGGATATGGGGTTTGGGGTCTGGGGCTCCTCAGGGACGGGTGGTGAGGGTGGGGATGGGGGTTTGGGGGTTTGGGGTCTGGGGCTCCTTCAGGGACCGATAGGGGTGGTGGGGATGGGGGTTTTGGGGGCCTGGATATGGGGTTTGGGGTCTGGGGCTCCTCAGGGATGGGTGGTGAGGGTGGGGATGGGGGTTTGGGGGTTTGGGATCTGGGGCTCCTTAGGGACCGATGGGGATGGTAGTAAGGGGTGCTGGAGGGTCAGGGATAGGGGTTTGGGGGTTGTGGGGGCCTGGATGTGGGGTTTGGGATCTGCTGACTCCTCAGGGACTCTGATGGGGAGGGGATGATGGTAGGGGGTTGGGGGTGCAGGGATGGGGTTTTGAGGGGGTCTCAGCCACTTTTGAGGGGGTCCCAGCCACTTTTGGGGGACTTACTTAGGCTGAGGGTGTGTAGCCCTCCAGGGAGTTCATTTGGGTCTGGGGGAAGGGAGGAATTTTGGGGTGTTTCAGGCAGTTCCTTTGCCTCTGGGTGGGGTGGGTATTTTTTCGGGGGAATCTCCCTGACTTCCCTTGTCCTTTCCTCCTGCAGCTCCGAGCTCTTCCTCCTCCTCCTCCTCCTCTTCTTCCTCCTCCTCCTCCTCCCCGAGGGGCTGCAGCTCCGGTTCAGAGGCTGCCCCTGTGGGGGTCCCGCAGTGCCAGAGCCCCCTTCCTCCTGCCCCCGGGGTCCCACGGCCCCCTGAGGCTCTGGAGGCCGTGGTTTGTGTCCCCTGCCCCTCCCCTCCAGGCCCGGGCTGGGGGCTCTGGATGGGGGCCCCCACCCTCCTGCAGGGCCCCCCTGCTCATCCTGGCTGGGCCGGGTACTGAGGGGCTGGGGGCTCCAGCTCGACGTGGGGGTCACGAGGTGCTGCTGGAAGGGGAGGGGACCTTCCCCCACCCCTGCCTGGGGAGACACACCTGACTAAGACAGGTAAGGGGGATTTGTGGTGGGGGTGGCAGCGTTGGGGTCAGGAATGGGAGGATTAGGGTGGATTAGGGGGAAAAGGGGGATTTGGGGTCAGGAATGGGGAATTGGAGTTGGGGGGTGGGGAGTGGGAGGCAGGAATTTGGGGAGGGAGGTCCAGGAATGGGAGGGGGATCAGGTGCTGGAGGTGGGTTGAAGGGGATTTGGGGTCAGGAATGGGGGATTGGGGAGGGATTTGGGGAGGTTCAGGTGCTGGGGTGCTCAGGAGGATTTGGGGTCAGGAATGGGGGTTGAGGTGCTGAGGGGGTCTCACCCTGCCCCGCTGGCAGAGGAGGACGAGGGCCCCCGCTGAGGCTGGGAAGGAGGAGGAGGAGCTGCCCCCCAGCTGAGCCCCCTCCAGAGCCCCCGGAGCCCCTCTGGACCCCTCCTCGGCCGAGGACCCCGAGGGTCGACGATCATCTACGAGATCCCCAAAGAGCCCGAGAGGTTCTGGGGAAGGAGGGAGACCCACACCCTGGGGGTCATTTGGGGGTCTGGGGGAGTTTAGGTGTCCCTGGGAGGGCTTGGGGGAATTGTGGGGTTTGGGGGGTGTTGGGGAAGGGGGAGTACCTGGTGGGGTTTATTTGGGGAGGGGGTCAGGAACTTATTTTCTGGGGGAGCTGATTTTGGGGCTGGGACAGCTGCCAGGTGCTGGGGGTCACTTTTTGGAGGGGGAGGGGGGGATTTAGGTGCTCTCAGGTCCATCCCCCTCTCCCCCCCATACCTGTTCCCCTTTCTCGGGGGGCAGGGCAGGGAGCACCTGGGGGAGGTTTGGGTGGGTCAAGGGCTGGTTATTTTAGGGCAGATTTTGGGGTGATGGATGATTTTGGGAAGGGGGTGGTCTGAACCAACTGCTGGGTGCTGGGGAGGGTGATTTTTGGGGAGGGCTCACCCCAAGCCCTGCAGGCGCCGGCGGAGCAGGAGGGGCCGCGCTTCGCCCCGAGGAGCCCCCCGAGCCCCTGAGCTGCCCCTACGCCGGCTGCGGGCAGGTCTGCGGCGCTCTCAGCAGCTTCCAGGTGCCTGGGAAGGGGGGGAGACCCCCCCTGACCTGTCCTCAACCCCCCCTGACCTGTCCCAGACCCCCTGACCTCCCAGTGCCCCCCCAGACCCATCTGAACCTGGTGCACCGCCGGGGCCGGACCCAGCTGTGCCCCCAGCCCGGCTGTGGGAAGAGGTTCCAGCTGCCCACCCACCTGCGCCGCCACATGGGCGTCCACTCAGGTGAGACACCCCAAAATACCCCCCAAAATTCACAGAAAGAGGTTTTACCTGCCCACCCACCTGTGCTGCCACATGGGCGTCCGCTCAGGTGAGACACCCCAAAATATCCCCCTACAACCCCCCCAAATCCATCCACAGGAAGGGGTTTTACCTGGCCAACAGTCCCCAGGTGTGGGGGTGTCCCCTTTGCCCCCCAAACTCAACCCCTGTGCTCCCCCAAAATCCACAGGGAGAGGTTTTGCCTGGCCAACAGTCCCCAGGTGTGGGGGTGTTCCCCCCAACCGTGACCCCCTTTTCTCTCCCCCTGTCACCCTGGTCTCCCCAACCCTCCCCCCCACCTCAGGTGTGCGGGGCTTCACCTGTGACACCTGTGGGAAGTCCTTCAAGCGCAAGAACCACCTGGAGGTTCACAGGAGGACGCACACGGGGGAGACCCCCCTGCAGTGAGTGATGACGAGGAGACACCCCCCCCCCCAACCTCGAGGGCTGGGGACCCCCCAGGAGGGCGATGGGGGGTGGTTTCTGCCCTCACCTGCCCCTTCCCCCCAGGTGCGAGGTGTGCGGGTACCGGTGCCGCCAACGCGCCTCCCTCACGTGGCACATGCGGCGCCACGGGGGGCTCAAGGGGCACCCCGAGCCCCGTGGCACGTAGGGGGGGACCCTCCCCCTCCCCAGGTTCACCTGGGACCCCCCAGACCCCCAACACTCACCTGGGTCCCCCCCTGCTCACTGGGACCCCCCGATGTACCTGGGGCTGCACCTGGAGGTGAAGAAGAACCACCTGGAGGGGGGGGGTGGGGGGTCCTGAGCACCCCCCCCCAGCCCCCCTCGGACACTCTGAGCACTTTGGGGACCCCCTCAGCCCCCCCCCAGAGGGGTCTTGGTGTGTGTGTGGCCCCCCCAGGTGACCCTGTGGTCCCCCCCAGGTGACCCTGTTACCTTCCCCCCCCTCAAATCACCTTTTATTTATTTCCTTATTCTCTCACCTGTCACCCCCCCTGGGGACACCTGGGGGGTTTGGGGAGGGGTTTGGGGACACTGTCTGTGTGGGGGGGACACGACCCCCTCCCCGTGGGATCCCCAAACCCCACCCAGGACCCTCCAAATCCATTAAAGTCGGGACTTTTTGTGCTGCTTCTTCTGTGGTGGTGGGAGGGAACAGGGAACAGGGAGGGTCCGGAGGGGCTTGGAAGGGGTGGAGACCCCCCCCCTTGGTGCCCCCTCCCCAATTTTGGGGGTCTCGGGGCGGCCCCTCCGCTGGGGGAAGCGGGGCCGGGCCCGGCGCTGTCCCCGGTGCTGAAGCGGTGGAGGCTGCTCCTGCTTCTCCCCGGCCTTCATCCTCCTTCTCCTCCTCCACCACCTCCTCCTCCTCCTCCTCCTCCTTTGGACCTTCCTCCTTCTCCTTCATCCCCTCTCAGCTTCCTCCTCTTCCTTCATCATCCTCTCCTTTTCCTTCTCCTCTTCTACCTCTTCTATTCTTCCTCCATCCCTCCATCCTTCCTCCTCCATCCCTCTGTCCTTCCTCCCTCCCTCCTTCCTTCCTCCTCTTTTTCCTCGTCCTTCATTCCCTCGTCTTCCTCCTCCTCCTCCTCCTCCATCTCCCTCCGTCCTCCTCTTCCTCCCTCCCCATCTTTTCTCCTTCTCCTCCATCTTCCCATCCTTCCTCCTCTTCCTCCTCCTCCTTCACCCCCCCCCCCCGTCCTTCCTCCTCCTCCTCCTCCTCACGTGGGCGTGGCCTGGGGGGGTCTCAGGGGGCTTTTGGGCCCTCCCCACTCTCCAGCCAATGATGGTGGGGGCGCTTCATTTTGGGTTTGGGGGCCGAGCTGAGCCACCTCTTTTTTGGGGAGGGGGAGGGCAGACGGAACCATCTCCGGGCGAGGGGGCTTGGGAGGGCGGTTTTGGGGCCCTGCCCCGCGCCCGCCCAAGGACGTTTAAAGGACCGTCGGGGCCGCTGCTCGCAGCGTCCGCTGCCGCCGCGACCCCCGGAGCCCCCCGGCCCCCTGGGCCCCCTGAGCCCTCTGGGCCGTGCGGGTCCCCCACGCCACCCCCAGCCCGGCGACACGATGGTGACGGTAGGATTTGGGGAGGGGGAGGGCGGGGGGCTGCGGGGACCCCCAGATCTTCCATCCCCTCCTCCCCAAATCCTTCCCGTGTCCCCCTCCCCGTGCATGTGTCCCCCCGTGTGACACGCTCGGGTGGGGACGCGGCGTCACACGCGTGTGGCACCTGCGGGGACACGCGTGCACACGCGTGTGCAAGGGAGGGGCGGGGACACCCCCTTCCCCAAAAAAGGGGCTGGGGCGGGGGGCACACGCAGCGAGGGCGGGTGGGGACCCCCACCCAAACCCGGGGCCGTTGGGGTGGGGGCACACGCGCCACGTGTGTCGCTGTCCCCGCGGGTCGCTGTCCCCGCGGGCCGTGGCTGGTGGCCCCGGGTGGCCCTGTCACCCGGTGACAAAGGGCCATTGTCACCACCCCACCCCCCGCGCCACTTGGGGGTGGGGGAAGGGGCGGGGGCGCTGCTGCACAATGGGGGATTGTCATCCCCCCACCCCGCTGTCCCCACGGCCCCGCCCGGGGTGTCACTGTCCCCCCACCCGTGTCCCCGTGATCCAGGTGTCCCTGGCCCCTCCCTGACCCCAGTGTCCCCTCACCGTCCCTGTCCCTGCCGCTGTCCCCACGATCCCAGTGCCCCTGTGCTCCCACTGTCCCCTCGGTGTCCCCACGACCCCAATGTCTCTGTCCTTTCACTGTCCCTGTCCCCCCACTGTCCCCATGATCCCACTGTCCCCATAACCCCACTGCCCCCATGATCCACTGTCCCCATGATCCCACTGTCCCCATGATCCCACTGTCCCTGTCCTCCCACTGTCCCTGTGCCCCCACTGTCCCCATGACCCCACTGTCCCTCCATGCTCCCCTTGTCCCCGCACTGTCCCAGTCCCCCCAGTGACCCTCCCTGTCCCCTCGCTATCCCCATGTCCCCTCGGTCCCGCTGTCCCCACATCCCCTCCCTGTCCCTGCTCCTGTCCCTGCGGTGCCCCTCGGTGTCCCCAGTGATGCCGCTGTCCCCCCGCTGTCCCCACATCCCCTCCGTGTCCCTGTCCCTGGGGTGTCCCCGGTGACTCTGCTGTCCCCCCCGCAGATCCTGAGCACGGTGGAGGCCCAGGCTCCGAGCGCCGCGGGGCCCTCGGGCTGCGGCCCCGTCCCGGTGCCCGTCCCTGTCCCCGTGCCGGTGGTGGCCGTGCCGGGCCCGGCGGTGGCGGCGGCGCTGCCCAACGGGGGCCCCCCCGGACCCCCGCCCGTGGCCGACGACAGCAAAACCAACCTGATCGTGAACTACCTGCCCCAGTCCATGAGCCAGGAGGAGCTGAGGAGCCTCTTCGGCAGCCTCGGAGACATCGAGTCCTGCAAGCTCGTCCGCGACAAGGTCACCGGTACGGCCGGGCACGGGGGAGGACAGGACACGGGGACACGGGGACAGGGGACATGGGATGGGGGGACAGGACATGGGGACAGGGGACACAGGGACAGGGGATATGGGATGGGTGGGGACAGGGGACACGGGACAGGGGGGACAGAATGGGGGGACAGGGGACATGGGGACAGGGGACACGGGATGGGGGACACGGGATGGGTGGGGACAGGGAATATGGGATGGGGGAACAGGACACGGGATGGGGGGACAGGACATGGGGACAGGGGACACAGGGGATGGGGGGACAGGGCATGGGATGACATGGATGGGGGACAGGACATGGAGGACACAGGTTATGGGGACAGGGGACACGGGATGGGGGGGACAGGACATGGGGACAGGGATAGGGGTAGATGGGATGGGGGAAAACAGGACAAGGGACCTGTGGGGACAGGGGTAAGGGACTCTGGATGTGGGGATGTGGATCTTGGGGACAGGGGGTGGGGACAGCAGTGGGGGACACGGGTGGAGACAAGAGAGATGGGTTGGGGACAGGGACAGGGGTTGGGGACGGGACTGGGGACACTGGTGGGGCCATGGGGACAGGGCCACCCCCCCATGGTGACAGTGTCCCCCTCCCCAGGGCAGAGCCTGGGCTACGGCTTCGTGAACTACGTGGAGGCCGGAGATGCCGACAGGGCCATCGGGGCCCTCAACGGCCTCAAGCTGCAGACCAAGACCATCAAGGTGCCCTGGGGGGCACGGGGGGGCACCTGGAGGGGCATCTGGGGGGGCAATGAGGGTCCTTCAGGGTTGGGGGGCACCTGGGGGGGGTCCTACAGGGTGGGGGAGGCACCTGAGTGTCCTTCAGAGCATAGGGGAGACACCAGGGGGTCCTTTGGGGTGGGGAAGGGGCACCTGACTGTCCTTTAGGGTGAGTGGAGCACCTGGGGGTCACTCCTAGGGGGTCACCCCTGTGGGAAGGGCAGATCCCCCCCGGGGTCCCTCAGGGGACGCACCCCTGGGTAGGTGACAGCGCTGTCACCTGGGAGGGGGCTTGGGGAGGGGTCCCGAGGGCTCACCTGTCCCCCCCAGGTGTCCTACGCCCGGCCCAGCTCCGCCTCCATCCGCGATGCCAACCTGTACGTGAGCGGGCTGCCCAAGGCCATGGGGCAGAAGGAGATGGAGCAGCTCTTCTCCCAGTACGGCCGCATCATCACCTCCAGGATCCTTGTTGACCAGGTCACAGGTGAGCCCAGGTGTGCCCAGGTGAGCCCAGGTGAGCCCAGGTGTGCCCAGGTGAGCCCAGGTGTGCCCAGGTGTGCCCAGGTGTGCCCAGATGTGCTCAGCCTGCCCGGGAGGGAGCGACAGCCCTGGGAAAATGGGGGTCCTGGGGGGGGTCCTCAGGATCCTTGGGGCTGGGATATTCCTGGGAACAGGTCCTGGGGGTCGTAGGGATCCTGGGGATGGTTGGATATCCATGGGAATGGGGGTTCCAGGGGTGGGACATCCCTGGGAATGGGGGACCTGGGGGTAGGATATGTCTGGGAATGGGGGTCATGGGGGTGGGAGCATCCCTGGGAATGTGGGTCCTGGAGGGGGTGGGACATCCCTGGGACTGGGGGTCCTGGGGGTAGGATATCTCTGGGAATGGGGGCCATGGGGGGTGGACATCCCTGGGAATGGGGGTCCTAGGGGTGGGACATCCCTGGGAACGGGGGTGGGATATCCCCATGATGGGTAGGGCGGACATCCTGGAATGGGTCCTGTGGGGTGGGACATCCCTGGGAATGGGGGATCCCTGGGTGATGGGTAGCGGACATCCCTGGGAATGGGGGTCCTGTGGGGTGGGACATCCCTGGGAATGGGGGTGGGATATCCTGGGAGGTGGCTAGGAGCGGGTGGGGGTCATTCCCGGGTGCCATGAGATGGGCTGGGGGGGTCTGGGGTGGGGGGTGTGACTCGCTGACCCCCCCTTTCCCCCTCCCCTGCCCAGGTGTGTCGCGGGGGGTGGGCTTCATCCGCTTCGACAAGCGCGTGGAGGCCGAGGAGGCCGTGCGGGGGCTGCACGGGCAGAAGCCCCTGGGGGCGGCCGAGCCCATCACGGTGAAGTTCGCCAACACCCCCGGCCACAAATCGGGGGGGGCCCTGCTGAGCCTCTGCCCCGGGGCCCGGCGCTACGGGGCCCTGCACCCCCCCCCGCAGCGATTCCGGTGAGGGACGGGGGGGAACGGGGGGATATCCCTGGGAATGGGGGAATCTCCTGAGGGGAGTATCCCTGGGAATGGGGGCCTGAGGGGATATCCCTGGAAAATGGGGGCCCTGGGGGATATCCCTAGGAATGGGGCCCTGGGGGATATCCCTGGGAACGTGGCCCTGGGGGTATCCCTGGGAATGGGGGTCCTGGAGAGGGGTCCTGGGGGTATCCTGGGAATGGGGGCCTGGAGGGGTCCTGGGGGTATCCCTGGGAATGGGGCCCTGAGAGGGGTCCTGGGGCATCCCTGGAATGGGGGCCCTGAGGGGATATCCCTGGGAAGTGGGGGCCCTGGGGGTATCCCTGGGAATAGGGGCCCTGAGGGTATATCCCTGGGAATGGGGGCCTTGGGGGCATCCTGGGAATGGGGGCCCTGAGGGATGGTCCCTGGGAATGGGGCCCTGGGGGACATCCCTGGGAATGGGGCCCTGAGGGGTATATCCCTGGGAATGGGGGCCCCTGGGGGATATCCCTGGGAATGGGGGCCCTGAGGATATCCTGGGAATGGGGGCCCTGGGGGATATCCCTGAATGGGGACCCTGAGGGGGATATCCCTGGGAATGGGCCCTGGGGTATCCTGAATAGGGGCCCTGAGGGGGATATCCCTGGGAATGGGGGCCCTGGGGGAGTATCCCTGGGAATGGGGGCCCTGAGGGTCCTGGGGGGTATCCCTGGGAATGGGGGCCCTGAGAGGGTCCTGGGGGTATCCCTGGGAATGGGGGCCCTGAGAGGGGTCCTGGGGGGGTATCCCTGGGAATGGGGGCCCTGAGGGGGATATCCCTGGGAATGGGGGCCCTGGGGGGATATCCCTGGGAATGGGGGCCCTGAGGGGTATATCCCTGGGAATGGGGGCCCTGGGGGGGATATCCCTGGGAATGGGGACCCTGAGAGGGGTCCTGGGGGGGTATCCCTGGGAATGGGGGCCCTGGGGGGGATATCCCTGGGAAGGGGGGCCCTGCACCCCCTCCCACAGCAGTTCCAGTGAGGTATGGGGGGTCCTGGGAGGGGTCCTAGGGGGGTCCTGGAGGTGCAGGAAGGGCTGGGGTATCCCTGGAAATGGGGGTCCCGGGGATCCCTGGGGGGCTGGGACATACCTGGGAACAGAGGCCAAGGGGATCCTTGGGGGGTGGGACCCCTTGGCACCAGGGAGACCCCCTTGGGGGGTGTGTGTGTGTCCCCCACCCCAACAGCCTCTCTCCCCCTCCAGACTCGACAATTTGCTGAACGTGGCGTACGGGGTGAAAAGGTAACACCTCCCACCCACCCAAACCCCTCCAACCCCCACCCCAGAACCCCCACAACACCCCCCCTACACCCCCACACCTAACCTGGGGTGGGGAGAGGACCCCCCCAGCTGACCCCAGGCCAGCCCGCTGTCGCTGCTGCCCAGGTTCTCCCCGCTGGCCATCGAGGCGGTGCCGGCGCTGGCCGGGGTGGGCTTGGGGACCCCCGGCCCCGGCTGGTGCATCTTCATCTACAACCTGGCGCCCGAGGCAGATGAGAGCGTCCTGTGGCAGCTCTTCGGGCCCTTCGGGGCCGTCACCAACGTCAAGGTCATCCGGGACTTCGCCACCAACAAGTGCAAAGGCTTCGGCTTCGTCACCATGACCAACTACGAGGAGGCCGCCGTGGCCATCGCCAGCCTCAACGGGTACCGCCTGGGCGACCGCGTGCTCCAGGTGTCCTTCAAGACCACCAAGCAGCACAAGGCCTGAAGGGGGGGCGGCCGTGGGGGTCTCCTGGCGGGCTGTGGGACCCCCCTCCGACGTGGGTACCACGGAGAAACCCAACTGGGGCACCTCGAGGATCTCCGAGGAATCTTCGGGGGATCACCCATGGGTGCCGCGGAGAAGCTCAGCTGGAGACTGTGGGGACCTCGAGGGTCTTTGGGGACATTTAGGGGTCTCCTGTGGGTGCCACGGAGACCACGGGAAAGCTCAGCCTGGAGACCTGGAGACCTCGGGGATTTCCCCCCATGAGCACCACAGAGAAACCCCAGCAGACATCTGGAAACCTCGTGGACCTTCAGGGACCTCCCGTGAGCGCCGTGGAGAAACCCAGCTCAGGAGATGTTGAGCTGCCCCCTCCATGGGCACCAAGGACATCCTGGGGGTCTCCGGGATGGAGAAACCGCACCTGGAGACCTCGGGGAGCCCCTTCCTGATCGCCAAGGAGACCACAGAGAAACCCCCCTGGACGCCTGGAGGCCTCAGGGAACCCCTGTGAGCACCAAGGACACCCTGGAGAAACCCAGCTGGAGGTCTTGGGGACCTTGGGGCACCCCCTGTGAGCACCAAGGACACCCTGGAGAAACCCAGCTGGAGGTCTTGGGGACCTTGGGGCACCCCCTGTGAGCACCAAGGACACCCTGGGGTCTTCAGGGTGGAGACCCACCTGGAGACCTCGGGAATCTCCCCCAACATTGAGCACCAAGGACACTTGGAAGACCTCGGGGACCCCTCTGTGGCTCTGGGGACACCGAGGGGACACTGGAGGCACAGCCTGGACACCCTCACCTGTCCCCGAGGCAGGACGGGGCATCCCGAGGACTCCTCCAGGTGTTCCAGGACACTCGGGGGGGGGCCCTGGAAAACCTGGAGACCCCCCAGGACACTGCGGACACACCTGGGACCCCCCCTACCCAGGTACCCCCAAACCCCACCACTCTGGCGGTGGCCGGACCACCTGGAGCGGTGCCCCCCTCCCCTTACCTGATCCAGGTGTGTCCAGGTGCCAAGTGGGGGCTGTGCCCCCCCCTTCCCTCCACTCCAGGAGAGGTTTCTGCTCTCGCTGTCTCCTTTCCATGCTTTTCCTTCATTTTTCTGGGGGAAGGGGAGGAATTTTTTGGGGAGAAAGAACAAAAACATTTAATTAGACACGTTACCTGCTATCGGGTAACGAGGAGCGCGCCCGACGTGGGGAGCAGCGACTCCTTGGGAGCCACGGACCCAAACCCATCTATTTTTATAACAGAATATTAAAAATATCCCCCCCAAAAATCCCCAAAATCGCCTTTCCAGAGGGGGTGGGAACCTGTTTTGTGCCCCCCTCCAAGTTCCTTGGAAGCAGATTTTTACCCCCAAGCGGGGTCACGGCACATTTTGGGGGGGTCAGTGGAACTAAAATTCCAGGGATTCCCTCTGGAACCCCCAAAATTTTGGCCAGGGGGATGTGTCTTGTTCACACTTCCCCCCCCCCCCTTCCCCAAATACCCCAAAATGGGCATTTTTTGCCCCAAATTCCTTCTCTTGCTGGGGTTTGGCCTCTTGGAGCGTCCTGGCCAAAAAACAGGCGGACCTTTCTCTCCCCACTAAAACCCCCAGCCCCGAGTCTCCTGTCCTCATTATAACTGTTATTATTCTTAATTATTCTTAATTATTATTCTTATTAATTATTCTTATTAATTACTGTTGTTGGTGTTGTTATTATTATTGCGATTCTTATTTATTTACCCTTTGCCGTCGGGATAATTTCTCACTTTTCAGTGGTTTATTTCCTATTTATTTCCAATTCTTCCCTGCTTTTCCCTAATCCTGGGAACCCCCCCTCCCAGGACCCTCTTTTTCCTTTGGGACCCCCCCCAAAAGCCCCTCCTGGCTCTTGGTTTTTTTTTTTGGTGTCGTGCCTGTGTGAAGCTTCTTGTAGTTTTAATTATTATTAATATAAATATTTAGGAGGGACCCCCGTGTCCAGATCCGCCGTCCTCCCCCCAAACTCTGACCCCCGCCCCCTTTCCCGGGGATCCAGCCCTGGAATTTGGGGGGAGATGGGGGGACCCCCAGTTCAGTAGCAATAAGGGGTCCCCACCTCAGCCCCGGCCAATTTTTGGGGGGGGCCCAACGAGGGGACAAAACGTGCCCGGGGACTTCCCCCCTGTGGCACCGCGGGACCCCCCGGAGGGGACCGGGACCCCCCCTCCGGCCCCCACCCCTGGACTCGACTTTGTATTTTTCATGGAAAAAAAAAAATCAATAAAAAGTTTTAAAAGTTGGAATTTGGCGTCTTTCTGTGGGGAGGGTCGTGGACCAGATGGCTGGGGGAGCCCCCAGCCTTTCCCCTCAAGTTTCCCGCCCTTTTTCCCCCTCACATTTCTTGCCCTTTTTCCCTCTCATGTTTCCTGCAATTTTTCCCCTCAGGTTTCCCACTCTTTTCTCCTCAGGTTTCCCACCGTTTTTCCTCTCAAGTTTCTTACCTTTTTCCCCTCATTGCCCATCATTTTCCCCTCACGTTTCCCGCCCTTTTTCCCCTCAGGTTTCTCGCCCTTTTTCTCCTCAGGTTTCCCGCTCTTTTTCCCCTCAAGTTTCTTACCCTTTTCCCCTCACATTTCCCACCCTTTTTCCCCTCAGTTTACCCTCACGTTTCCTGCTCTTTTCTCCTCAAGTTTCTTACCCTTTTCCCCTCACGTTTCCTGCTCTTTTCTTCTCAAGTTTCTTACTCTTTTCCCCACGTTTCTACCGTTTTCCCTCACATTTCCCACTTTTTCCCTCAGGTTTCCCCTCCCAGTTTCCCTGCCTTTTCCCTCGTCACGCTTTCCCAGCCTCTTTTCCCCTCAGGTTTCCCGCCCTTTTCCCCCTCAGGTTTCCCGCCCTTTTCCCTTCTCAATTTAAACTGCTAAAATAATAGAAAAAGAGGCGTTTCCCTCAGTTTAAATCCCTCAAATGACAGAAAAGGAGATTTTCCCCTCAATTTAAGCCCTTACAATGGTGAACATTGAGGATCCCACCTCAATTGAAATCCCTGCATGCCTCTCCCTCAAGAAACACCATTTTGGGGGCTTTTTAACATCTTTTTTTCCCTCATGAAGGTCCCTTAAAACAGAGGCTCCTCCCTCCATTTAACCCTTAAAACGGCACATAGAGGCTTCTCTAATTTCAACCCTTAAAAATGAGGGAAAATAGGGATCTGCCTTCAATTTAACCCTTGAAAAAGAGGGGTTTGCCCTCAATTGAAACCCTTAACATTGCATCATAAAGGGTTTCCCCTTCCATTTAAACCCTTAAGTAACAGAAAACGGGGATTCCCCATCATTTAAACCCCTTAAAATTGTGGAAAAGGTAGGTTTTCCTTCAATCATCACAGAAAAAGGTGGTTTCTCTTCCATTAAAACCTTTAAACCCACAACAAAAAGGCCCTTTTTTTTCCAAAAATTTTTTTTTCAATTATCCCTTGGGGCGGTTGGGTGGAAAACGTGATTTCCTTCGACATAAACACACACATTCCCCCCGCAAACAGAAAAAAAAAAAAAAAAAGGCGTTTATCCTTCAAACCAGCGGATAAAGAGCCGCGCCAGAACTCGCTGGGGTCCCTTTAACCCCGCCGCCATCTTTGAAGCGGGCAGGGCGGGCAGTAGGGGCGGTGTGGGGAGGGCAGGAGGGCTGCGCGCAGGCGCGGGAGCGGCGCTGAGGGCGGGGCGGAAGCGCGCAGGGTGAGGGCGGAAGCGCGTCGGGGCGGCGGGCGGGGGCCGCAGGGAGGGCGGCGGCCATGGTGGATTACAGCGTGTGGGACCACATCGAGGTCTCGGACGACGAGGACGAGACCCACCCCAACATCGACACCGCCAGCCTCTTCCGATGGCGGCACCAGGTGAGGGGGCCGCGCCGTTACCGCCCGAGCGCTCCTGGGGCCTGGTTCCCAGCCCGTCCTCACGTCCTGTTCCCCCCCCCCCCTTTTCCGGGAGGGCCCCGTTCCCATGGAAACCGGGATTCCCGTGGGGAAGGGGAAGGAGAAAGGGAAAAGGAGGGGGGTGTTGTCCCCACTGCAGTCAGTCCCAGGACCCCTTCATGAGGCGGGGACTCCCCGCTATGCTCCCTTTTTTCCCCCAGGATCGGCCCCGGGATTCCCATGGAGAAGTGAAAGGAATGGGAGTGTTTTCCTGTTCCCATAGCAGACAGTCCCAGGAACCCTCCCCGCATGGGTTAGGGGCTCCCCCTTCCCCCCCACCATTCCCATGGGATCGGCTCTGGGATTCCCAAGGGGAAAAGGGAAGAAGAGGGGGTTGTTCTCCTGAACCTGCTCCCAAACCCCTCCTGTGGGGTGGGGGCTCCCCCTATTCCCACAGGATCAGCCCCAGAATCCCCCCAAGGGGAGGGGGCTCCCCCTATTCCCACAGGATCAGCCCCAGAATCCCCCCAAGGGGAGGGGGCTCCCCATATTCCTGTAGGATCAGCCCCGGGACCCCCATTGAGTGGGTTCCCCCATCCCAGCAGTGACCCCATGGCCCTGCTATTCCCTGTGCCCTCCCGTTTCCATGGCAACCACTCCCTCCACGGGGTTCCTGCTCCATCCCCTCCATCCTGGCCGTGTCCAGGGGCTCCCGATTCCCTTGGGAAGCACTTGGGGGGAAAAAAAAACAGACACCCCCATCCCCCCCAAATTCCCTCAGGTTAGACAGTAACACCTCCCAGGGCTTGGATCGAACCCTTGGGGCCTGGGAAGCGCCAGAATTCCCAATTTTCTGTGGAGAAGTCGCCGTTCCTTCCCAATTCCAACAAAACATTCCAGAGCTGTGTGGAAAAGCTGGATTTTTTTTCCCTTTTTGGGGGTGTTTTGGGGGGTGTCGTCCCTCCCTCGGAGCGGCCTGGGATCCAGGAATTCCCAGAGCTCCGGGAAACGCTCCAGCTCCTTTCCTGCCGCCTTTTCCCCTCCCTACAGGCCCGTGTGGAGCGGATGGAGCAGTTCCAGAAGGAGAAGGAGGAGCTGGATAAGGGGTGCCGGGAGTGCAAGCGCAAACTCGCCGAGTGCCAGAGGAAGATGAAGGAGCTGGAGCTGGCGGAGCCGGGCGGGGGGAAGGGGGAGCTGGAGAAGCTCCAGGCCGAGGCCCAGCAGCTGAAGAACGAGGAGAGGAGCTGGGAGAACAAGCTGGAGGAGCTGAGGAAGAAGGAGAAGAACATGCCCTGGAACGTCGACACCCTCAGCAAGGACGGCTTCAGCAAGGTGGGGTTTGGGGGGGTGGGGGAGCCCCCCCAAGTCCATCCCCTCCCTCCTCCTGAGTGCAGGGAATCATCCCCGGGTTCTTTCCTCTTCCCAGAGCGTTTTTAACGTGAAGCCCGAGGAGAAGGAGGAGACGGAAGAGCAGAAGGAGAAGAAGCACAAAAGCTTCGTGGAGCGATACGAGAAGCAGATTAAACACTTTGGTGGGTGTTTAGGGGGGGGAATTTGGGGGGCTGGGAGCCCCTTTTTGGGGTGTTCCATACTCGGGGACACCCTCCCTGTGCCGGGAGCAGCTGGGGATCTGCTCCCTCCAGTGAAAAATTACGGATTTTAGGCGTTTTTCCCCATTTTTTCCTGCTGGGAAGACACAGTTTTAGAGGGAAGTTTAATTAAACCTTGGGATGAGTCACTCCCTCCTTCCCTGTCCCTTTTCCTGATAAAGTTCAGGGCCTGTTCCTTAAGGAACAGGTGACAAAGGTTCCCATTTCCCTGTTTTCCAGGGATGCTGAGGCGTTGGGATGACAGCCAGAAATACCTCTCGGACAACCCTCACCTGGTGTGTGAGGAGACAGCAAACTACCTGGTCATCTGGTGCATCGACCTGGAGGTGGAAGAGGTGAGGAATTGGGATAAAAATCCCTTTTTCCAGGCTGGAATTGCCTTGTCCTCGTCTTCACAGGGTCTTTTGATTTGGTTGTCCTGCCAAAAACGAGGGAATTTTGGGGAATTAGAGGTGGGAAAAGATCCTTAAAATCGTTCCTTGAGGGCACCCACCCCTTCCTTGGGAAGAGGGGTTCACCCTCAGCCCCCATCCTGGGTTTTCCTGGCAGGAGGAGCCCAGAGCTGGGCACAAAATCGGGGAATTTGGCAGGAATTTGGGTTCAGGACGACCTTTAGGATCGTTAAATCCAGCCTGGTCTTGTCCCATCGGCCTCAACACAACGATCCAGCCCCTGGAGCCGTCCCCTCATCCAAATCATCTCCTGGAAAAGGGGTTGGGGTGACCCTCCCGGCCCTTCCCGAGCCGGGGAAGGGGGAATTTTGGGGATCCTCACCCCTTTTTCCCTCAGAAACACGCGCTGATGGAGCAGGTGGCCCACCAGACCATCGTCATGCAGTTCATCCTGGAGCTGGCCAAGAGCCTCAAGGTCGACCCCAGGGCTTGTTTCCGGCAGTTCTTCACCAAAATTAAGGTAAAAATCCCGCCTGGGCACCCCCCAAAACATCCCCCTCGAGCCTGAGGGGACCCCAATTTCCACGGGTTTTACCTCAAAATTGTTCCTTTCGTCGGGGTTTGATCAGGGGGGAAAGGGATGGGGCTGGGTGGGACCTCAGGGTGGGTTCAGAGGGTGGGAAAAGGGGTTTAGGGAGTGGAAATGGGGGTTCAGGGGGAGAAAATGGGGGTTTAGGGGTGGGAAAAGGGGTTCAAGGGGAGGGAATGGGGGTTTAGGGAGTGGAAATGGGGGTTTATGGGGTGGAAATGGGGGTTCAGGGTTGGAATTTTTGGGGTTCCGAGGGAGGAATTGGGGCTTTAGGGGGTGGAATTATGGGTTCAAGGGTGGAACTGGGCGTCCAGGGGGTGGAATTGGGGGTTCAGGGGGTGGAATCTGGGGCTTCAGGACCTTCTTTGAAGCAGAATTTACCCCCAATTCCCCCTCTTTCACCCTCAAACCCTTCCCTCCCTCCCCGTGCGCCGGGACGAGGCGGAGCCGGGTGGGACCCTGGGGTGTGTCAGGGATGGATTTGGGGGTTCAGGGGGTGGAATTGGGGATTCAGGGGATGCAAATGTGGGCTCAACCTCCCCCCAAGGCAGAATTCACCCCCAAAATCCCCCTCTTTCCTCCTCAAACCCCTCCCCTCCTGGCTGTTTCCCAACCCTTTGCGCCGGGACGAGACGGAGCCGAGTGGGACTTTTTTTGGGGTTGGGACGTACCAGGGGTGGATTTTGGGGCTCAGCTCCCCCTGACCCCCTCCCTCCAACCCCCAGACTGCAGACCAGCAGTACCTGGAGGGCTTCACGGAGGAGCTGGAGGCGTTCAAGGAGCGGGTGCGGGGCCGGGCGCGGGCGCGGCTGGAGAAGGCCCTGCGGGAGTACGAGGAGGAGGAGCGGCAGAAGCGCCTCGGGCCCGGCGGCCTCGACCCCGTGGATGTCTACGAGTCCCTGCCCCCCGTGAGTGGTTGGTGTTTTTGGGGTGAAAACCCCCAATTTGGGGTGTTGGGAGTGTTTTTGGGGTGAAAACCCCAATTTGGGGACTTGGGAGGGTTTGGGGGTACGAGGAGGAGGAGCGGCAGAAGCGCCTCGGGCCCGGCGGCCTCGACCCCGTGGATGTCTACGAGTCCCTGCCCCCCGTGAGTGATTTTGGGGTGGTGTTTTTGGGGTGAAAAACCCCAATTTGGGGAGTTGGGAGGGTTTGGGGGTACGAGGAGGAGGAGCGGCAGAAGCGCCTCGGGCCCGGCGGCCTCAACCCTGTCGATGTCTACGAGTCCCTGTCCCCCGTGAGTGGTTTTGGGGTGGTGTTTTTGGGGTGAAAAACCCCAATTTGGGGAGTTGGGAGTGTTTTTGGGGTGGAACCCCCCTCGGTTTGGGGGGTTGGGAGCGTTTTTGGGGTGAAAACCCCACAGTTTGGGGTGTTGGGAGCGTTTGGGGTTCGGTGCCTCCCACAGGCTCCCAGTAGGAGTCTGGTTTTACGGCCAAATCCCCAGCTTTTGGTTAAAAAAAATCCCTGATTTTTTTTTAAGGAATCCCTCCCGGTGTTCAGTTGCTCCCAGTACGATCCCAGTATGAGCCCAGTGTTGGGGTTGGGGTGAATTCCCGAGGTTTTGGGTGCTAGAGGGTTTGGGTTTCAGCTGCTGCTGGTCATGCTCAGTGTGAGGCTGTTTTTGGGGGCTGAATCCCCAGATTTTGGGTGTTGGAGTATTTGGGGATTGTCGTGGGGTTCATTGCTCCCAGTCACTCCCAATGTATCCCAGTCACTCCCAGTGTGATCCCAGTCTGATCTCAGTCACCCCCAGAGTGGTCCCAGTCACTCCCAGTCCAATCCCAGTCACTCCCAGTGTATCCCACTACATCCCAGTGTATCCCACTACATCCCAGTCACTCCCAGTGTGATCCCAGTGTGATCTCAGTCACCCCCAGTGTTGTTCCAGTCACTCCCAGTGTGATCCCAGTCACTCCCAGTGTATCCCAATACGCTCCCAGTGTATCCCAGTCCATCCCAGTGTCTCCCAGTCCATCCCAGTCACTCCCAGCACGTCCTGCAGGAGCTCCAGAAATGCTTTGATGTCAAGGACGTTCAGATGCTGCAGGACACGATCAGCAAAATGGACCCCACCGTGAGTTCCCACCCCAAAACCCCCCCCTGGGAGGGTCCCAAATCCTCTGGGAGGGTCCCTAAATCAGCTGGGGGTCCCCAAATCCCCTCCAGTCCCCTCCAAAGGGATCCCAAATCCCCTGGGTGTTCCCCAAACCCCCTCCAGTCCCCTCGGGGGGGGTCCCAAATCCCTTCCAGTCCCCTCAGGGAGGGTCCCAACTCCCCTGTGGGTTCCCCAAATCCCCTCCAGTCCTCTTGGGGGGGGTCCCAACTCCCCTGGGGGTTCCCCAAATCCCCTCCAGTCCCCTCAGGGAGGGTCCCAACTCCCCCTGGGGGTTCCCCAAACCTCCTCAGGAGGATCCCAAATCCCCTGGGGTTCCCCAAATGGCCCCCTGACCCTGTTTTTGTGTCCCCCTCCCCATTTCCAGGAGGCCAAGTACCACATGCAGCGCTGCATCGACTCGGGGCTCTGGGTCCCCAACGCCAAGGGGGGGGACGGGGCAGAAAAAGGCTCAGGAGAGGCCGTTTATGAGGAGATCCAGAAGGAAAACGGCGCCCAGGACAAAGGAAAACCCTGAATGGGGGGGGAGCCCGGAAAAAGGGCAGAAAAAGGGCGGAAAAAGGGTCAGAACAACCCCCCTCAACCCCCCCCCCCCCATTGGAAAAGCAGCAAAACCCGGCAGGGAGGGGGAGGGGAAGGTTCTGCCCCCTTCCCTCCCCCACTCCCCACACTCCTGCTCTCCCCCCACCCCCCAAAATCCCTCCCCTCCCCAAATCCCACTCCCCTCTCACCACCCCCTCCCCCACGCTTTTCACGCCGTAGAGACTTTTGGGGAAGGTTTTTGACGGGTTCACTCCACCCCCTCCCTCCTCATGACCCCTCTCCCAGAGCCCCCCAGAATGCCCCCACTTGCATCTGGAGTGATTTTTGGGGAGTCTGGAGGGGAGGAGGAGGGAGGGGTCGGTGCCGGAGCGGAGAATAAAGAGATTGGGGAAGCTGAGTTTGGATTTGGGGGTCCCTGGGGGTTTGGGGTGATTGGGGAGGGGGAGGGTGACAAGTGGGAGGGAGGGGGTGGGGATCCCCCAAACCTTTCCTGATGGATTCTGGGCGGGGGTTGGAGGGTTCAGCCCCTCACGGGGGAGGAGACACTTTGGTGGGATTCCCATCCAGATGTGGCCCCTCAGCTGGTGCTGAGAGCCCAGATCTGGATCCAGCTGTGCCCGCCTGGTTTTGGATCCAGCTGTGCCCCCATTTCACCTGTTTCAGATCCAGCTGTGCTCCCAGCCCCCCTTCCCACCCTGAAGTTTGGATCCAGCTGTGCCCTGTCCAGTTCCCTCCCAGTTTGTGATCCAGCTGTGCCCCATTTCACCTGTTCCGGGTCCAGCTGTGCCTCCCCCATATTTTGGGTCCAGCTGTGCCCCTCAAGCCCCTGCCCTCTCGGATTGTTTTGGCCCCGCCCCATCCAAGCTGACCCCGCCCTCACCTGGCCCCGCCCCTCCACCGTTCCGGCACCGCCTGTTCCCCTGATGCTCCGCCCTCCGAGGCTCCGCCCCCTCCCTCCCCCGCAGCCAATCGGGTTCTTTATTTTCCTTGTGGGGCGTGGCCTCGTGGCGCGGCGCGGGCCAATGGCAGCGCGCGTCTCTGGCGGCCAATGGGAGGCGGCGGCGCTGCGGGGCCGGGGGGACGGAGCGGCGGCCGGGCCGGGGCCGGTACCAAACGGGGGGAAAAGGGGGGTCGGTACCATTGAGGGGACGGGGGTCGGGGGGGCAGGGGGGACATGAGGGGACAGGGGGAACATGAGGGGACAGGAGGGACATGAGGGGACAGGGTCGATACTAACGGGGGGTGAAGAGGAATCCGGGGGGGCGGAGGGGGCTGGGAGGAAACCCCCTCAGAGAGCCCCCTGAGACGGGCCGGACTCCACTCCCCAAAAATGGGTTAAAATTCGTCCGAAAACGGGTCAAACCCCACCGTGAAACAGGTCTAAAAAATTCAGCCTGAAACGGGTCCAAAAATTCACCTGGAAAAGGGTCAAAATCCACCCCAAAACGGGTCCAAAATTCACCCCAAAACGGGTCAAAATCCACCTCAAAGTGGGTCCAAAATTCACCTGGAAAAGGGTCAAAATCCACCCCAAAGTGGGTTCCAAAATTCACCTGGAAAAGGGTCAAAATTCACCCCAAAACGGGTCCAAAATTCACCCCAGAACAGGTGAAAATCTGTCCTGAAATGACTCAAAGTCCGTCCTGTGATTGGTCAGAATTCCATAAGAAACGGGTCCGAAATTCCATCCCCAAATCAATCCAAATTCATCTCCAAATGGGTCAAAATCCATCCTGAGAACCCTGAAAGGGGTGAAAACCCCCAAATCCACCCTGGAAATGGGTCAAAATCCATCTGGAAATGGACCATAACCCACCTGGAAAATCCATCCTGAAACGGGTCCAAATTCCAACCTCAAACAGCTCCCAAATCTGTCTCAAAAAGGGTCAAAAATCCACCCCAAAACAGGTCCAAAATCCATCCCAAAATGGCTCCAAATCCATCCCGAAACGGGTCAAAATTCCATCCTGAAACAGCTCCCAAATCTGTCTCAAAAAGGGTCAAAAATCTGCCCCAGAACGGCTCCAAATCCATCCTGAAACGGGTCCAAATTCCAACCTCAAACAGCTCCAAAAACTGTCCTGAAAGGGGTCAAAAATCCACCCCAAAACAGGTCCAAAATCCATCCCAAAATGGCTCCAAATCCATCCCAAAATGGGTCCAAATTCCCACCTGAAAGGGGTCCAAATTCCAACCTGAAACGGGTCCAGAATCCACCCAGAAATGGCTCAAAATCCACCTGGGAATGAACCAAAACCCACCCAGAAGCAGCTCCAAAACCCATCCCTGAAACGAGTCCAAAATCCACCCTTTTTCCCTCCCAAAAAACCCCCTCTGGAATCTGCTCCTTTCCCAAATTGTCCATCCTTTTCCATCCTCATCGACAAAACGAGGAGGGGGGGAATCCGGTGGGATCCGACATTCCCGGTGATCCCAAACCCCTTCCCGAGCTCCCGGTGAGGGGCTGGGATGGCCTGGTGGGCTCTCCCTGGCTGGGAGTCCCTCCCTGTCCCCATCCCGACGGATTATCCCGGTTTTTCCCCGGCAGGCGCGGCCATGTCCCTGTGCCGGCGGGGGCTGAAGCGGAGCCCGGGAGATGCCGAGGGTTTTTCCTTCCCGGCCGGGCCCGGGCTCAAGGTGCTCCTGCACTGGGATGGGCAGCAGGAGCGGGAGCGCTGCCGGGTGTATTCCCAGGGATCCCCGAGCGCCGAGGAAATCTGCATCGACCTCGCCCGCACCATCGGTGAGCGCCGCGAAGGACGGATCCCCACGCGGAATTCCCGGTTTGCTGCTTTCCAGGGAGTGCTGAATCCCAGCCGGCTTCCTCCCTGCAGGCTGAGGAATTCCCGGTTCCCCAGGAAGCACCAAATCCCAGCCGGGCCAGGGCTGAGGAATTCCCGGTTTCCTCATTCCCAGGGAACGCCGAATCCCGACCAGATCCCATCCCAGGGCTGAGGAATTCCCAGTTTCCTCATTCCCAGGGAATGCCAAATCCCAACCAGATCCCATCCCAGGGCTGAGGAATTCCCAGGGAATGCCAAATCCCAACCAGATCCCATCCCAGGGCTGAGGAATTCCCGGTTTCCTCATTCCCAGGGAACACCAAATCCCGACCAGATCCCATCCCAGGGCGAGGAATTCCCGGTTTCCTCATTCCCAAGGAACGCCAAATCCCAACCAGATCCCATCCCAGGGCTGGAGGAATTCCCAGGGAATAGCAAATCCCAACCAGTCCAGGAACGCCAATCCCTCCAGATCCCATCCCAGGGCTGAGGAATTCCCAGGGAATGCCAAATCCCAACCAGATCCCATCCCAGGGCTGAGGAATTCCCAGGGAATGCCAAATCCCAACCAGGGAATGCCAAGGCTGAGAAATTCCCAATTTCCCAGTTCCCAGGGAACGCCGAATCCCGACCAGATCCCATCCCAGGGCGGAGGAATTCCCGGTTTCCCAGTTCCTGTGGGAATACCCCAATCCCAACCAGATTCCACCCCGGGGCTGAGGAATTCCTGGTGTTCTGATTCCCAGGGAATGCTGAATCCCGGTGTTTTCCCTCCTGGGGCCGAGAACCCCAAGCTCAGGGGGGTTTATTCCCGATAAATCCCCGCTCCAGCTGCGCCGAATTCCCACGGGAAACGCGATTTTCCCGTTAAACCTTCCCCATGGGATGAAAACCTTCTCCCAGGGATTGGGGAACAGGCTGAATTCCAACCGGGAACGGCTCTGGGACTTCTCCCACTCCATAAATCCCAGCCTGGATTTTGGGATTGAGCCGTTCCGGAGTGCCGGAATTCCGAGGGTGTGGGAGAACCGTCGGGATTTGTGCTGCTGGAAGGGGAAAAAGGGGAAAAGGGGGGGTTGGGAAAGGGGTGCTGTTGGTGAATTCCCTGGAATTTATCCCGGCAGGAATCAGCCCGCTCTGTTACAGCCTCTTCGCCCTCTACGACCCCCAGGCCCGGCTGTGGCTCCCCCCCAACCACCAATTCCAGGTGGGAAAAGACACCAACGTCCACCTGATCTTCAGGATGAGGTGAGGGGCCTCTTCCCTCCCAACTTCCACAGGGAATTTTCCAGAGCTCAGCCCTGCTCAGCCTATTCCCAGGTTTTTGCCCTGGGATTGTGCTGGAAGGACAACCTGGGTTGGGTTTTCCCGCCTCTTTGCTCCTGGGATTGTGGTTTTTTCCCAAGTTTATCCACAGCCAGGGCTGCTCCAAATCACAGATCCCAGATCCCAAATCTGGTTCTGCATTTGGAGCCTTGGAAATCCACTCAGGGCTGCTCCAAATCCCCTTTGTTGGGGGGTGAAAAATGAGGGAACAGCCTCGGGAAAAGCCAGCAGGGCTGCTCCAGGTGGGGAATGCTGTGGATTTGGAGCCCCTGGCTCTCCTCCAGCACAGGAAAATCCCTCTCCTTATTCCCAATATTTCTCCCTGGGGCTCCTGGTTCGTTCTCCCACCTCTCAGCGTCCCATCCAAAGGTTTTTTGGGACCAACAGGGAAGATCCAAGGGCTCTGGAGTGACCCTGGGGAAGCTTTCAGTAGCTATTTGTATTCCTTGGGAATTCTGGAGCCACCAATCCCAGAATTCCCTTCCCACAACATCCCTTAGGGATGTGGCCGCTCATCCCGTTCTTCCAAGACCTTTTATTCCTTAAAAAATAAAAAACAACCCCAAAACCCCCCCAGGTTTGAGCTCGGATTGTTCCTCCTGACCCAACCCCTGCCCCTCTCCCCCTCCTCCCCTTCCCATTCCAGGTATTATTTCCGGAACTGGCACGGGATGCACGAGCAGGAGCCGGCGGTTTATCGGAATGTGCCTCGTCCCGGGGATTCCCTGGAGGAAAAAAACCCCGGGGGAGCTTTGCTGGACAAATCCTCCTTTGAGTACCTGTTCGAGCAGGTGACGGGGCTGGATCTGGGGAAAAAACTCCCTTAAATCCAGTGGGGTTTGGGAAAACTGGGGTGAATTCCCTTAAATCCCTCCGGATTTGGTTCAATCCTGTTGCCAGGATTCGTATTTTTTTTAATATCCAGGTGTTTATTTAATAAAGATTAAACACCCACCTAGTTTTCCCTTTGGAAAGGTTTTATCCCTGCTGGAAGCTTCGCTGGTGGTGGTGGTGGAATTCCGGAATTTTTTTTTTAGGGATAATTTGGCCTTGGAAAAGGATTTTAACTCGGGTTGGTTTTATTGAAATTTAAAATTAAGTTGTTATTAGTTCCTGTTTGTCCCCCCTTTAATTTTAAAGGGATACCAAACGGAAATTATCTTAATAATTAAATTAATTTAGCTGAATAAAGGAGCAAAATTAATGGAAAATCCCTGCAGGAAATCACCTCAGGGTTGTGTTTTTGGGTTTTTTTTTTCCCCTCCAATGATCCCATTTTCCCCCAGGGGAAGTTTGAGTTCATCCACGACGTGGCCTCCCTGAAGGATTTGCGGAGCGAGCCCGAAATCCAGAGGTTCAAGAACGAGAGTTTGGGAATGGCCGTCCTTCACCTGTCCCACCTCGCTGTCACAAAGGGCGTTTCCCTGGAGGAAGTGGCCCGGAAGCACAGGTAGATGGGAATTCCTGCTTTTCCAAAGGGGCTTTTCCCACTCTTTTCCCACCTTTTTTTCCTCACGGGAAGCGCCTGCGGGGTCGGAATTTGGGATGCCCGGAGAGCCCTGGGAAAAGCCCGGCAGCAAAAATTAGGGATGGGATGGGAGTTCTGCTCAGGATTGGGATGGGAATGGACTGGGATGCTGTGTGGGATCAGGATGGGAATGGGTTGGGATGTTGTGTGGGGTTGGGATGGGAGTGGATTGGGATGTGTGGGATTGGGATGGGAATGGGTTGGGATGTTGTGTGGGATTGGGATGGGAACGGGTTGGGATGGGAATGGATTGGGATGTTGTGTGGGATTGGGATGGGAATGGGTTGGGATGTTGTGTGGGATAGGGACGGAAATGGACTGGGATGCTGTGTGGGATTGGGATGGAAATGGGTTGGGATGTTGTGTGGGATTGGGATGGGAATGGGTTGGGATGGTGTGTGGGTTCGGGATGGGAATGGACTGGGATGTTGTGTGGGATCAACATGGGGATGGATTGGGATGCTGTGTGGGATTGGGATGGGAGTGGATTGGGATGTTGTGTGGGACTGGGACAGGAATGGGTTGGAATTCTGCTTGGGGTTGGGATGGGACTGGACTGGGATGCTGTGTGGGATTGGGATGGGAATGGGTTGGGATGCTGTGTGGGATTGGGATGGGAATGGGTTGGAATGGGAATGGACTGGGATGTTGTGTGGGATCTGGATGGGAATGGGTTGGGATGGTGTGTGGGTTCGGGATGGGAATGGACTGGGATGTTGTGTGGGATCAACATGGGAATGGATTGGGATGCTGTGTGGGATTGGGACTGGGAAGGTTGGGATGTTGTGTGGGATTGGGATGGGAATAGGTTGGGATGTTGTGTGGGATCAGGATGGGAACAGGTTGGGATGTTGTGTGGGATTGGGATGGGAATGGGTTGGGATGGTGTGTGGGTTCGGGATGGGAATGGACTGGGATGGTGTGTGGGATCAACATGGGAATGGATTGGGATGCTGTGTGGGATTGGGATGGGAATGGGTTGGGATGTTGTGTGGGACTGGGACGGGAATGGGTTGGAATTCTGCTCGGGGTTGGGATGGGAATAGACTGGGATGCTGTGAGGGATCGGGATGGGAATGGACTGGGATGCTGTGTGGGATCGGGATGGGAATGGATTGGGATGCTGTGTGGGATTGGGATGGGAATGGACTGGGATGCTGTTTGGGATTGGGACTGGAACAGGTTGGGATGTTGTGTGGGATTGGGATGGGAACGGGTTGGGATGTTGTGTGGGATCAGGATGGGAACAGGTTGGGATGTTGTGTGGGACTGGGACGGGGATGAACCGGAATTTGGCTCGGGATTGGGCCGGGAACGCCGGGAAACTCTCTGTGTCCCCCCCGAGGACCAAGGCACAAAAGGCTCATCCCAAACCGCTCATTCCCCGTTTTTTCCCCCCCCTCCCATCCCGGGAGCAGCTTCAAGGAGTGCCTCCCGCGCTCCCTGCAGCGGCAGCTGCGCGGGCAGGGCCCGGTGACGCGGCTGCGGCTCCGCCGCGTCTTCCGCCGCTTCCTGCGGCGCTTCCAGCGCGGCACGGTGGGCGCCGGGCGGCTCTCGCCGAGAGACCTCATGGCCAAGTACGTGGCCACCCTGGAGCTGCTGGCCCCCGACTTCGGATCCGAGCGATTCCCGGCGCTCTCCCTGCGCGCGGGGGACGAGGGCAGGACGGACACGGGGACGGGGACGGAGCCGGGAAAGCCCCCGATCCCCCGGGATCGTCCCCCCGTCACGCACCACGTGCTGGTCTCTGGCACCGCCGGCATCCAGTGGCGGCCGCTGCCCCCCGAGGTGGGTGGGGAGCGTTCCCAGCCCCTGGTCCCGCCCTGGGGGCTTCCCGAGGGATGAGGGGGAGCTCGGAGCGTATCCCGGTTTGCCCGGAGGCTTTGCTGGGATTCCCGTCCTGATCCCGTGCTGATGTTCCAGTCCATTCCCATCCCAATCCCACACAGCATCCCCATCTGTTCCCATCCCAATCCTGCACAACGTCCCAATGCATTCCCATCCCAATCTCAATGCTGACATTCCAGTCCACTCCCATCCCAATCCATTCCCATCCTAATCCTGCACAACATCCCAATCCATTCCCATCCCAGTCCCACACAACATCCCAATCCATTCCCATCCCAATCCATTCCCATCCCAGTCCCACACAGCATCCCAATCCATTCCCATCCCAATCCATTCCCACCCCAAGCCCACACAGCATCCCAATCCCACACAGCATCCCAATCCATTCCCATCCCAATCCCATGCTAACATTCCAGTCCACTCCCACCCCAAACCTGATGCTTCCCAGGCTTTTCCTGGGGCTCTCTGGACATCCAGAATTCCTCTCCATCTTATCCCACCTTGCCCAGGACCTTTCCCACCATTCCCATCCCTCACCATCTCCAGGCTCTCCCTGGGTCCCCACCCCATCCCAGTTCCCCCAGGAGCCCCCACAACCCCTTCCAGCCTGGGGAAAACCTGGAATTCTCCCCTTGGGCCCCTCCCCAGAGCAGGGAGAGCTTCTCCCAGCCCGGATCCCTCGGGAGGAGGAGCAGCAGGACCAAAGAGCCGGATCCCCGGAGCGGGAGGAGCCCCCGTGGTGCCACTTCTGCGACTTCCCGGAGATCACCCATGTGGTGGTGAAGGAGTGCAGGGTCTGCATCCACCGGCAGGACAACAAGTGCCTGGTGAGTGCTGGGATTTGGGAGGCCCTCCCTGGAATTCCTGGTGAGTGCTGGGATTTGGGGGGCCCTCCCTGGAATTCCAAGGTGGGGATTTCTCCCAGGGGATTTTTCCTGCGGGTTTGGGGGCGCTCGGGGGGCTCAGCCCCGCCCGGGGGGGGTTTCTGTCCCCACAGGAGGTGGTTCTGCCGTCCCCCGGCGCGGCCCTGTCCCTGGTGTCGCTGGTGGACGGATATTTCCGGCTCACGGCCGATTCCAGCCACTACCTGTGCCACGACGTGGCCCCGCCCCGGCTCCTCATGAGCATCCGCAACGGCATCCACGGGCCCATGCAGTGAGTGCTTCCCAACGGGAAAGGGGGAGGAGCCTCCTCCTCGGGGCTCATCCGCAGCTGCTCCATGTCCTGGGGCTCGTCCCACCCCATTCCATGTCCACTGAGCTCATCCAGAGTCATTCCATGTCCACTGAGCTCATCCAGAGCCATTCCCTGTCCACTGAGCTCTTCCAACCCCATTCCCTGTCCACTGGGCTTATCCCACCCCATTCCATGTCCACTGGGCTCATCCAGAGCCATTCCATGTCCATGGGGCTCATCCAATCCCCTTCCACATTCTCAGGGCTCTTCCAGCTCCATTCCCTGTCCTTGGGGCTCATCCAATCCCATTCCATGTCCCACTGGGTCATCCAACCCCATTCCATGTCCTTGGGGCTCATCCAGAGCCATTCCCTGTCCTTGGGGCTCATCAAAACCCATTCCGTTTCCTTGGGGGCTCATCCAGAGCCACTCCCTGTCCTCAGGGCTCTTCCAACCCCACTCCCTGTTTTCAGGGCTCTTCCAACCCCAATCCCTGTTTTCAGGGCTCTTCCAACCCCACTCCCTGTTTTCAGGGCTCTTCCAACCCCACTCCCTGTCCTCAGGGCTCTTCTCAACCCCAATCCCTGTTTTCAGGGCTCTTCCAACCCCATTCCCTGTTCTCAGGGCTCACCTGGAGCCGTCTCTCGTCCCTTGGGCTCATCCCAATCCATCCCCTTTCCCCCTTTTCCAGGGAGGAGTTCGTCTTTGCCAAGCTGCGCCGGGAGGAGCCGGAGGAAGGGCTTTACGTCCTGCGCTGGAGCGTCCTGGATTTCAACCGGATGATCCTCTCCGTGGCCAAGAGGAACCCCCAGCAGGTGGGAGGCGGCTCCCAGCACGGAATTCCCGGGAATGGCAGGAATGGCGAGCCCTGCTCATCCCCGTGGGATCAACTGGGAGCTGCTCCCCCAGCTCTGACTCCGCTTTTCCAGGCTCCTGGAACGCCGGGAGCCTTCAAGTTCCGGCAGTTCCGGATCCAGAAGAAGGGAGAGTCCTTCGTGCTGGAAGGCTGGGAGAGGGAATTCCCTTCCCTGCGGGAGCTCCTGGACGTGCTCAAGGGCTGCACCCTCCGCTCCGGCGAGGAAAACTTCACGGTCAAGAGGTGCTGCCCCCCCAAGCCGGGAGGTACGGACACGGAGCGGCCCCTGGGATTGGGAATGCCGGGAATTCCTGGAGTTTACTCAGGGGGGGCCCTTCCCCTTCCCTCCTCCCAGAGATCTCGGACCTGCTGATCACCAGGAAGGCGAAGGACGACGGGAAGCAGATCCTGAACCTCACCCAGCGCAGCTTCCACCAGATCCGCAAGAACGAGATCACTCAGGTGCCGCTTTCCCGGGAATTTGGGGCTGCTCTGCCTTTCCTGGGATTTTTGGGGATGGGCAGGGGGGTTGTGGAAGGACCTGCTCTGCTTTCCTGGGATTCCTGGGGAGGGAGGGAGCTGCTCTGCCTTCCCAGGATTCATGGAATTGGGGAGGGATCCTCTCTGCCTTCCCAGGATCTATGGCATTCCGGTGGATCCTCTCTGCCGGCCCCAGGGAGCTGCTCGTGCCATCCCGGGGTTCGTGGAATCCTCGGGCCGATCCCAGATCTCAGCCTTCCCGGGGTTCATGGAGATCCTCGCGGCCGTCCCGGGATCCTCTGCCCTCAGGATCACCGTGGAATCCAGGGGGTCCGCCCCATCCCCTCCCTCGGACCAGGATTCATGGAATTGGGGCGGGATCCTTCACTGTCCTTCCCAAGGAATACACCCCGGAGATCCCCCATGGCCGCTTTTCCGCACGGATGCCTCCCCCTTCCCGGACCGGAGTCAGGATCAGTTTCGATCTCCCACTCCCTTTCCTTCCAAGGAAAAGGGAGGAAATCCCCAGCTGGCAACGCTCTGCCCCACAGTGGCACCACGGACCGACGTCTAGGCGAGCGTTCCGCTTTTTCTTCCCTGAGCTGCCCAGCGGAACTGCCGGGAGCCACGGCGACGGCCGGATAGCATCTGAGGAAGTCCGAGGCGGCTGCGGGAACACCGGGAGCCGGCGAGCGGGCCGAGTATGTTTCCCACGAGCAGAACCACAACGGTGCGGGAGCCCATGCCACAGGGACATCGCTCAAGGTGAGCTGGAAAACCGGGAACCCGGGAGCCGCAGGGGCATCGCCCTGGTGCGTCCGGAGAAGCAGGGAGGAGACCTTGGGAGCCTAGAGGGGCTGGGACATGTGATGCGTCAAGGGGTGGGATGATGGCCTCAGAGGGCTGGGATTGCTTGAGGATCTAGGGGGGGTGGGATGTGGATCCCAGAGGGTTGGAGATGTGGATCCAGGGGGGTGGGATATGGATCCTGTGGGATTGGAATGTGGATCCAGGGGGCTGGGATGTGGATCCAGGGTGATTGGAATGTGGATCCAGGGGGTTGGGATATGGATCCAGAGGGTTGGGATGTGGATCCAGGGGGTTGGGATACGGATCCAGGGGGTTGGGATATGGATCCAGGGGGTTGGAATGTGGATCCAGGGGGTTGAAATGTGATCCAGGTTGGAATGTGGATCCAGGGGCTGGGATATGGATCCAGGGGGTTGGGATATGGATCCAGGGGGATTGGAATGTGGATCCAGGGGGCTGGGATATGGATCCAGGATTGGAATGTGGATCCAGGCTGGGATATGGATCCAGAGGGTTGGACGTGGATCCAGGGCTGGGAATGTGGATCCAGGGGGTTGGGACCATGGATCCAGAGGGGTTGGGATGTGGATCAGGGGGTTGGGATACGGATCCAGGGGGTTGGGATATGGATCAGGGGTTGGAATGTGGATCAGGGGGGTTGAAATGGATCCAGGGTGTTGGAATGTGGATCCCAGGGGTTGGGATATGGATCCAGAGGTGGGATATGGATCAGGGATTGGAATGTGGATCCAGGGGGTTGGGATATGGATCCAGGGGATTGGAATGTGGATCCAGGGGTTGGGATATGGATCAGAGGGTTGGGATGTGGATCCAGGGGTTGGAATATGGATCCAGGGGGTTGGAATGTGGATCCAGGGGGTTGGGATATGGATCCAGGGGATTGGAATATGGATCCAGGGGGTTGAAATGTGGATCCAGGGTGTTGGGATGTGGATCCAGGGGGTTGGGATATGGATCCAGAGGATTGGAATGTGGATCCAGGGGGTTGGGATACGGATCAGGGGTTGGGATATGGATCAGGGGTTGGAATGTGGATCCAGGGGTTGAAATGTGGATCCAGGGTGTTGGAGAGTGTGGATCAGGGGTTGGGATATGGATCCAGGGGGTTGGAGATATGGATCCAGAGGGTTGGAATGTGGATCCAGGGGTTGGGATATGGATCAGGGATTGGAATGTGGATCCAGGGGTTGGGATATGGATCCAGGGGGTTGGGATGTGGATCCAGGGGGTTGGGATGTGGATCCAGGGGTTGGGATATGGATCCAGGGGGTTGGGATATGGATCCAGGGGATTGGAATGTGGATCCAGAGGGGCTGGGATTGCGGATCCAAGGGGGGGTGGGATGTGGATCCAGGGGGTTGGAATATGGATCTAGGGCGTTGGAATATGGATCCAGGGGGTTGGAATATGGATCCAGGGGCTTGGAATGTGGATCCAGGGGACTGGGATATGGATCCAGGGGGTTGGGATATGGATCCAGGGGATTGGAATATGGATCCAGGGGGTTGGAATATGGATCCAGGGGGTTGGAATGTGGATCCAGGGGATTGGAATATGGATCCAGGGGGTTGGAATATGGATCCAGGGGGTTGGGATGTGGCTCCAAGGGCTGGGATGCAGCTCTGCGATGCTTCTGTGGCCGCTCCCAAATCCCAGGGCCCCCTTCCTGCCATTCCCAGCCATTCCCATCCCTATTTCCCCCAGGCCTTCTTCGAGACCGCCAGCCTGATGAGCCAGGTGTCCCACGTCCACCTGGCCTTCGTGCACGGCGTCTGCGTCCGCGGATCCGAGAGTGAGTGGGGACGCCATTCCCGCCTTTCCCCGGGGCCGGAGCCCGGAGCGGGGCCGGGAAGGAAGGGTTTATCCCTTCCCTGTTTTCCCACAGATATCATGGTGGAGGAGTTCGTGGAGCACGGCCCTCTGGACGTGCTGCTGCGCAAGGAAAAGGGCCGGATCTCCGTGGGCTGGAAAATCGCCGTGGCCAAACAGCTGGGGAGTGCCTTGAGCTACCTGGTAATTCCCTTTTCCAGCCGGGAATTCCCTCAGGTGTCCTCCCTGGAGCTTCCCTGTGCTTTCCCCGGGAGGTGATCCCGTTTTTTAGGGTTGTTCTACCCAGTCCTTGTTCTCTCACCCTTGGGAAGGAGAAGTGGGGGAAGAGGGGGGGAGAACACAGGAATCCAAATCCCAAATCCCGGCTCCGGAGGCTCGTTTTGGAGCTGGGAAAAGCTGTGGATGAGGAGGGAATTCCAACCAGGGGCTTGGGAACGGTGCTGGAAAATCCCCCCTGACCCCGTCCTTTTATTCTCTTTTATCCTGGAGCAAAATCCCAAGACGGGGAGATGACACGGAGAGTTAGAGCCAGAATTCCCACTTTTTCCTTTTCTCCTGGAATCCAAGGGCTGTGGCGTTGCTGGCAGCTTTCCCAAGGTTTTCTATTCCCTTTTTTTGTTAATCTCCCAGGAGGATAAAAACCTGGTGCACGGGAATGTGTGTGCCAAGAACATCCTGCTGGCCAGGAAAGGGCTGGAAGACGGATCCGCTCCCTTTGTGAAGCTCAGCGATCCCGGGATCAGCTTCACGGTGCTCTCCCGGGAAGGTGCGGGATCATCCCGGCCCGGAGCTGGGCGGGGATGGAATTCCCGGCGGAAAATCCGGAGGGTTTTCCCCCCTTCCCTTAATAAATCCCATGTTTTTTCCCAGAGCCGTTTTGCTGAAATCTCCCCTACTTTCCCAGCCTGGCTTTTCCCTGATTTTTGGCCTTTGGGATGTGGGAATTCCGTGTGGGAAAGCTCAAACCCGCCCTCAGGGCCGATCCCACCCTCTCTCCTGAGACCTTTCCCCACAGGATCTCTCCCGTTTATCCCCCCCAGAGCGCGTGGACCGGATCCCCTGGATCGCCCCGGAATGCGTGCGGGACGTGGGGAACCTCAGCACGGCCGCCGACAAGTGGAGCTTTGGGACGACCCTGCTGGAGCTCTGCTTCGACGCCGACGTCCCGCTGAAGGAGCGAACGCCCTCCGAGGTGCCGCTCCCGACATTTTGGGCCCTAGCCTGACATTTTGGGCCCTATATCCCCATTTCAGGCCCTATCCCCGCCATTTTGTGCCTCATCCCACCATTTCAGGCCCTATCCCACCATTTTAGGCCCTTTCTCCCCATTTCAGGCCCTATCCCCCCATTTTAGACCCTATCCCCCCATTTTAGGCCCCTGTTCCTCCATTTCAGGCCCTATCCCCCCATTTTAGGCTCCTATCCCCCCATTTTAGACCCTATACCCCATTTTAGGCCCTTTCTCCCCATTTTAGGCCCTATCCCCCCATTTTAGGCCCTTTCTCCCCATTTTAGGTCCTTTCCCCCCATTTTAGGCCCCTATCCCCCCATTTTGGGCCCTATCCCCCCATTTTAGGCCCTATCCCCCCATTTTAGGCCCTATCCCCCCATTTCAGGCCCTATCCCCCCATTTCAGGTCCTATCCCCCCATTTCAGGCCCTATCCCCCCATTTCAGGCCCTATCCCCCCATTTCAGGTCCTATCCCCCCATTTCAGGCCCTATTCCCCCATTTTGTGCCATCTCCCACCATTTTAGCCCCTATCCTGCCATTTTAGCCCCTATCCCGCCATTTTGTGCCATCTCCCCCCACTTTGTGCCGTGTCCTGGCCGAGGCCGGCTCTGAGGGCGGGATTTTCCCGTTTTTCCCCACAGAAGGAGCGGTTCTACGAGAAGCGGCTGCGGCTGCCGGAGCCGTCGTGCCGGGAGTTGGCCTCGCTGATCTCGCAGTGCCTCCATTACAGCCCCGCGGAACGGCCCTCGTTCCGCACCATCCTCAGGGACCTCACCCGGCTCCAGCCCCACAGTGAGGAACCCCAACGGCACCGGGAATGGGGTGGGGGGAATGGGAGGGACTGGGAAAAAGGTGGGGAAGGGGAAAAGGGGAGGGAAAGGGAGAGGGGGAAAATAAAAGGGAAAAGGGGGGGAAAAGAAGGGAAAAGGGGAAAAGGAAAAGGTGGGAAAGGAAAAGGGGGAAAAGAGGGGAAATGGGGAAAAGAGGAGAAAAGTGGGGAAAAGGGAGGGAAAGGAGGAGACAGGGGAAATGGGGAAAAGGATGGAAAAGTAGGGAAAAGGGGAAAAAAGGGGAAAAGGAGGGGAAAAGGAGGGAAAAGGGGAAAAAAGGGGAAAAGGGGGAAAAGGAAAAGGGGGGAAAAGGGAAAAGGAGGGAAAAAGGGGAAAAGGAAAAGGAGGGAAAAGGGAAAAAGAAGGTGAAAGGGGAGCAAAGAAAGGAGAAGGAGGAGAAGGAAAGGAGGGAAAAGGAAGGGAAAAGGGGGAAAGGGAGGGAAAAGGAAAAAAGGAGGAAAAGAGGGGGAAGAAGGAAAAAGGGGGGAAAGAAGGGAAAAGGGAAGGCGAAGAGGTTTGGAAAAAGGGGATAAAGTGGAAGGAAAGGGAGAAAAGGGGAAAGAAAAGTAGGAAAAAAAGAGGAAAAAGAAAAAGGAGGGGGAAAAGGTGAAAAAAAGTGAAATTCCTCCCAGACCTGGTGGATGTGACGTCGGTGAATCCCGACTTCCCGGTGTCGGACCCCACCGTCTTCCAGAAGCGGTACCTGAAGAAAATCCGGGAGCTGGGGGAGGTCAGTGGTGGCCTGAGGTTCCCACCAGGAATTCTGCACCTTCTTTCCCCTGTCTGGATCCAGAATTCCAAGCTTCAGTCTCTTTTCCCTGGGGATTTCCCTGCCTGGATCCAACATTCCATTGTGCAAACCCTAATTCCACTCTTTAATGCCTAATTCTGATTTTCAATCCCTAATTCCATTCTTTAATCCTTAATTCCACACTTTAACCTCATTTCCCAGCTGATTACCCTGCTTGGGTCCAGAATTCCATTACTTAATCCCTGAGTCTGTTTTTCGATCCCTAATTCCATTCCTTAAAACCTAATTCTGGTTTTTAATCCCTAATTCCATTCTCTAATACCTAATTCTGACCTTCAACCCCTAATTGCACTCTTTAATCCTTAATTCTACTCTTTAATCTCCTTTCCCTGCAGATTTCACTGCCTGGGTCTGAAATTCCACCCTTCAATCCCTAATTCTCACCCTTCAAGCCCTAATTCCCATTTTTCTCATTCCAGGGGCACTTTGGGAAGGTGGGGCCCTTCAAACCTCCCTTTTTTTTCCCCTTTCCCAATCCCAAATTCCCATTTTCCCCATTCCAGGGGCACTTTGGGAAGGTGGGGCCCTTCAAACCTCCCTTCTTTTCCCTTCCAACATCCCAAATTCCCATTTCTCCCGTTCCAGGGGCACTTTGGGAAGGTGGGGCCCTTCAAACCTCCCTTCTTTTCCCTTCCCACATCCCAAATTCCCTCCTTTTCCCCGTTCCAGGGGCACTTTGGGAAGGTGGGGCCCTTCAAACCTCCCTTCTTTTCCCCTTTCCCAATCCCAAATTCCCATTTTCCCCGTTCCAGGGGCACTTTGGGAAGGTAGGGCCCTTCAAACCTCCCGTTTTTCCCTTCCCCATCCCAAATTCCCATTTCTCCCATTCCAGGGGCACTTTGGGAAGGTGGGGCCCTTCAAACCTCCGTTCTTTTCCCCTTCCCACATCCCAAATTCCCATTTTTCCCATTCCAGAGGCACTTTGGGAAGGTGGGGCCCTTCAAACCTCCCTTCTTTTCCCCTTTCCCAATCCCAAATTCCCATTTTCCCCATTCCAGGGGCACTTTGGGAAGGTGGGGCCCTTTGGGAAGGTGGGGCCCTTCAAACCTCCCTTTTTTTCTCCTTTCCCAATTCAAATTCCCATTTTTCCCATTCCAGGGGCACTTTGGGAAAGTGGGGCCCTTCAAACCTCCCTTCTTTTCCCCTTTCCCAATCCCAAATTCCCATTTTCCCCGTTCCAGGGGCACTTTGGGAAGGTGGGGCCCTTCAAACCTCCCTTCTTTTCCCTTCCCACATCCCAAATTCCCGTTTTCCCCGTTCCAGGGGCACTTTGGGAAGGTGGGGCTGTACTGCTACGACCCCACCAACGACGGCACCGGGGAGATGGTGGCGGTGAAGTCGCTGAAATCCGGGAGCAGCCCGGAGCTCCTGAGCAGCTGGAGGAGGGAGATCCAGATCCTCAAGACCCTCTACCACGAGAACATCGTCAAGTACAAGGGCTGCTGCAGCGAGCAGGGTGAGGGGGGGGCCCAAATTCCAGCCGGGAATTTCCTGGGATCATTTTTTATTCCCCCCTCACAATTCCTGCTGGTTTTTGGTTTTTTGGAGGGTCGGGAATTGCCGGCCTGGCAGGGGTTTGGGGTGGGATCAGCTTGTCCTGCTCTTCCCACAAGGGAGAGGGAGTCAGAGGGGGGACATGAGGTTTATTCCACATGGAATTTTTCGTCGGAATTGGGAGTGGATCCATTGTTTTCTTTGCTGAAAAATTAAGAACCCCATTCCTGGCTTTTTTTTTTGGTTTTTTTTGGTGGGGAATCTCCATCCTGGCAGGAATTTTGGGAAGGTTGGGGGTGTCTCAGAGTTGTTCCTTTCTTCCCAGGAGAGTGGGAAACACCGGAGGGGTCCCAGGATGGGAGGGAAAAATTCCATATGGAATTGGGAGTGGATTTGGTGCCACAGAAAGGTTAAAAACCCAATTCCAGATGGGATTTTTTTGGGAATTTTGGGAAGGGATGGGGTCTCAGGGTGGTCCCCACGAGAGTGAGGGGGTGGGAATGGGACAGGAAGCTCAATCCATGTGGGATTTTTTTCCCCAGGGGACAAGGTGGTGCAGCTGATCATGGAATACGTCCCCCTCGGGAGCCTCCGGGATTTCCTTCCCAAGCACCCCCTGAGCCTTTCCCACATCCTGCTCTTCGCCCGCCAGATCTGCGAGGTGGGAATTCCCAAAAAATCCAGGGCCCTTCCCGAGGTGGGAATCCCCAAACTCCAGAGGTGGGAATCCCAAAAATCCAGGGCCCTTCCCGAGGTGGAAATCCCAAAAATCTGGGGCCATTCCTGAGGTGGGAATCCCCAAAATCCAGAGGTGGGAATTCCCAAAAAATCCAGGGCCATTCCCGAGGTTCTAATCCCCCCCAAAACTGGTTCTAACCCCCCCCCAAAACTGGTTCTAACCCCCCCTAAACTGGTTCTGAGCCCCCCAAACTGGTTCTGAGCCCCCCAAACTGGTTCTGAAGCCCCCCCAAACTGGTTCTGAGCCCCCAAACTGGTTCTAACCCCCAAACTGGTTCTAACCCCTAAACTGGTTCTAACCCCCCAAACTGGTTCTAACCCCCCAAAACTGGTTCTGAGCCCCCTAAACTGGTTCTGAGCCCCCAAACTGGTTCTAACCCCCTAAACTGGTTCTGAGCCCCCAAACTGGTTCTAACCCCCCCAAACTGGTTCTGAGCCCCCAAAACTGGTTCCTAACCCCCTAAACTGGTTCTGAGCCCCCAAACTGGTTCTGAGCCCCCAAACCGGTTCTAACCCCCAAAAACTGGTTCTAACCCCCCAACTGGTTCTGAGCCCCCAAAACTGGTTCTAACTCCCCAAGCTGGTTCTAACCCCCTAAACTGGTTCTGAGCCCCCCAAACTGGTTCTAACCCCTCCAAAACTGCTTCCAACCCCCCCAGAACAGTTCCTAACCCTCTTTCCCCCATCCTCCCCCAGGGAATGTCGTACCTGCACTCCCTGCACTACATCCACCGGGACCTGGCTGCTCGGAACGTGCTGCTGGAGAACGAGCAGGTGGTGAAGATCGGGGACTTCGGGCTGGCCAAGGCCGTCCCCGAGGGCCACGACTACTACCGGGTGCGGGAGGACGGCGACAGCCCCGTCTTCTGGTGAGCACTGGGAGCCATCCCCCACCCCCAGGGATGCTCCAGAGCCTCTGGAATTGCATCCCTTCCCCTGACCCCCAGAGCTGCTCCAGAGGCTCTGAATTGCATCCCACCCTACCGGGTGCGGGAGGACGGCGACAGCCCCGTCTTCTGGTGAGCCCTGGGATCCATCCCCCACCCCCAGGGATGCTCCGGAGCCTCTGGAATTGCATCCCACCCCACAGAACCATCCCCCAACCCCAGAGCTTCTCCAGAGCCTCTGGAATTGCATCCCACCCCACAAGGGGCCTTGGGATCCATCCCCAAACCCCAGAGCTTCTCCGGAGCCTCTGGAATTGCATCCCTTCCCCACCGACCCCCAGAGCTGCTCCAGAGCCTCTGGAATTGCATCCCACCCCACAAGGGGCCTGGGATCCATCCCCAACCCCCAGAGCTGCTCTGGAGCCTCTGGAATTACATCCCACCCCATGGAGCCATCCCCCACCCCCAGGGCTGCTCCAGAGCCTCTGGAATTGCATCCCACCCCACAGGGGGCCTGGGATCCATTCCTGACCCCAGGGATGCCCTGGAGCCTCTGGAATTGCATCCCACCCCACAGAAACCATCCCCACCCCCAGAGCCTCTCCAGGGCCTCTGGAATTGCATCCTACCCCTACGGAGCCATCCCCACCCCCAGGAGCTGCCCGGAGCCTCGTTACATCCCTTCCCCTGACCCCCAGAGCTGCTCCAGAGGCTCTGGGTGCCTCCACCCTACCGGGTGCGGGAGGGCAGCGACAGCCCCGTCTTCTAGTGAGCCTAGGATCCATCCCCAGGGATGCTCCGGGCCTGGGTGCATCCACCCCTAGGGCATCCCCCAACCCCAGAGCTTCTCCAGAGCCTCTGGAGGTGCATCCCACACAAGGGCCTTGGGATCATCCCCAAACCCCAGAGCTTCTCGGAGCCTCTTAGGTACATCCCTTCCCCACCGGCAGCCCCAGGCTGCTCCAGAGCCTGGGCCATCCACCCCACAGGGGCACCAGGATCCATCCCAACCCCAGGCTGCTCTGGAGCTCTCTAATTATCCTCTGGGCCATCCCCACCCCAGGGCTGCTCGAGCCTCTGGAGTACTCCCACCAGGAGGCCTGGGGATGTCCTGACCCCAGGGAGATGCTCGGAGCCTCTGGGTACATCCCACCACAGACCATCCCCCACCCCCAGAGCCTCTCAGTGCTCTGGGTATCCTACCCCCACGGAATAAATCCCCACCCCAGGGCTGCTCCGGGCCTCTGGAATTGCATCCCTTCCCCCTGACCCCAGAGCTACTCCCAGAGGCTGCAGGTGCATCCACCCCACAAGGGGCCTGGGATCATTCCTGACCCCCAGAGCTTCTCCCGAGCCTCAGATTCCTCTACCGACCCCCAGGGCTGCTCCGGAGCCTCCCGAATTGCATCCCTCCCCCCCGACCCCCAGAGCTGCTCCAGAGGCTCTGGAATTGCCCCCCTTCCCCGGGTTGCCTGGGATTGCCCGGAATTCCCGCCCTGCTCTCCAGGTGCGCCCCGGAATGCCTCAAGGAGTCCCAGTTCTGCTTCGCCTCCGACGTTTGGTCCTTCGGGGTCACCCTCTACGAGATCCTGACCCGCTGCGAGCCCGGGAGGCAGCCCCCCCGCTGTTGAGTATCCCGCTGGGGTCACAGAATTCCCAGACAGCCCCTCAAAATTCAGGAACAGCCCCCCCGCTGCGAGGTATCCCGCTGGGAATTCCCGGGAAAGCTCAGCCCCAGGGATGGGGAGCTCCTGGGAATTCCTGGGAACGGCCATCTCCAAGTGTCACTGGGAATTCCCCGGGGAAAGGTCACCGAGAACGACCTCCCGGGATCTCCCAAGGGTGGGATGCTCGGAGTTGTGGGGTCTCCAAGGTTTTGAAGAGTTCCCAAGGTTTTAGGGATTCCCAAGGTTGGGATACCCAAAGTGTGGTGTGTCCAAGCTTTTTTGGGATTCCCAAGGTTTTTTGGGATTCCCGAGGTTGGGGAGTCCCCAGGACTGGGCTCTCCAAGGATTTTTGGGTGGGTTTTTTTTCCCCTTCCCGGCAGAAATTCCTGGAGCTGATCGGAGCCACCCAGGGCCAGATG